GGAACGCGGAGGACGATGGTCTTCAGGGTCGTAGTCTCACTGATGGTGGGCGACTCCCAGGGGGCTTTGTATAATACGCCCCCAGCTAATTAGCCCTTTGCCGCCAAAGTGCCCTCGGTGGCTTCACTGGCTCGCTCTCAGGGTGCCGGAGAACGAATTCATAATTTGCATACCAACTGACTCGTCCCGGGGTGGCGAAACCTCATGCTTCCTCATTTCGTGGTGAGGGCGAATTTTATTTTCATCCCACCAAATTGGTTAGTCTCGCTATGGCTAGGGGAGGAGGTTGGGGCGGGGATAAAGGGCTTTTATCCCGAGTTGCTGCAATATTCAGCAGTTTCATTAGGATGCGAAGGTCCCATCGGGCTGGCCAATAAGTTGAATGGGTTTGTGTGGGGCGTGTGTGGCGTAACCTAAAGGGTATGCGGGAGGTAGAAGGTATTGAAAGGGGGCGGGAACGCTTTTTGAAGGAGGGTGAAGCTAGCGGTATGGGTTCGTTAGTTGGAGTTCAGGTTTATACTGGAACCTTGGAGGAGGTTAAATTTTTTTAAGCCGCGCTACTTTTTTAAGGGTTGCCTAAGGGTCGCTTTAAGTTCGTCGAATCTAATAGATTTATTTCCAGTAAGTCTTAAACCTATTAGGTTTCTATCATTTTATTTTAATTTGATATCCATTACCATACCAGTTTTTGCCTTTTTAAACGAATCTCATACCTCCTTCTCCCCTTCCCCTCCCAATGAATCACCCGATCCCTATCCAAATATGCCCTAATTGTCCTTGTTGCCCTCCCCAAACGACCCAAAAAAAAAGAAGGTGGCATCCTTTTCCCCCCGATTGGTGGGCCCTAATCTGTTGGCCTGGTGGCCCAGGAGGTGGGCTCTGGCGGACGATCCTTTCATAACCGGGGCCGATCCGATGAAATTCGAGCCCCCCAGGCGGGATGCCCTCCTCACCTATATTTGCTCTAGATTTTGCCGCCTCTCCCCGGACCGTCGGCCAATCCGCCGGCTCCGGAAGCCATAAAATTCGGGGCCATTTTTTGGATGTAGTACGTAACTGAAGTAGGGATTTGTATTGAGTCATACTGTGGGTGCTAATTCATTATCGCCCATGTTTCACTTGACAAATTCGTTTTTTACCCCGATCCGTCGGCTCCAGAAGCCATAAGATTTGGGGGCCGTTTTTCCAGCGGTACTACTTAACTTTTTGTAAAGCGGAAAATAGAGTTGGATTAGATGCACTTTGATTACTGTAGATGCAAACTGAGCATCTTAATGTTTTTCGTGATAATTTCCATTTTTACGCCAAACCGCCGGCTCCTGAAGCCCTACAATCTTGCCCCGTTTTTCCGGATGCAGTTTGTAACTTGCGGTAGCGTGAATAAAGGATTAAGACATACTGTATCTGCAAATTTATCACTTTCCATGTGTTCCTTGAGAATTTCGATTTTTTTACGCTGGCCCTCCGGCAACGCACTCTATATTGGAATTTCAAAATAGCTCCCCGGAGCCCTCTGTCTTTTTTTGTATAATATGACTCATCATAACACATGCCCCGAGGGAATTTTCGTAATATCGGAGCGGAATTTATTGTTTTAAATTTTGTTAGTTGGGATTTCGGTTCAGTAGATGCTTTAATCCCGGTCAGACCAAATGGATTCTCTACGGGCGCTTTTTTGGTTGCGTGGTTTTATGTGGATGTGGGGGGGGTTTAGATGAAAAATTCTGGTGTGTCTTAGCAGCCAAAGGGTGGGGGCATTTTTGGGATTGCTAATGATCCCATGAGCTTAAAACTTTCAGAAAAGCAAGTTTTGCATCAGTTTTTTTTTGTTTTAGCGCTTACCCGGTTTATCTCGATATTCATTCCCGAACTTGACTCGTCAAGCCTTTTATATCGGTAATTTTAATGACCAAAATAGTTCTTTAAAAAACCGGTTGATTGGCAACTATCTAGAGTACGTTACACACGTAATGGCGTCATTACCATGCTTTAACGCTTTTTTCTAGTCCACTATGAGTGGAATGCGGTCACGTGTTGCATGCAAATGCATTTGCCCGAAATTTTTGATTGAGGAGGTTTTTGCCGTCGTGAATAATCTGTAATTACATTACAATCCCAAACACTTTCTTTAAGAGCAGCTCGCCCATCTGGCCCACCGCCTAAGATGCTATATCGCGCATGTGTTCCCCGGGAAAAAGCCACCCGAATAGATTCTTGACGCCCATGGGAAGGGTTGTGTATGTGAGTGTTTGGAAGGGGGGGACGAGTAAAGACATAAGAACCGCCGTCCGGGCGCCACATCTGCATTCCGGCACCCACACACGTTTTGACAGATTCCCCCCCGCTTCAAGGCTGATTTGTCTTCGGCGGAAACCAGCCGTTCCCCCCCGCTGGTGTAAAACGCTTGAGCGATGCTGGAATTCTTCTGGGGGTGGTCATTTTAAGGGGATGGTTGTTGCCCTCAAGGAATTTCGGCTGGCAGCCTGATGGTTAGGTTGCGGGCGGGGATGGCCTAATTAGGGTCCCATAAACGGGTGCGCGGATCCAGTTTTTATGAGGGGCCTCGGGTCTGTAAAACGATCACTAGGTAATTTTCTGGGGGGGTGGCCTTGGTTGCTAAGTTGTGGTTAGATAATTTAAACTCGTGGAATTCTACCCGAAAGATCGCCCGTTGCACTCTTTGTAATTTCGTAATTGTTATCAGCTTCAATTTTGAGTCTCAAAAAGCTCGTGCTCATCCGGTAATTTTATAGAGGGAAAGGAGGTGATGGTCCTGGTTGGTGAGTTATTCGATCGCAAATTCGCATTCCGAAACACCACTTTTCTGGATCACTTTTTTGAGTCTCAGTAAGCTGAGGATTTTTACTAGATAAAACAGAGTTTAGCCCATTTGCCTATGGGCGTGGCTTTCGTACCCAAGTTTTAGCGATACAATCCAGATTTACCGAATTCCAGCAAAAACTTGCATTCCGAAACACAACTCCCCTCCACTCGTCTTTTACCCATCAATTTTTTGAGCCACAATAAGCTCGGGATTAGCCGTTGAAGGGAGGCAGAAAGGGGAGGAAGAGCGGTTTCCACCCCCCCCCGATCCGTGTTCTTATGGCGTTCCAATGTTGAGTATCGCCCATAAAACCACCATTCGGTGCTTATGGTGCGGGGCCCCTTCCCGCTTTTTCGCTAAGGATGTTCCCTCCCCTTCCGTTCGGGGCGGCTGCATCCTAAAACGCGTCCTCATCCCCTGACGGCCACTTTTTGCGAAGCCGCGAATTGGGCCGGCTGGCGCACCCCATGCTAATCGCCTTGTAATAGTGTGGTGACGCCTGGGTGAAATGTTGGAACGTTACACGCGATTTTCGGCGTTGAAACCCAATTTTTTGGTAATTAACTGAAAATCACGCCTTTATAGAGACTTCCTCCACTTCCGGTGGAACCGAATTTCTTGTTTTTGCTAGTTTTTAAGCTTAGTTGGGTAAGTCGAGCTGCTAATATTTGTGCAAAAGTTTAACTTCTGTATAGCAAACAGCTTAACCGCAGAATTTTGTAGCCTTGCAACAATTTTCGTTACATTAAACTCGTTTTTCAAATTTTCTTGAAAATCTTTTTCCTCGATCCGAAAGAATGACCTTAATTCCTAAAATCTGTTATTCCGGCACTGATCTCTGCTCATCTTCTTTAGACTATCGTTAAGCCTTCAAAAACAACCGTTGTTTGACTTTAAAAATATTTTTTCCGGAATTCAACGACCCAATGGAATGAAATTGATGTGCGCGGGGAGAGCATGTGGGTCCTCCAGTGGCCCTCCTTTTGGTCAGCCAATTTTTCTCCCAATTTCGGGCCGTGCCTCCTCCTCCAGGGCCATCCGCCTCTCCTTCACTCACCTTGCATACACTACCCCCAACACTGCTGCTCTATCCAATTTAACACAGTGTTCCACACCTCTTCCGATGTTGGGGGGTTGAAGTAAAAAACCCACTGAAGTGTTGGAACCAGTATTTAAGGGGGTTGGGCCTCGGCGGGCGAGTTGAAGGGCTCTTCTTTTCTATAGTGCACCCCGATTTCATTAGTTTATAGACGTATTAAGGAGTTTTTCCGCTAGTTTTTGTCAGTATGAGGTTTGTTCTAGAGCTTCTTGTGCTCAAGTCAGGCTTATTCTTGTCTTTACCAAACCTAAACCTTACCCCAAATCCATGCCCTTGGCAGAAGTTTATAATTTCTGGAAGTAGTAAAATTTTTTGTTACTTTTATTATGTTCCAACATTTTTCTATAACTGCCGACCTCAAAACTTTCTGATTTTCGATATTTTTTGAAAATAGCGTTTTGATCCAGGATTTGGATTTTGGATTCCAAAAATGTGGCCAGGACGCTAGCCAACCTTTATCGCGTCGTTATCTGTTTTTTGATGATCTCAATAGTTCGTTAAAACAAATAAAAAATTTATCTACCACCACTATCCATTTCAACCTCCTTTCTAAAGCTTGCCATACCCAAAAACATGCTTATTAGTGCCCCAAAACAACGCCAAGCCCAGCCCGGCCAACCCGTGCCGCTTTGTTAGCCACTTAAAAATCCGCCCTCCCACCCCTTCCATGGGGTCTCTTCTTCGTCGCTATGCATTTCCAAAAATACGCAAGCCCTCCATGTCCCATTTTTGCCCGGGGCTACAGATTTGTGGGGGTGCTCGCCACCCAAAAAAAAGTGGAGTGGATCCCATTAGTCAAGGCATTTTACGTTTCCTGGCGGTTGGATGGGGTGTGCGGGAGGAGGGTTTTTGTGAGGGGTGGCCAACCAAATGAAAAACGGATCGCGAGGGAGGGGGATGAAGCTTGGCCAGTTCTTTTTCGGGTGTTATGAGATCGGGGCGGGTCTTGGGCCTAGTGCGTACTAGGGCTTCTAATGAGTTTTTTTGGGGGGCGGATCCGTTTTATGAGGGGTCTCATATTTGTTCTCACTTGAAAGTTTTTCCTTTTATTTTCAGACCTCAAGAAATTTTTTTCAGATGTTGAAAACGCTGTTATTCACGATTTGGGCATTTGCTACTACAGGTAGGTTGTATGGATTGTTATTTGCGGGGTTCTTGAATCATAGAGTATCGCTGCATGACACACTGTATACCTCAGCTAAGACATTGAATAATGAATATTTTTTTCAGCTGTCGCGCTTGAATGTGTACAATGCGATCGCCAAGGTTTTGACTGGCATTCTGATGAAGAAAATGTAAGTTGTTAGTACGTTTTTCTGGCCCTTCAACCCCGCAAAGCAACACAGCCACTTCAGGCGCACCATGCGGAATTGTGCCAATTGGGCCAGATTCGGCCCACCCCATGTAAAAACGCATCCCACAACAGCTGCATCGTCTCCTGGTTCAGAAGTGGAATGGATCAAAGTAAGCCCTTCCTACCACCAAAAACCCCCCGCTAAAGTTCATTTACTAAAGTGAAACATTTAGCGGCGGTGCAAGCATCTGGAGGTAATTTATTGAGTAGATTACCTAGCTGTTTTTCATCGTTTATTATATCCACCCACCATTTCTACCCCCCCCCGCCTTAGCAATGTTTCAAAAGCAGTCCGGAAACCCCATTTGGTGCGGGGATGTTGTGTGGATGGGGTGGGGGAGGATATGCAAAATAAACGGGGCCCTCAACGAGAGGGCCCGAAACACGCCGAGGAGGAGCCAGAAAAGCAATTTCACACACAACGCTTGCCATCTTATTTATGGTTACACCGTTTTGGAGTCGGAAAGAGGTGGTAAGAGTCTCTTTAAAAGTCGAGGAGTGCACTAGAAAATCAAGACCGTATCCGCATGTTAAAGTATTAAAATGTAGAAAAACATTCCCTTAACAATTACCCAAAATTTAACGTGTTGAATATTAATATTCTTAAAACCCCTCGAATTTCAGCCCGAACTGTGACGCAGCGAAAGTGTGGAGTGCCCGAGGATGCGAAGGGTTGTACCTTGTACAACTCAAAAATCACGCGAAAGGTATGCTTCCGGAAAAAATGTCTCAAGGAGTATATAGGTTCGCCATTTGATCAGTCGAGATACTTCTTCTCGAAAAAGGGAACAGCAGGCGACGTTTGTAGAGGTATTTTTCAAGCCTTTTCAGTGCTATATAATTGCCATAAACTACGCGCAGTTTTCATTTTTACAACCTATTATTTAAGGTATGCTCTGAGGCGTGTGCTGGAGGTGAATGCCTTTCCTCCGCAAATCGACTCGCAAGTCTTTTTACCATCCTCACAATCGTATTTATCCGATTTTAGTCATACATGCAAATGTTGCACCCCCCCCGTCTTTCAACCATATCTCGCCCCCCTATTATTGACCCATGGCGAATCTTGCGGTGATATACGTGTGTCCGGTATTTATTCATAATTTCTATATTATTATTACAATTGTCTGTCTAATTTAATGAAATCATCTCTGTTCCTCAAATCCTATCATGGTATTCTCAGGATTTCGCGAAATTCTTGTCGTTTTGCCGACTTTGCCTTATCTCCTTCTCTCAGTTTTCAAGACCTTTCTATCGGGGCGAAGCTCAAGTTGAAGAAGGAGTTTTAAATAATTTTTAATAAATTGTTTCAAAAAGGAGAAGTCGGGGAAATATTTGGGGTGATTCACTGGAAAGTGCTTACTGAGGACGGGGTGCTGGTTTGCGTGCGCGTGCTATAATCCTGGGGCAGCGGGTAGTTTTTTTGGTACTCACGAGCCTATTTCACGGGGGCGAATATCTAGAATGGTCGTGGATGGGAAGAAAACAGTCTCAAGCAAGGCAGGATTGCTGTAGTCATTATTAAAGGGTTGCCGACGCGAAACTGGAATTTATTCGATGCTTTTTAACACGTTGGGGGATTTCTTTGTGCTAACTTCCATGATAATTTGAATCAAAACTTGCTAAATTTTGGGTGTGCGCGCAAAGGTGAAACTGGCAGAATCCGGAAAATCGGGATCTCTAATTCTCATAACTTCTAATTTTTAGGGTAGCCGAACACCCGTATTTTTGATAGGTTACATTCGTGCGCTGAACGTTGATTCATTTAATGGAAACTTCGAACTTCAGAAAATTCAATATACAAAAAATTCGAATCCTAACCAGGGTTGAAAAGCCGCTTCGCGACTTTTCAACCCTGACCCCGTTTTAGACCAATGAAGGTTTACACTTTGCATAATTCGTCCCGACCCACGCTGAAAAAAAGGGAAAAATGCGCTCTCTGCTTCTTTATATAGGCTACTCCCACTTCCGGGGTATGCTAATTGATTCCTAACAAAGAGGGTCTCGGATTTTTCAACAAAAACTAAAATTTAATGTCGAAAATAGGCGAGTTTGATAAATCTTATATGCGTGCAGTAATCCCCAGACCATTACGCACCTAATGACGTATCAAACAGACCCCGAACTACTCTTCTTCTTGAGATACGATTGGAACAACCTGACGGAAGTTGCATGCAAAGTGGCACACACACATACACACAGACACTATTTTTTTATATATAGTAGGATGTGCAATCCATACGGATCTGCCCTCCGTTTTAAGAATTCAAATAGGACGCACTGTAGAGAGTACGTTTTCTTCACGCAGTATCTAGAAGTTCGTTCTCAAATACCCCGAACGGCGATCCAATTACCAAAAGCTCTATCTCCATTAATTCTTCATCGTGACAAGGCCGTGTGGCCGCCCTGGAGGGGGTAGATAGATGTGGTGGTGGGGGGCTGTCTACGGGGCGGGTGGTCGGGTCCGCTGTTTGTCAGTCTTCTCAACCGTCTCCCGGCCATTCCGAGCTGCGAACAGCTTCATTTCCTCTTCACGAGAGCCCTTATTCTTTCACACTGGTTACTCGCCTCTCCCAATATTTTTACGCGTTTTTTGATGCCTTACAAAACGTCATTTCGTCATTTCCGGGCTGGGGCGACACTGAGGAAGCTATATCTTAACTATGATCCGTGTTCGTCGACGATGGGATACACACAATACTTCAATGCCGATCAAATGTCTGAAAGTCTCACTAAATTCCACAGCTTTTTTCAACGACTGAGATTTTTTTACTCCATGATGCGAAATCAATGCATTTTTGCCCATGGTGTCTCGTTCCAGTTTAGAAATTTTTTATGGAAGTCCACCAGACAGACCTCTCCATTGTTCCAATGCTCCCCGTAATGTTAGCACAGAAAGCAACATTCTGAATCCGGTTCTGGCCTCTAGTCTATTCGGCGCCTTTCGAGAAGCACGTTAATTCCGTCTAGCAGGAACTTGCCTAGTCAAATAAGCTGATTTTTAGTTTTGGACTATGCCTCTTTAATCCTTAAACTTGGGAGGAGGCGAGGTTGGGAAAACAACCTTTTTATTTTCTGTTGTTGTAATGCTCGCATGATTGTTCAGCAGCTCTTAAATTTTTCAAAAACTAGCGCGAGCGATTTCGTTATCGGCTGGATTTTCTATAATATGGCGCTCCAATAGTTAACTTTTGTCGTTGACTGTCATGTTGAGTTTCTCAAATAGCCAATAATCTAATAATCGTTGACTCTCATGGGGACGAACCTCACAACCATGCTAGCTTCATTCCTACCACCGGTCCGCCTTGGTACAAACATCACAACCCGTCTTTCCATATGTTTTCCAGTACTCCCATGACATCATCCACAACAACCTTACCAGATTCCTTCCACTTCATTATACCCATGAATCATCAGAAGATGTTGGTGAAGCACTGTGGGGGTGTGGGGAGGCCTGAATAGGGGGGGCTCTGTTCTGTCTGTATCTCTTGAAAGACAGAAGAGACTGGTGCCCGTTTGTCCACGGGCTTACACGACATTCCCAGGAGGAGGCCCAGACGACCCGAATCCCTCACCATCTACCAGCAACTACCACGAAATGGCCGGGCAGAAGAAGAAGAAGCCGTCGGCTAAAGGGTCGTGCGGGTGTTGGTGGGACTGGATGGGGTGCTTCGGTGCGTTGACCCGTTTGGACACCTCTTTTCTGAGCGCTGTATTGTGTTTCCGTTCGGATAGTTTTTGCCCATCAGCCAACCGAGGATTCTACAAGGAAGGCTTTGAATTGAACGTCTATATTTCTAGATTTTTCTTATGGCCCGAAATAACGCAAATCGAGTCTTAAAATCGATCGATTTTGATCAATTCCGCCGGTTTTCGCCAGGCCAGACGGCTTAAAATTCCTGCAATCTCAGCAAAAGACGTTAAAATGTGATTGTCAAATCAACTTGCATGAATGTTAAATAATAATTCAATTACTTACCTAAAAAAGATGTCGGCATATTTAACCGGGTGCTGATATTAGAGGGCCTCATGCTATTTTTTGGATCTGTCCGGATTGATCGGTCCGGAAGAGATCATTTTCGTAGAGCTTATACTAGATGAAAAGCGTAAATTTGGAGCCAACCACCAGCGTCAGCAACAAGCCTTTAGTACATAAATTTCGCTAACGACGGTACAGTCGGGAGCATTGTTTGTGGGTATGGGGTAGCAACTAGTCTGCATGTTGACTGTTTGTTTCGGTTTTTTCCGGAAGCTGAAGGAGAGACAGTTAGAGTCACGTTGGTATATACTAGGGCTTTGATTATATCTTTTTACATTGGTCTTACTTGCCCGAAACTCTATTTTTGTATTTCTACCTTCGATCCCATTGTTCTTTTGGACCGACGGTGACCTAGGCTCGCGGTAACGCTTCCAAATTTTTGGATTGGCTGAACAGACGAGTCTCCATGCGATTCAAAACGACGCCACCTCCCGACAGGTTCAAAAATAATTTAAATTGAGTAAATTAAATTGCTTCTAGCGGCTTCCTTCAATGAGTGACAGCCTCGGCGGGTATGTCGGCGAACCGATCGAGCCATTCCGGTGCTGCCGGCTGCGGATTCGGGTATGCAAAACTTCGCGCGGGACATTTTCATTATTTCAGACGGGTACCTTCGTGATTGCGTATTTTGAATTGATCCTCATCTTCACGAACATATTATGCAAAGCGTTGGGTTATTTGGAGACGGCCTGGAATTGGGAGCTTCTATTCTTGGTCGTCGACTCGATCACGGTGCTTTCGTTGATATACGGTACCTGGAGGGCCCGGGCAGCATTTATGCAGCCGTTCGTTGTTTTAAATGTAGGTTTTATTAATAATCAAATGATATGCTAAAATTTAGATAATGACAATATCATTGCTAGGGTTGGGGACTGCGTTCTTCATTACAGCAGCGGTAGATAAGGTAAATAAGATGTAAATACTATTTTTTGTATTTCTAGCGGTTACTTATTGATTGAAATTAAATAACAAAAAATTATTCAAAATACTTTTTTAGCATTCTTATGCCGGTGAATATGTTGAAATGGAGTTGCGGGACAGTTCTCATCACCTAGCCGTTTTCTTTGGGGTCGATCAATCGTACGGTAGGTGATTTAAATTCACGCATTTTACGCAAATAATGATTATACTAATAATTTACATTTAATTACAGTAGTACGAATCGTTGGCGGGTCCACAGCTCTAATTATCGGTCTTACAACGATTGTGCATCTGTGGTTCTTCAGAGTGATCGTTCAATGCGCCCAGTATTTTCGAGAGGTCTCCAAGGCGGCGGTAATAAATTAAATTTCGGTATTTCTAATTAAAGCTATGACCTTAGGAACGCTCCTCCATCGTTTTTGCAGAAGTCTCAATAGCTGAATCTGACAATACCAGTACGGTTTAAATGTGTCGTTTGTTGTAAATTAAACCGAGTCGAATTTATGCGGGCTCGAGAAACCGCCCAAACAAAACAAAACAAAACAAAAAGGAGACCGAAATGAGCAAATAAAAAAATGTCACCCGTATGGACAAGGAATAAGTGGATACGTTGCACATGTGACAGTCAAGGGTTGGGGAGGGAAGGCAGATAAAACAATACCAGTTTTCCCCCTAGACATGGCAAGCTTATAGAAATTTATAAAATCCCAAAATCTCACCAAAATGTTTGCTATTCTTGACTAATTTACAGCAGACGATTGTTAGAGATACTAATATCTCTAAGCCTTAATCTCAAAAGAATTTGTACTTATTAATAGAAGTCTAAAAAATAAGAAAAAAGGATATGTTTTTGCGTCGTGCCTATCGATTGACAACACCATATGCTGAAAGGTAACGGTCGGACGTACCGATCCCCATTATCGGTCGGATAGGGTGGAGAGATAATGACGTCGGTGTGGTGATTTTCCGACCTTCGACTTCATTATTTTGCACTCGCGTCAAGAGCTTAAGATATTTCCATATTGCGCTATATGATTTTTACTCACTTTTCCGGATATGTCGTAGAGGATCACTTCGGAATTTTCGTCTCTAATGGCAGCGGCCATTTGCTAAAAGATAGGGATGCAGCTTTCTGCGATGTTTAGTATAGCTTAGTTCCTAAACAACATTAGACTCTTTAAAACCTACCTGTCCATTTTCATGCACTGCAAAATGTGAAATAACCGTCCTGTCATTCGTTGCATACTGTGAGTTGTGTTTGTTCTCATTGCTCAATGAGACCACGGGCTCCTAATGACATTAAATTTGTAAAAAGCTGATTCGGAATCCATTACCTTATACATTCTCGGCTCATAGACTTGGATAGCGCCATTTATCCATCCAATGCATAGCTTCGGATTTCCGGTGCTATCGGTTGTTATGTGCATTCCAACAGTCTTGTAGCCATTAACAGGGGTGATGAAGGTACGAGCTTCCCGGGCTTGAAGACGACTGTCATAAACTCGTACGACACCATCTTTGAAGCCTTAAAACAATTTGGAAGCGTTGAAGCATCGCTAGAAACTCACCAACAGCAAACAATTTGCTAGAACCAAGATCATTCGCAACGGCTGTGATGGAACCCTCTTTGGCATATTCGTACAGGACTTCATAAGTATGACGCTCGCAATGGGCATCCCATAATCTTGCCGATCGAGCAGATCCAGCTATCGCTAATGTTCCACTGGGTTGGTTCCAGCTAAAAATTGGTTTAAAAACTCCACTCTCTCCGCTACCTGTAAACTGCAGGTGCTTTCGAGGATTTTTGATAATTTATAGGATTCTTCATCATGTTTCCTAGCGATTGGAAGGCGGTCATCTAAAACCAAGAGTATTTGAATGTATTTTCCAGGCCATACCATTTTTGGCGGGCTCCTAAAACGATCCCCACTATCCGGATCGAAGTTGATGTTGAAGATACGAACGATTGAATTTGCAGACCCAACCAACACCATCTCATTTCCCATTGGATTTATGGTTTCGATATAGCAGGCTTCATCCTAAAGAAATGAAAATGAAAATTAGTTGCGCATCCTCAACCTCCATAAAGTTATTTCCGCCGTAAATATGCCACCGCAAGACTTCGTAACAACTCTTGGTGTCATATTTGTAGGCGTAGATGTAGTTCTTATCGGTTCCATAGAAATATGGTCGTAATCGAGAGAATGCAGAGGCAACGATGGGTTCATCAGATCTCACGGCTAGCATTTGAACGTTTGGATCGGTCGCCTGAAGGATCGGACGTACTAAATCAGGATAGACCTACCTGACGTTGCATTTTCTTTGTTCTGGGATTTAATATCGTCTTGTAGCCCTTTTCAATTGCGTCGAATTCATCCGCCGCTAGTGCTTCCAGCTTTTCATTTTCCAGTTGTTGATACAACGTTGGGTGATGGGCTGTATTCATCCTATCGCCAAGCCCATCACACGGGGAATCACTCTGAAAATTCCTTTTACAACTTATGCACTCGAACTCACCAAAACAAGACTGATACAAGGATCCGCAAATCCTTTCCCGAGCCACTTGATAAATTCGTTGATGAAGAGCGGCTCGTAGATGGGAGGATTGATGGAGGATTCTTCGGCCTTTGGGTGAGGCTGAGGTGCCTTCATTTCGGATCCACCTATCCTTCCAGCCTAGATTTTTAACGTGAACAGAAATTTTAGATTACTCACAATGGTCCGCTTGGCAATGAAAGTATGATCCTTGGCAATAATCGAATTCGGATTGAAGTCTTTCATCGTCAGATTATTCGGATCCGCACTCATTTGCTTACGCCACATCAAAAAATCGATGGCACCTGTTTTTTTGACCAATATGTGCTGTTTAATGGGCATACCAGTTGGTGGTTGCATAGAGTCCATCTTCACCTTTGGGCTCAATGGTGTTTTCACTGGCGATGTCGTGGTAGATCCCTTTCGAGGCTAAAACGTGCCAGTATTCCGAAAAATAATATATTGTATATTGCGCCTAAAACAGAAAAGGCAAAGCTTTGAACCTCATCTGAAGACCTGAGACGCCAAAAGGGGCTCAAAAGTGATTTGCTCTAGAATAGGTTATTCTTGGTTAATTAATGTCTTATTAAATAACTATAAACGCAATCCTTACCACAATTTCCTTAATCGAGCCGTTGCCACTGGTTGTTGTTGCCTCTTTGTCGAGTTTTAGCATAAGCCCCGTATCTTCCGGTTCATCTTCGACGACATCTGTGGTAGATTGGGGAACGTAATTGCTCCGAGGTGAGGTTGATAGTGGTGGTAATTCTAAAAAAAGATATGGTTTTAGCATTATTCCTACCTTTCCGCATCTCAGCCAATGACGCTTTCCTGCTGGGAGGCTTGTTTTCTTCAGCGATTTTTCCGTTGATTTTGAACTAAATTAGCATGACCTCAAAAGGATTAGTTCAATAATTTGAGAAATTGATTTTTTCAAGAAATTACCGCATGCATTCGCACAGACGCTAAAAGACGACGCTCAATTGAAGCTCGATATTCCAGGGCCACATTTTCGATCTTTCGAATCAGCATTTGACCAAGCTCGCTGATCTAGAATATATAAAATTAACGAACTCTTTAGTAAAGACAAAACCTTCGGCATCGGATCCAGAACAAGCCTCAAAAGCCCTAACAAGACTCGATAAAACGGATCCATAAACTGATGAGTCTCCAGGCTCGAAATTTGCTTCATCACCCGCAACCTGAACCCACTTGTTCCGGATTTGCTGAACAAAAACCTGAAGCATTTTTCTCGCTTTGTCATCCCACCGACCCCAAAATAGATTTGGGTTTTGCGCGGTAATGTAGGGCGAGCGGTAGCCCTGAAAAAAAACTTATTAGGGCTGACCTTTGGGCCGTTAATCCATTGTTTGGGCGGAATTTTGTAACAAAGAAAAGGCATCGAAGCGTTGGCCATTATCTCGAATAATCCTCCCCCCGAGCAGACTCTTCATTAAATAACTTTCCGCCCGGACCCACTACATCCCCGACAAATGTGGCTGCAGACGTTCTTGTTATGTATATTTGTCTTAAATGTGATGGCGCTGGATATGGATTGCAGGTAACTATATTTCTATGGTATTAAAGGAAGAATAGGCGCTTTTCATTTGCACCCAATTGCCGTGGGATGCATTTGAAACGCTCTGCCCCCACTACAGAACTTAACGCGGATCAAGAAAAATGACGGTTAAGAAAGTCTTCTATTTCAAATATTTTTTTTAGAAATTTTTGGGCTTGGTGCTAAACGACTTCGTTGGTGCGCTATATCGCGAAAAACCTGGAGACTGCGTGAACAAGGATTGGGTCGTCATCAGACTGTTTTCCGCCGTGAAGCAACATAATTTTGTTTGGGACGAATAATTAATTTAAGGTATTGTTCCGGGTTTTTTACAAATTTGAGATTTTTTCTGCTATGTAGTAGATAGAAACTACCTAATCATCCTCTAGCGGAACAATATTTTAAATTTTTACCTTCCAAAATTCAAATGATCCTGATCGGTTAAAGAACTATGTTAATTACAAGCTTAATCACTTTCAATTACAAAAAAAATACAAAAACGAACCCCTTCCCGTAAGGCCTTGCTTCCGGAAATTCCTCCCAGAACGGCGTGATACCGCCGTTTTTCTGGACGTCCTTTGAAGCCTCAAAGTCTTCCAGCATTACCTCCTAAAACGCATCAAAGAATTTCGTGGTAAAATCTCAAATACTCACCACAAAATCTAGCTTGCTCTGCTCGAGCAATCTCACATAGTACTTGCTGAGAATTTCTTCAAAATCGATGACAAAGTATTGAAGGGCTAGGCACATTTCTTCTCGAACCAAGGTTGAGCCGTCAAAAAGACAAGCAGCAATGATTGCCGTAGCCGCTTCACCATCAATCTGAAGTAAAGATTAGCTATTTTTAAACAAACACAACATACCACAGTTGCATGTTCGTTAGTATGTGAATGATTCTTTATCAAACATCCTAGAGAATAGCAAGCACATGCTCGAGCCTCAGCGCTGTCGTTTGTTAGATCTTCGATGACCTGAGTTTAACTAATGTCAATTTGCGCCAATCAATCAAACCTTCTGGAATCCGCTGACTCGAACGGCTTGCCAGCGAGCATCGTTAAAGTCACGCCACAAATTACCCATAGCCACATTCAGCCATCCGCGAAGCAAATGAACCTAAAAAAAAATCAAAAATTACCACTTCTCAAAATACCTCTTTTGATGCCGGATCGACAAGCACTTCACTGCAGTCATTGATAAAATTACGATCAGTGAGATAGCGGCGAGCATCATTTGCATTTTCAAATGATGGATGGAATAACATCGCCAATACGTAGGCAACAACAATTTTCTGCCGAGCACTGACACCAGTGTCGTTGAGGATTTGGAGGAAGAAAAGGATTCTAAATCAAATTTTTGCAAGATCTTGTAAAATACCTCATATGACGAAGCTCGGGTCGGTAGAACGATACCTGCACTCCGCCTTCTTCGCCGACTTCTTGGTATAATTCACGGTTAATGTCTTTTTCGACAGCGAGAATCTTTGCCCAGATGAAAGCAAGCCAGGGCTTCAGGTCACTAAAGGAACGTAAAATTCTGGATAAAGACTTACCGTTGTGTTGTTTGAAGCAGTTTCATAATGTATGGGAAGATACCGACGGATAGGGTATAGGCAATGGCCCAAGTGCCAAGGTCCAGGAATTTCGACAGTAACTCGAGCGCATGGGTACGATGTTGCTAAAAAAGTAAACGTCTTCGATTAACGATTACCGAGTTCCGTTAACAATAATTAAGTGGCACGAACCTGACTGAGAAGGACTTGTAGAACAACCGGAAGTTGTATCGGAGGATTATCCTTGTCATGGAAGCCTTCCAACCAAGTTTGAAAGGCCCTCATTTGATGGACAAAGAAGAGGTGGCTCTGTTCTCCAAACGCAACTTCCGCTTCGCTTAGATCCAGCACTACAAATTTTCCATGCAGGACGCGTTTTTTAGCTTACATTCTTCTCGTTTACTCGTGGCTGTGAAGAGCTCATTGGCAACAAAGAGGGATTTGTTCCTGGAATTAGGTTTAAAGAAAAACTGAAAAACCTACAATGGATTCTTGCCATAGATATATTTGTCCAAATAATCGATAGCATAGTCCAAAGTCATCTCCCAGCTCTCCCAAAGCGGATGGTCAGCCATTTTTGGGAGCCTTGGGAAGGAATCCGTGTGACATCCAAAATATTCCAAAACTTTTTCCGCTAGGAGGTAACTTCGGAATAGCGAGGCTAGCAACAGATCCTAAGCTTTTAGCTTTATCCTAGTTTTTCTCCGTGCCAACCTGTCTGAACAATTTCTGGAATATCTCCCTCGAAAGGCAGTTCCAAGCAATCGTATCGGTAATTGCCGTGAAGATCCAGTTCAGCTCTCCCATTAGTGTGCGACGATCGGTAATCTGGCCAGGGATATGGGCAAATAGATCCTCGGGGAATTTGTGACGGACGTCCTTTTTGATCATGTACCTAATTTCAATGATGAATTAAAGTATCCCTACAAACCATAAGATGCTGGTCTGGATTGGGGTGGTGAGACATGATGTGAAAAGATCGGCTGGTAGACGCGGGTCAAGTGGAAGCCGTTCGTCTCCCCCACATGATGCCATGTGGACACATTCCTTACATAATTATTAGTTTGGTTTTTGATCCTGGTATTACCATAAAATTTGGTGGTTTGTGAAAGCCGTAGAGTTTTGCTTGCTCGACATAAGTTGTGCTGGAGGTGATCTCAGGACGTGGGCCCTCGAATTTTTCCTTCCAATCTTGGAACTCGTGCTCCCAATCCCTAAAAAGACATATTTTTACACTTGTGATCATACTCCATGTGTTGCTCAGCGAATCTGATAAATGCATCAATGCAGTTGGCCGCCGAGTTGCAATCCCAAACGTACACACAAGGGAATTCGAGCCAAGTTTGGAGGGTACAGATGGACACCTGAATCGAGTGGTTGTTATTAGTGCGCCGTGGTATTTTTGATTCCTTATCATATCGGCCGAAATCAATTCGAGCCACTTACGGGAATATATTGCGTGTATAGTTGATTGAATACCCAAATTTCGCCGTTCTTTGTTGGACGCGGGACACCGTGGCCGTTATAGTGAAAAAGTACACGTTCTTCCTAAAAGTAAAGTGGTTTTCCGATTATTCAGACAAGTTGTCTGCCTCTCGCTCTCTCGCTCTCTCTCTCTCTCTCTCTCTCTCTCTCTCTCATTTCCAATCGCCTTTTATGTTGGCTTTCCTCCCCGTCCTCAATACCCTTATCACCTGCACGTGGTGTCAAAAATCCAGAAATGCCCCCTGCACTCTCATAAAAACCAGACAAAACCCCCGAACTAACCCGAGCGTTCTTCCTCATCGAACAGCAGACCTTCTTCAGGTCCTCGTGCGTTGGATCGATCGATACCTTGTATCTGGAAACCCATATGCAAATTGGGGCCAAAATACCGGGCTCGAGGCTGCAGCCGGGCATAGGCATTCTGGAGCTCGTAACCTATTGCGCTCGTCGATTTTTGTGCGCTCCAGCCTCGGGGATCAATCCAGGCTTCGATGCGGGCACGCTGCTCGGGCCAAGGTTCAGGATCGGGAGGATCAACGCCTGGAATATTTAAATGCTTATAAAAAAAAACAGAAATACGCGAGATCTCTACTCGAATTCCATTTTCCGGTTCGGGAACGCCCCTTGGCAAACATAGAAAAAAGGGTGTACCTAAATGCAAACAAAGCACCAGTGCCATAGATACAGTCTTCATTCGCTCCTTTCCGTTGAACCTGGTCCAAATGTCGGGGTCTAGCACCTCTCGCGTGCCACGAATCTTTTGTATGTGACGCTCTTCTTGGAGAAAGTTTGAGGTCAGGAAATTGTATCGCTAAATTGATAATTGTTACCATGCACTTAATTCATGACTACCAACCCCAAGGATAAGCCTAGCCGTTTCTGCACGCGTTCCTTCATATTCAGCTAGCGTGGAAATTGGCTAAAATTTGCCTAAAATAAAGCAAAAAAAATCTTAATTTACCGCGGTATCGACTTCTTCAGCATCTTCCTCGATAGCCGCGATCATCTGGAGGTAGACATGTTTGCTAATGTCCAAATCATATATAGTCGTATCCTCCCCAATGTCCGCCATTCTACAATTACTTAGAAATGAAGAATTCTGATATTTTAACAATCGTATGCGATAAAGTTCCATTGAAAATTTTTATGATAAGTGTCATGAAAGGCTATGCGTATTCAAAAATGTTTTGATCCGAATAGAAGATTTGAATTGGAAATACACAGAAATCACAAGACAGTCGCCTGGTGTTTTGCGGTATGAAAACCGTGCCCACAGGTTGTGAAAGGAGTCGCGTGAGGGCAGCTGAAAAGCCTAGCTTTTTGCGCTGCCGATAGAAAATTAATGGGATCAATGGGTCAAATATCTAACAATGATTCTTTATTTACCAATTATTCACTATACTGTAATTGAGACTTTCTACAAAATAAATTAGCATTTTGTTATCTAAATGTATTGGATAGCAGACCTATGGAACAAACCAGTGCTTATCAGGTGAGAAAGGGGCTTAGCCGTCGAGAATTTGGCTTTAATTGAACTTTTATCAAAGTGCAAACATCAAAAATTATCGCAAAATATAACAATAGCATTGTTAGGTTATATTTACAATTTATTGTCTTTGTTATTGAAAGCGCTAGTTTAGGTGGCGTGTTGATTTGAAGTTGCGGGGGATGGAAGGCAAAAAGCTCTGGGGGTTGGTGGTAAAAACGGGGGTTAGAGATAGGGGATAATAGAGAGACAGATGCCAAGGGGCCAGAGGTATGCCAGGGTGAGATAGTGTGTGAATGGTGGAGGATGTAAGATACTGTCTACGCCGGGGCCGCCCTGTGTCCACGTGATATCGCTCCCGTAACCGCGATTTGCCCCAATAAAACCGTCGAAACATGCCTGAAAATTAATTGGTTGATACATCAAGTTGAAGGAAAACTTGGCAGAAAGATACCTAAGAAGTTCGCTCAAATAAAATGTCTTAAAAAGCGAAGAAAATGAAATAGTTAGCGATTTTCGTTAACCAGTCGGATTTCGTAGAGCAAGGGAAATAATTTAAATAATTTCCATAGACATCTTTATTAAACCAAAATAGGTTTATGTCTATTTATGCTTTTTGTTGGGGATGAAGAGCTTTTAATTTTAAAGATTTTTAATTTGGGTATTGAAAAAACTAAAAATAATTCGCTAATAAGGATCGTTTGAAAACACATCTTTTCCAATACGGAATGCCAGTATTTAGCTGGTATCGAAGTCTGGTACAACTACCGGGCCTGGGTTTTGCGTGTTTTCCGGAACGATTCGTAGCTTCAGAAAGCGTGGCCTGCGACCGGAGACCGGAAAACACTTTTAGCAGCACGTGAGGAGTGGTGGGAGATTATGATTGAGCGTTTCTCGTTGTAATTCATCGGATCTCGGATTCAAAGCAGGCGGATGTAGCGCGAATTCAACGAGTTATCAGAAAATAAAAATTCAGGTGCAGAGCAATTCGGTACAAACTATAATAACCTGTAAGATTCATTAGTCCCCTGTTTTTGAAAATAATTATTCTGATCCAAAGGCGAGATGTAATTGTCTAATGACTTCTTCTTGCGCAATATGGTGCCTGTGTGAATATCCACAGCATATGGTAATAAACCGAACGCCACCATCCACCATAACCCCGTCCATAACTTCCAACCATTACCCTCCTTCCTCTTCCGACCAAATCACACCCCACCGCTTTTACAACCACATTCTCATTTGGGTAGCTCCCGGGTGTTTCTTTTGGCATCGCCCTGGCTGTTGGGGCCTCTCTCTCTATCTGGGAGTAAAAGCGTATCTCGAAACACATAAAATCCGCGTCGGGGCTTCGAGCAAGGGGTGTGGTGCGTATGAAGTCACTCCAGAGTCCCCACCCCAAATGCCATCCACAACAATACTGCTTGCAGGTGGTTTTATACGGCTATCTATATGGTGCTTCTGTTTTTGGGTGATTTTGGTGGTCATTTTGATACATTTTTTGGTGGTACTCTCTAAAATCGCAGAAATTGCGCCGATACATGGGCAGGGGCGATTTCTTCCTGAAATCTGGCATATTAAGAACGTCGGATCTCTGCCGAGATGTCCCTATCTCTATTTGCATTGAAGGCCTGGTCTGGATTCTTTTTTGTAGCCTATCAAAGTTCAGTTCGACCCGACTCGAAAACATTTAACAATTTTTGTGATTTTTTTCTAGGACCCGAAGCTCATTAAAGCCCTTCTTGTTTCAGCTTTCTCGTATAAAAATAGAATACTGTCCGTAGCACGTTTTTTAATTTAAAAGGCCAATAATTCTGCAATTTGCGTGCTTGTTATATTAAAAATTAGGCTCACCAGATCTTGCCTAGCCGGGAAAATTCACGATACTATTTTTGTGCAATTTCGTCAGCTCAAACAGATCTTTTTTCGAACCTTACATATTTTTGTACATTTTGTACAAACGCAGATTGAATGATCGTTCTCAGAGAAAAATAATCGAACTACATTGACGTCTAACCCAAACTGTATGAAAAACATGGATTGCTTGACCCTACCCCAAGACCGCGCGTCGTATTAAAAATCTACTGTATTTCAGACCTTGCTTTAAATTCGTTATATTCTAACTATGCGCGCCTCAGTTTTCAAGCCCGGAAGGCACTATTGTCGTCAAAATTGCTAAATCTTTCCCCGCTTAAGCAGGTTGATTCAAGAATCCGTGGCCGGTGTATGCATTTCAGTGTTTCTTTGGGGAAGGGTTGCGTGTCAAAGCTATCAATATGACATAAATTCGCCTCGGTCCTCCCAGTCACTACCACGTTTAATTGCTCACTGGGGTCCCCACTAAATGGCCAGTGTCTTTTCATAGTCAACCCAGGCAAATTGATTGTGGTGTTAAAAAATCGAAAACAGAATAAAAACAATAGTTGTATTAATCTATAATTTAGTATTGAGTCTACTTTTCCTAAATGTGGACGCGGCGGACTCTGAGGGGAAATCCTTCATTTTCCTATTTACGAGAAATAGTGACCAAGCGATGAACGGAAATACAAGGGTAGGTTGGAGGAAGATCAGGCATAGAAATAATAATTTTTAGATATGGGTCACCCTTATCAACAAGGGGCCGAACCCAATCTTCGTAACCCTGGATTTTCCCACCTCACCGGCAAATCCGAGTGTCGAACAGTGGACGAATGCCAATGTCACCGTTGGCGCCAGTGATTATGCAGATGTAACTACGTCATTAATTTAATTATAGAATATCTAGGTTGATCTACCCCCAGCTCTGGCCTGGGAGTACGCAAATTCGGGATTTGCAAAGAGCTATGACACTCGAGTTTACATCACGGCCAATGATACCATTACTGTCCTTGCCAATAATCAGAATAATTTAACGATGCAGACGGATACTTTCTTGGGTGATTTACACTCGCTAGTAGAAATCTTTTATAGTGAATCCAAAGGAATTCGTGACCAACCTGGCTGCCGGTACCTATCGATACGCTGTCGCAGCGCCCAAACCGACAATTTCAAGCCAGTTCACGGTCTTCACTTTTATTCCTCTAACCGGAGACTTTACTTTGACGTTGACGGTGGGAGGAGGACAAACATTGACCCAGGTACGACACTTTTTAAGGGCAGTATCTCAATTGTAACTTAGGATCTGACATTCACGCGCGGCCAATGGCAATATTATTACGGAACGAATAGTTTCGAGACACACGACCCGGTCATATATGCTAGCGGTAATAAGCCCTTTGCTATGGTTGTCTCGATCTCATGTGGCCCGACAGCTGATCCGCTAAGATGCGATCATTCTGCTTTCATGCCACAACCCTTGACCAGCGATTGTAAGTCTCTTCAAAAAGTTTTAACTCTAACTCTTATCGTGGCTTTCAGATTTCGATACGTATCCTATCCTCGATGATCGCCATCTTACTGATCTACTCTCCGCACAGAAGTTCTATATAGCCCCACCCCGGAGCGACGTCGCAAAGTTCAACGTAATTAAAAATTGTCGCCGAATATCCATTTAGGTCCTGGGAAATGTGACTCAAAATGGAACTAACGTTGGAATTACAACTATCCCGATCGATCCGTCGTCCGCGAACTCTTTCACTTTCCCGCAATTTGAATATGGAGATATTGCCGATCTCCAGAGCCAGTAAGATCTAATGTCGTTATATAATATTCTTAGGAATGCGCTTATTCAAATTACTCGAATGGGTGGAGTGCCGTACGCGCGTACTGGGGGTGCCTTTTTGAACACGGTACCGGCTTGGTCACAAGCGTCTGGCGACCAATTCTCCTTCGTCACGAGATACCCCAGCGACAAATTGATGGTACTGCACCTTTTAAAAACAGCATTTTTCGATGCACTTTAGTGTTTCATCAACTCAGCTGCGTTTGTTGGAGGCTCGTTAGATGGGCAACTATTGACCACCATGACCAGGATAGATTTCATCGAGGTCGTCGCGTCACATGAATTCTTAAAAAACCAAAAAGGCTAGATCGACCGAATAATAGACGCTTTAGGTTCGCATCGGAACTCAACTTATCTGGCTGTTCGTGACCCCGATCAACACCCCGGGATACCATAAATTTTCTCCCGCGACTGGAGTTACACTTTGTTATGTGACCGGAAATGCAAATTCCGGATCGGCTTATGGATACCTCGCGAACTTCAATCGTGAGTTTGTTGATGATTCTGTACGTCAGGGTATTTAGGGCAGCAGTTAAATTTGTTTGCCAACGTTTCTACAACTACTTCGACGACCACGACGACGACGACTTTTACTACTGCTACCACGACATCAGGAACCGGTACACCGGCGACAACGACAACAGGCACGCCGGGAACAGGTGTTTTGACAATGGTGCTCAAGTATGACGAAAAAAACTAGGACCGACTCCATCGACCAATACCGCCTCTACAGCTACTGTTATCACGGCCGCACCCAGTTCTGCTACAGCCACAGTTACAACCCCTACCGGAGCCACTGTCACCATTGCCTCTACAACCGGTGAGCTAGCCACTTCCACTCTTCCATTGTGCTTTGCCTTGACTTTGAACTGCTTGCAACAGGTGCTTCTTCGTAGGTGCCACCTCCCCGGCTACAACTCCCACCTCGACAAGCACCACCACCTCCACTACCACCACGACAGTAATCACACCAGTGCCCACGGGGACTACGACACCTACTACAACCAATACTGCTGTCACTACAACGACATCAACCACTACCACCCCGTCCGTTGCCCCTCCCGTCACGACGTTGTTAACCCAAGCTGCCACTTCGACGCTAGCAACTGTAGCTGCTACCACAACTGCCCCTACTACCACCAGTATCGCTAGTGCAGCACCGGTTACTACTACAATTCTACCAACCAGTGCTACAGTCATTGTTCCAAGCATCCCTACAACAACGACCACGACCACCCGACCACCCACCACCATTGGATCGACAACCGGTAGCTAAAATCGATCAATTTATTTAGGATCCCCACGCTTATTGTTGGCATTGGGGACGCGCTGGGAAATCTTTTTTCAAAATTAAGGCCCAATTTTCCAGTTCGAGACGAGACCGGTGCGGCTGCGTCAAGGTTTTCATTGGTGACGTTGTTAGCATCGTTGCTGTTGCTACTACAGATCGCCCGTGCTTGATAAATTATCGGATTTTTCGGCATAAAGAAGGTCACTTAAATCTATGACACTGAAGCTGGTAAAAGAAAATAAATAGATAAATAATTGCTAGAAGATGAACAGTGTTTATTCCATAAAAAATGAAAGATACAGACAGATGTTTCTTTCAAAGTTAGACAATTCACCAACACGATTTTTTTAGAGAATCTGAACTCTTTTCCGACTTTTCCGACTCTCGTGCTAAATTCACCGATCAGACGCATTGTTTTTCCATCATATCTTCATGCCAGTTTTCCTCCACAAGAACTGCCGCTTTTACCACTTCCTCCATCATCCTCACCCCTTGCTAGCCACTCCCTCCCTCTAACAGCCCCCTAATTCGTCGTGGATCGGGAACGTTAATTTGCATTAGAATCACCTCACATCCATGGCAGCCGATCGCCTCTTTTTGCCCCCCACCCGGACTGCCGGAGGGCTCGATAAATTGGGATGGAGCTCGTTGCCGGGTCATCTTCATTCTGCCCACTTCATCCTCCCCCATTTTCCATTCTTCCTTCCGCTTTTTCGAACGCTCCACTTGAGGATTGGAAAAGCTTTCCAAAACCAAATGCTTTCCACTGATTCTCGGTTGAACAGCAGTTTGCTAGCTTCTCTATTGTATCGCCGATTTGGTGCCCATCTTATCGGTGGCTCTCATAAGCCGAGAAATCGCCGGCGGGAGTCGCACTCCCTTCTCGCCGCCCTCACACCCCCTTCACGGTCACAGAAAAATGGCTTCGAAACACCAGACATACCCGCTTACACTTTCCAGCCGATCGCCCTCGCACTTTGAGTTCCAGTCATTTGAAGGTCTGCCGGCAAATTCGACGGCAGCGCCATTAATTAGCGACCGATCGTTGGGATCGTCAGTCAGCCGTGGCTATTCTATGTCTTAACGAGTGCAGAGCGGGAAAGCGATTGGTTTCCCGTTGTATTTAGCCTAATACCTTAATTCATTAAAAGTTCGTAGCGTAAATCCTAGCTGATATATATCTAGCTATCTTGCTTCGCCCAATCAATTTTTGGTGCATTGTCTCACTTAACAGCTAGGCTACCAGTCCTATCCATCTTAAGTTCTCTTCTCGTTATTTAATTTTTCCGGTTAGTTTTACGCCTATTTTTAGATGCTGCGGTTAGTGATACTATCAACAGCCGTCGTAGCAGCTGCTTACGCTGAGGATCAAGCTGCGGCTCGCCCAAGAGATTTATTGCCAAAGGGCGTCCAACAGCCCTACAAGGATACTTCCTTCCAAATCGATGCCCCTACCGCCGATCGTTCGGTAGGTCTTGATTCTTAGCCTTTATTCTTATTATCTAGGTACGAAACTTGGACATTTCCGAGCACCGTCAGAAGCGATCAGCGGTAAATTTTCTAGTCTTGTTTTTACAGTATGATTTATCTCAAAAATCTTGTCCATTTCATGCCTTTAGGGCGAAATCGTCGAAGGTCGCGCCCGTGGTGTGACAACTTTCAACAAGCGTCAAGCCGTACTGTACCTCATAGATCCCCTCATTTCAGTTTTTAGTACGATTTCCCTCCCCAACAACCAATCTATGTCCCGCCCAGCCGTGTAAGTCTAATGACCTTTAGTCGCGTGGCCTTAGTTTAGTTCTGTTCATTTATCCTACAAATTATTTTTCTATTTCTTCTTAAGATAAGGGTGATCTGTTTATTCTAGAACCCATTGCCGATCAGATGAAGGAATCCCAACATCAAGAAAACACAAAAAGATTGTAAAGAAAAATGCTGTTAGGAAAAATGAACGTGACCAAACTAGTCTGATGTAATGATAGCATAGTGTACTTATATCCTTTTCAGCCCTTCACTCCGGTGGGTATCCTAAAATGATGGCAGGTTTGCTTGTATTCAGTTCCTCTCATCGATTCGGTTCTTTATGTTGATATATGTATATGGCTATAGGTTCAAAAGCACAGACCTGCCGCTCCGCGAAGACCCGTCGGCCGAAGGCCCCACAAGCAATATAAGGTCCTTTAGGCAGACGCGACGATTTCTATCTTTTCTTTTGGTCTATCTCTATGGGTGCTGTCGTTTCGTTCATTAACCACCGTTTTTTGAATTTTTTTCACTTCAATTTCCCATCACCCTTTCCGATTCCAACAACTGTTTTTTGGGGGATGGATATGCGGGTTCACTTTTTGAAAGCTTGGAACTTTATGGAAAACTGTAATTGCTATCTTTTTTCAAAAATTCCATGACATTTAAGACCACCAATTTGATCAATGAACCGACAGAAACGAGAAAAGATCGCCCACGCTAATTAGACGTTAACGATTTTGATTGCAGGGCGAGCCCAAAGATCCAACGTAAAAACCAGAAAACCGGAAACGCATTGGAAAATACAAATAGCCGTTAGTCCAAGCTTTCAAACATTCGTTTTCCATTTTCTGCTAACCCATTCTTTAGCAGCCCGAAGAACATTCAAATCAGGCTCCCGGACAATCGCCGAGTGCCGGTGTTGGTGGAGCCGGAGCTTCCGATTACCCTGACAATCCCCCAAAGCACGGCAAGCCCAAGCAGCCCAGTGAGGTTTGGCAAGCTCTAAGGTTCAGGCGGATTTGCGCGGATTTTCTAGGACGCCACCCGATATTATTATCCGCCCCGCTTCCCGCTCCCACTTTCCAAGTGCTTCCATAACCCGACCGGTAGGGATTGGTCTCGGTCATTTTACATTTTTTGCCTCACAGGGTACGTTTGCTGCAATGCCGAATTGAATGATATGATGGTCGGTACATTCACTGACCTGGAGGCTAGACCGAAATTCCATACTTGCAACATTCAGAAGTTGGCTAATGAGCTTCAGGTAGGGGCTATTTAACTGGGGGAATTATAGAAATTGATTTTAGGACCGTGCCCAAAAGCGCTTCAACGAGACCTTCGAGACCATTGCTTCATTTGAAGACTTTGCCCAGAAGATTCATTTCAAGGGAGACCTTGTCTGCAAAGTGGAGCTTGGCGGACGGTTAGTTTTTGCTAAAAGCGTGCAGTTTCTGGTTACATTGATAGAATTAGCAATGATTTTGTTTAGGTACATGCTCGCCTACGCTTCCGTCCCAAATCTAAGCGAAAACACTCTCCCTCCCGTCGAGGGTCCCATTGAGGAGCACCACATCTCCAGGAGGAGCGTCATCCGTATGTATCCCAAGGCACCGATGCCAATCCGGAACCGTCGCAATGTCCCGAAAAAACCTCAAACCTCCGTATAATCGACTATTAGCTTCTAGTCGCCCTGGAACCGTTTCCTTTCCTTATTCTGTTTCTTATGACACCCTGTCTTCAATTCTGTGCTGTCGTTCTGTTAATTTAATGCTGCTGCCTCCCCAAAAACCTTTCGCTGCCCATTGAAGCCTTAGGTTCCTTCGTTTTTTTCGCATTTTTTTGGCTACCATCCGTCTCCACCAAATAGTCTTTCCTGTTGTACATAGATGGATGTTGTGTGTGCTTGGGATAAAGCCCTTGGTTTTGAATTTTGAAACCCACGATAATACCGTATTTCCCAAACAACTTCTTACGATATGTACATTATGAAAACGCACGAGAAACAAAGAAAAAGTTTTTCGGGGGTCATTTCTTTCTCATAGCATTTTGTGGCTCAAACACCTAGAATTTCTCTCAAAAGCTCCTTGCCGAGATGATCTATCTTTGGAGGGATACTTTTCGCACCTCAGGGCAATCGCCATTCATTGACACAAAAACCCTTCGAACAAAAATGACCTTGATTTAGGGCACGGGGGATGGTTGTCATCGGGTGCACGTCAAAAATTAAGATTGACATCCATCCCCTCAGGCTCCTTGCCCCTTCGACTCCCCGGCTCAAAAAACGGATTTTCAGTTTGGAAGTTCGGAAAACGATGGCAACTGATGCGATTAGGATGTTCGGGGGGAAAGGCATGAGGAGAACTGATGGCGCAAAGGGAGCAATTAAGGGTGAAGGGCTTCAACGCTCAGAAGGGCCATGTTTCCGTCTCATCCCCGGGGAGGAGGGGGGGAATCCGAAGCCATTGATTATTGTTGGCCGGGGGCCCATTTTGGTCCGAGTTTGGCACGTGGGTATCTATCTATTCTTCCGGGAATCATTAAACAATTATTGATTCGCTGGAGAAGCTCAGTTATTCTCATCTGCCACAGATTTCGGTGAGTTAGTCGGTGCTAATTTCCGGGAGCTAATTTCCGTGATTTTAAAAAACCAGAAAGTACGGGCATCAACTTGGTAGGACGTGATCCGGAAATCATTTGAGACTACACCTCTTTTCTATGGGAGGACTAGCTTTCTCGGGCTTGTAGGTCTCTGTTCTTACCTCAATTTCGATTTCCGGTATCCAAGGCCTGGTTTTTAAGTTCTGAGGCTATACCCAGTTGACTACCAGTCCGCCCTCAACACAGCAACCCCCGTTTTTTGTCATCTTATCCGTCATCCCCTCCCACCGACAATTGTCTACCCCAAGGTTTTTCGCTGAAAGCATATTAATCATCATTGAGAACGGTGCGAGCGGATTCTCGCCTCAAAAAGGTCACCCTCCCTTTCTCCTCCTCCCCATCTCCACTCCTAATCAAGGGCATTCATTTCAACTCCCCCTCCATTTGCAGCTAAATGGCAATCCACTTGTCGGCAATGGCAGAGCGCGCAAAGAAAACCGTTTCCTAAAGGCGCTCTACGAGAAAAACGGCTATCCCTCCTACTCTCAATGTTGGTATAATGAACCTGGTTTGATTTTCTGAAAAGTATTTGGAGGGGGGAGAGCGGGGAACAAATGGGATCGAAAAGGCAGGGATGAACGGGTGCCTGTTTTTAGCAAAGGAAACACATTCCGAACCAGATGTGCCCACCAAACTCCCTTTTCTGCCGGAACGGAAAAGCTATGAGGTGAAGAATACATTTGTAATTTGGAAGGCGAAAAATGGTGCATCAATCACGCAAAAGCATTCAAAGGCACTTTCTAGCTTTCCAGGGCGAAAATGTTTTTTAGTTTCAGCGTCATTTAGTTTTCAACTATAATCAGGGTTTAATTTTGAAAGTATATTACCCAACACTGTTTTTTTTGTCTAATGGTCAAAGCCTAATTTCAGAAAAATCACATCAGAAGCAGAAGCGAGCCACGTGCCCTGGATGAGCTCGGTAAAGCCGAAAAACCCTCATCTCTGCCGAAAATCCAAAAGAATCAATTCAACCGCTCCCTAAAGCTTCTCCCAAACATGCATCCTCACCGTACTCCTCGCATGAGCCAACGCAGCTTCAATATGGTTATGAAAGAATTGAAATGCCAATGATCGCTATGCATATGTGCTGATTGTGCTGATAAATCTATAATTTTGCAAAATATGTTCCAAATGCACATCGGATTGTTATCTAGGCTGCCAGCTAGCTCGACTGGTAGGTTTTATGTTGGGAAACGAGGGAGATGAGTCATTTCTGGACGCCTATTACAACGAGCGACCCAAGGGATGGGCCCCCCCCCCAAGGCACAACCGATGGCCGCTGACCCCTGGCAGCTCGAGCTGGACTAGCTCGTGTTTACTGATCCTTGCCTCCAATTAATCCATTCATCACTGCTACTAACTAAATAAATTTTTTTGAAATTTTCAAGCTCTTTAGAACTTCTCCTATCACCTAAAAAACCTTCAAAGCATCGAAAAAAATTCAAAAATTCATGAAAATTTTAATAAATAGCTTTTGACCTTCTAAAATCTTCTTAAGATCAGATGGCCGACGTCGACGTGAAATCCGTGGGCAAGAAAGTTGGCCTAGAGGTCTTCCGCGTGCACGTAAGCAAAAAACAACAAGTTTCTATGCGTTTATTTGTTATTAGGATTTCAAACTCGAGCCCGTACCCGAGAACCAGCATGGCGTCTTCTTTGTCGGAGATTCCTATGTGGTGCTGAAGGTAAGGGATTTTCCGCATGTTATAACATGATTTAGACAAAACGTGAAGACGAATGGGATCTGCATTTCTGGCTCGGCAAGAACAGCTCAACGGTTTTTCCTGCCAAATATATCGATAAAGCTATTAAGGATGAGATTGGAACCGCGGCGATTAAGGCTGTGGAAATCGATCAAGCGTTGGGAGGTTTTCCGACTCAATACCGCGAGGTGAATAAATCTAATAAATTCATAGAATTTTTAAAAAAATGAATCACTCAAAGTTGCATTTAGATTGAGGGCAACGAGTCTCCACTCTTCATGTCCTATTTCAAAAATGGCATTCGCTACCAAACGGGAGGCTACGAGAGTGGATTCAACAACGTTGAGGATGCGCTGAAGGATTTCAAGCCTAGGCTTTTCCGCTGCAAGGGCAAGAGAAACGTCAGGTGTCAACAGGTTCGTTTTGCGCTGATAAGTACCACATTAAGTAGAGTTAGGGCTCAATTTGGTAGATATATAGCTACAATCCTTTAGGTTGAATTCTCAAAGGAGTCGCTGAACCTTGGGGATGTCTACATCCTGGATTTGGGTCGTGATATCTACGTTTGGATGCCGCCGGAGGCTGGTCGTCTCGAGCGCATCAGTGTATCAGAAATTCAGCTAATTCAAGAAAATATGTTTAGGGAATGCTCCGTGCCAAGAATATTTCCCTTCACGAGCGTTTCGGTGAAGCTAAGGTCCATATTCTTGGTATGAAAGCGATAACAAGACCATTAAAAATTCCTAGATGACGAATGGAAGACCAGCGTGGAGTTCTGGAAACATTTTGGTGGAAAAGAAGTGATCGGCTCGATTGCCAAGGCTGTGAATGATGATGAGGGCTTCTGGGCCAATATCAAGGACCAAGTCACCTTGTGGAAGTGGGGAATCCAAAGCTAAATAAATAACTCAATGATTTTATAGGGTGTCCGATGAATCTGGCGAAGTTAAGGTGGAATGGGTTGCTATGGGTGATGATGTTACACACGAGAAGTTGAACACAAATGTGAGTTTTAAGAGCTATAGGGCTTCTTTGAGCTCTTATTAAAGCATGTTTTAGAAATTCTGTTATCACCATGGCTTTTTTAGGATGCCTACGTTCTGGACGCATGCACAGGCGGTATCTTCGTCTGGATCGGAAAAGGTTGCTCAATGGATGAACGCGGAAAAGCAATGCATTGGGGCCAGTCTTACCTCGCCCAGCAGGTATCGATTCCATTTCTTGATCTTTGAAGCACTATATTAATGTAGAAACTTCCGGGAAACACACAAATCACTCGTGTGCTTGAATCAACCGAGCCGGGCATGTTTATCCAGTGGTTCTCGAAGTGGAACGATCAGAAGAAGAAGAACCAATTTGAGCCTAAGCTTTACCAGGTAGGGAACTTGAAGCTCCATATCTTAAATCTGTTTTATATAGGTATCTGACGCTTCTGGCAAGCTCGTATGCGAGGAAATTGCTCAATTCCAACAAGAGGACCTTGATGGTGATGATGTTATGATTCTGGATGCACTCCACGCCATCTACGTCTGGGTCGGAATCGGAGCCACCCCAAATGAGAAGAAGCAGGCTACGGAAATTGCCAAGGTTCGTGAAAAGTACCTCACCAACCCCGAAACTTCTTTTTCAGAAATTCTTGGAGCAAAGCAAGCTGCCGCGTCAAAAGGGCACGGCTATCGCCACCATCTACCAGTCAAAGGAGACGCCGATGTTCAAGAAGTTCTTCGACACATGGGATGACGACATGTTCAAGCTGGTAGACTACAAAATATAGCCTTTAATTTAAAATCGATTATAGGATTCCCGCTCGGTGGCCAGCATGAGGAAGCTGATCTTTACCTAAATATTAATAACAACAATTATTGGGAACTAGAGCCAAATTTTACACACTGCCATTTTGAAATAAATATTATTTTATTTATGTGCTATCACTTCAAAAATGTATAGAAGTGAGAAGTTATTTTTATAATTACCAGTAAGGGGTTCGTTGTTTTTATCGACTAAAATACCGCAAATAGTATGCAAATTTGAGCTTTGAAGCTGAGCACAAATAGTATGTAAATTGATTTGAACAACACCCCCTTTTTTCCCAGTCAGCCTAAAATTTTATCCAAAACTAGGTTACAAGTTTTTAAACTCTAAATGTAATTTCGAAAATTCGGCGGCGAGGGGCTTGTGTTAGCGGGCGCTTATCAAAAAAGGGGAGCTTAAATTAGCTGAATACAGTAATAGACCTTCAGCTCTGAAGCGAAACTTTAAAAGAATACCGGCTACTTAAACAAAACTACACTTTCACTACCTATCTCGTCATACCATCTGATTCCACTCCTTGTTTTCGTCGATTACGGCATGTACGCTTCCCTTTCATTCCCGTCACGCTTCCCAATTCAACAAGGACAATTAAGTTCGTACCAGATGGTGTTGATCCGAAGGCGTAAGGTCGCACGAAGGTTTTCGTTTTTGGAGGAAGCAGCGGCCTAGTGTCAGCGGCGTGAAGATATAATCTACGGGACTCCACGGAGGGTGGGGAGAGCTACACGCACCGGCTTCGTGCCTTCCATTTATCGACCGTGTCCCGACACGAGAGACTTTCACCTTCATCTTCGGAAGGGATCGTTGACTTTTTGGGTTGACTATCGCTTGGAATACTGTCTGAATTACAGTGTATCCAAATTATGATATAGATGTTACTTACGCGCAAGGAGTGTGCTGTGCTTACCCGTGACTCGTCCGGTTTTGCCGGTTTAAGTATCTATCGAAAGCCCTCAAAAAAATCGAGAAAAACTCATTTTTGATTTGAAAACGTTTAAATAGGAAGTTTTGAAGTACCGGTTTTACTTTTGCAAATTTATGCCTGATAGGCTGTGAAATCTTATGTAAATCTTATGTTAATCGACTAGTCCGCTGAAAAATATGCGAATTTTTGTACATGGTGTTGTTTTCTTAATTTTTCTTTATTGACATAACCTTGAATATTGCGCAAAAGGTAAATAATTTAAAAGAAAAATAGTTTCTTGCCTCTTCGATAGCCTTCGAGTCGTGCAAAAACCATCGGGATCCGATTTTTTAGACGAAACTTTTTTTGAATCGTGTTTTCGACTTCATCCATACTTTCCGGCTATTTTACACCAAAAATGTATATTCCACACCTGTGTGTCGATTTCCAGGATGTACCTCGAGCTGTGGGGCTATGACATTGGCCCAGAAGCCCTGGCGAATATGTTCGCCGAGCATCTGGTCTGGAATATTTTCCTCACGTCGACAGCCCTTCACGCAGTTGCTTTAATCACATCACCACTGTGGGTTCTAAAGAAATTGTAATGGTCTTAAATATATTTCCGCGTTGCCACCTCACCCTGGGATTTAAAAACGCAACGCAATATTTCCCTAATTTTACAGCCAAGCAGTATACAAATGGTACCGACGTCAGAGTAGTGATGGTGACGTTTGCCTTCCGTATGTATGCGCGCTTGTTGGGTAAGCTTACGTTATACTTTAGAACCCTAAAATTTCGAGTATATTTTCATACCTTAGTGCATGTGTTTTTGCCTGAATCCAAGTCCCAGGCCTGCCCAATTAGCCTGGAATTCCCATTCAGATCATCGCTGTGGTTGCGCTATGCCCTATTCCTCGAAGATCCCAAATTGGCTTTATTGCAAATGTATGCCGTCAGCATGCAGAGCTTCTTCCTGCTCCTCTTTGTTTACTACCGGACAAAGAAGGTATGCAGATGAGAGTAAAGATAGTCAAAAAAACGGCAAAACGGAAAAAGCTAGCAAATTTGGCTTTGGGAGTATAAATAAGGCTACAGTTTACTTACCCCCCCCGCCGGTAGTTCCAAATTTTTTGGTCATTTCCGCTATTTTGCCGGGATTTTGGCTACTCCATTCGATAGAGCACAAAAAAAATATACTAAAAATTTTAATAACAGCCCAAAATAGGTAAAATCAAAAGTTATAGCGAAAAACTGTTGGGAACTTCCGCCAGGGGGGGTAAAGTAAAGTCTTACCACAAGTTAGAATAGCATCCTTAATCCTATCCTACTATATATAAAAAAATAGTGTCTGTGTGTGTGTCTGTGTACATTTGCATGCAACTTCCGTCAGGTTGTTCCAGTAGTATCTCAATAAGGGGAGTAGTTAAGGGCATGTTTTATACGTCATTAGGTGCGTAATGGCCTGGGGATGACTGCACACCAATAAAATTTTCAAAAATGAGCTGTTTTCGACGTTAAAATTAAGTTTTTTGTTGAAAAATGGGCCACCCTCTTTGTTAGGAAACAATTAGCATACGCCGGAAGTTGCGGTAGCCTATATAAGGCAAGAGAGGTAGCGTTTCTCATTTTTTGTCATCGAAAATCGTGAGAATTATGCAAAGTGAAGAATATTATCGGATCAGACGGGGCCAAGGTTGAAAAGTCGCGAAGCGGCTTTTCAACCCTGGTCAGTTTGAAATTTTCAGTTAACTGCGGACTCTAATTGAATCGGAGATACCTAGAAAACCATATATACAAGATTTGCCTTAATAAGACTGTATACAGATTTTATACAAGAAGTTAGACCCCATCGCTTCAACCACTTTCAGAAACGTCTCGTTCGCAACCTATTAATTGGTGGCACAGTGTTATTGCTCATTTTCTACTACACACAAATCCTCGACTATGACGAGGCGAAACAGGTGCGTAATGGAAATTGAAAAGGTCATGCAGGATGGTTGTCGTTTCCAGTTTGCGGGTCGTATGGCTTCGGGAGCGCAGATTGCTGGCTCTTTTGTGTGTCCGTATCTGATCGTGAGTGCACTTTCTGGCTCCAAATTCTATTCGATTTAGTATAAAGCCGTTACTTCGGGTTGTATCGATTTTATTCCTATGGCCCCGGTGTTGTTCACGTGGATTATGGAAATTCACGCGATTATCTATAGCGTTGGCATTGATGATTTTTACATGATGGTAAGTTGATGAAGGTAATGCGTGTTTGCATAAAATTAAATCCAATATCAGGATAAAATTTTAGTGATAATACCGACACCCAAAATGTCAATATATTCTAATGTCACTTCCTTTTAAACAACTATTTTTTACGCCAGGACCTTGGCCTGGGGGACTTTACCTGTCGGGATTTTGGTTGTCTATATTTTAGGTTTTAGCATAGGGATAGTCAGTTAATTGTATGCATATGCTAATATGATGCAAATAACAAAGAAAATTGATCCCGATGAACCAAGTTTTCTTAAATTATGTACTTTGCATCCTATTTAATTGCCTCTTTACCCTGATGTCAGTTTATATGCCTAAAATCGCTCATTCTCGAGAATATTTCCAAATCTAATTCTAGATAGCGAATACAACATTCTTCCTAATGGATGGCTCCTTATTAGCCATGTTTTTCATCCTACCCACTGAAAAACCGGAAGCGGAAAAACCCAAGGAAGTCATCTGCTAGCGGGTCAACACAAGAAGCTCTTAATCTGTATATAGAGATATCCTGCCAACCGGGTCCTTCTATTCTCAAGTAAAAATATTTATTTTCCAAAATAATTATAGTTATATTATCGACTAAAAAATGCAAGTACAAAAGAAACCCGCGAAAGTAAAGAAAACAAGGGGGACACGTATTGCGACATGTTTTTTTTTGCAATGACAAGCCTTTGCATACACCGAGATCTAAGCCTGGGTGGGGGAGATCCAAGCGGAATAGTTGAATACAGATTTGGCATTAACATTGGATAATTGGAATTCTGGGATGCAGTTGGGAATTCCGGGGTCCCATGGCCATGGCCTAGCTCCGGGTCCAATCCGCAAAACAAGTGCTCCGGGCGGGGGTCGAACCCGCATCCTACGGCTTTCGAGTCCGATGCTCTCCCTATTGAGCTACCGAAGCACGCGGAATGCCTCTCTCGGGGCAGCTATCCATGCCGGCCCCTCACATCCAACTATGCAATTTACGTACAGAGCTAAACCCTCTCACCACCATTTTCAGTTTCGCTATTTTCTGCTTCTTTGATGACGGTTAGTTTTTCGATTAGCGCCTCGGCTTGGATGACCTGCAGGTATTTGGCTGTAGATATAAGCCAGTAAGCTTTTACCTGGCGTTGTTTGGCCGAGCTATTACGTCGATATTCTCGGACGTCATCTCGGGAGCTGCTTCTCCTCGAAGAACCATTCCTTATTGTGGATTTAGTAGACCTGACAGTTGAAATTAGCGTCTTAAAAGCTCTATCAAATACATACCTAGTATATTGTGATAGAGGAGTGACCGGCTGGCCCTTGACCCGTGCCGGCCGGCTCAATTTTCTGCACATTATCACGTGCGCGCATATCCTGCGAATATCGGGGTTGATTAAGCAGTAGAAATAGAAATTTAGCGCGAATTTTGTAAATTCGAGTAGATTTACAACCGCTCGGAAAATCTAGAAAATACATATAAATTTTATAAGGAGATGAAAATTTACCTGGAATTTTACGTTATTTGATTTATTGTCAGCTACAAGAACTGTCAAGGGCGCAGCTGGAATTGTGCAAAGGAAGAATATAATAATGATAGCAAATAGCAGAATGAAAAGCCGTTTTTCTTCTTTTTCACTTTTCTCATAGACAAATCGTTTTTGTGAATTTGCCATTCGCTTCAGACGGTCAACTTTCATATTTCTGAAAAACATTAAAAATATGATTGATGAAGCTTACCGATATGTTATCAATATCCTAGCGTTGAGGAATGCGACGAGGAAAAAGGGGAATACTCGGCTGATCGTCTCTCGTACCCATTCGTATGCCACAAACCATTGTTGTTTATGGTTGTCACATACTTGCCATCGGCATAGGTTCACCGCTTCATAGTTGTCAAGCTCAAGAAGTAAGCAATTAGATTCATGGAGCCCAGCAAACCTCATGTATTTGCTTTTTCGTTGCCCACGGTGCATATATGCAAAAGTTGAATAGGTATGCGAGGGCGAAAAGGAGGATGCAGACCTGGAATAATTTAAATAAATCAGATACGTTTATTTTAACAAAACTATTTTGGTTTTTTTGTGGCTAATTAGCGCCATTTTTAAATAGCCTGACTGGGTGGTCTGATTGGGGTGGTCCGGGACGTCAAGGGTGGTCCTAGTGTCGAGGCTATTTCCAAACAGGAAAGAGACAGCCATTTGGACTAGTCATAGCTTAGTCTGGGCCGTTTTGTCAATTAAAAAATTTATTAAGAAAATATTTACATGTATCAAATTAATACCTAACTATTAGTTGATACAAATTACGAAAGAAGCCTAAGCCTAAGCCTAAGCCTAAGCCTAACCTAATACGAGAAATATAGAAAAACGCATTTTTAAATGTTTGAAATGCAGTTTTTTTTGGTTTCCTCGATAAAAATAGATTTCAACGTTAATCCCCCTATTGATTTGCTATCCTACTTTGATTTAATGCTCATTATAGCAAGCTCTGATAAATCTTTGAACAATAAATTTATGAAATATTTTAAATACATTATCCCACCTTTCTCGACCGCAATCCATAAGAAAATGGCCTGCAAACGGCCATATATTGACTTAACGTCAGGAAAACAACGATCCACACCGAAGCTCCCATTAATGCGTTTGCCTGAAAAAAATTAGTTTCTCTTCAAATTCACGCCATGGTTTTACAGCCTGTCCTATCCATCAAACAAACCTCCAAGTCCGATATCAATCTCCAAAATATTCCCCTCATCCTTCCCGGCATCAACCTACACGAGCCCCACCCTACAAGACCTGAGCGGATGAATCCGGAATGGAACCCGCAATCAGAGGCATCTCCTCCTCAACTCGATTGCCCACTCGAGCGGATCGAGCCACTCCCGACGCTTCCACCCAATGCCCACTACACGTGTTTTTGCCCCAAATCGATCCTCATCCTCACCCCCCCCCCCTGGGTGGGGAATGCTCCTCGCGCCTTGCATATGGTACTCGTGGAATCAAAAAATCAACGATGCGGGGGGAGATGGGAAGAGGGTTCGGGGAGGAAGGCCAATGGGGCCATGCTCAGAATGGCGTTCAACGGAGGGTAATGTGGGGGTGAATAATCGAGTTATACTATGTGGAATATTTGGATGAGTTTTGCTCTATGTGCTTGAGGTTATGTAATGGGAACGCTATGCATTCGAATCATTAAGAATTTTATGAATATCCGGTTCCGATTAAAATATGATTCCAAGTAGCAGCTTGAAGTTAAAGTATGGTTAAGATGGTGATGAATCCGAAACGGAAAATCGCCAAATTGATCCGAAGAACTAATAGATATAACCAGGCCCGTAGCGGAACCGAAATTTCGGGGGCCCAAAAATTTTGGCGACCTCCCCCCGGTCGCTACTTTTAAAATCGCGTTAATAATAGCGCCGCAGGCAAAAAAAATAGCAAAAAAGCGTTTGCTACACTCAAATTCGTGTGAGAATAACGGCAGAAAACGCGCCGCAGGCGAAATTTTTTTATGAACAATTGATTAACCAAGGAAAAACCAGCGCCGCAGGCAAAAAATTTTGAAAAAATAGGCTTCATATAAGTAAAAACTGTTTAAAAAACAGTAATAAACAGCGCCGCAGGCAGAAAAATTTTTGTAACTAAAAATCATAAGGGTCCCCCCTTATGAATTTTTCGGACCTCGACCGATTTCGGGGGGGCCCAGGGCCCCCTGGGCCCCCCCCCCCTCCTACGGGCCTGGATATAACTATTAAACTTAATATGATGCTTATTGCTAAATAAAAAACATAGGCAGTGAATTAAATACTATAACGGTATGGATAAATTAAATTAAACTATGAAACAAACACTCTAACTACTATAAAAACGCGCCTAATACCACTAAAGCTAACTGATAATCTTAGTAAGCCATTTTAGCTAACGTTTCCGGTGCTTTTATAAAACTTACCAATGGAAAACCAATATGTGCATAAAATAACGCCGATCCAAGTGAACAAGCCTTCACGTCCAACAACCAAAGAATCATCGGCACCACGGAGAGTTGGGTCAACTAAAATTTCAGACTTTATTTTTTTATGAAATAGATTCCTGTGTATTCTATTCCAATCTTTCAGCTATCTTTTTAAATTATTTCTCGTCATCCCAGACAAGGGTTTAATTGATTCGTCACGCCTAGGAAGCGCAGGAATTTTTAAGTCGTCCGGGAATGGGCGCTTCATTATTAAATTCGCACCCACGGCGGGGGCGATATTGATGGAATTGAGGAAATGTATATCCAATGAAAATATGGAAAACTCACTAAATCGGTCATGGCGAGGAGGGTTAGGTATGTGTAGATGATCGACGATTTTCTGAGGGCCGGGTGGGTCAGGGTGACAACCGTAAGAATATCGCCGATGATACCAACAAAGATGATGGCTGGCGCGATATAGGCGTAGGTGATCTTAAAATGGTTTTAACAAATATATGATCGGTAATTCTTGCTAGACTAATTTCTCGTAAAAAGCGGATTTTTTAAGAATTCTATTTTTTATTTTTTATCACAGTATGCAGTAGCTTCTCTACAATTTTCAGAATAGCCTGGCGGCGATAGAATTGTCAGAAAACCCCTAATTTTAGGAAAAAATCAATTAAATTCGTGAATTTCCATACCCTATTCAAATTGCCAATATCTGGATTGTCCGGATGCATCGACAACAACTCCGGGGTGATATTCTGCCCAGCAATGATCCATTTGCATATTTGTGTCTGGCTGGGCATCTGAAATAGATCTTGTAGAGACCTTTAAACCAGCTGGGCTGCCCATGGAGACCCTGGAAAGGTCAGACGCCAGAAAATAGCAACATGTTGTTGCGGGGTGATCAACCACCCGCTGGACTCTATGCTCCAATATTCATACGCGATCAAGCAAGTAACAAGTAACGATCAAGCAAGTAACCGACGTTTTTTGGGAGGGTGGTGTTCGCTGGTTTTCAACGGGGAGTGTGAGGGTGAGTGTGATGTGGTGGGGGTGTAGAGGAGAGATGTCGACTTCTCAGAAGGGGATTGGCATCGTTACTGAAGCAGATGATGAGGATGGCGGCGGCGTGAGGACGAGTGGCGGATCTGAAAAAGCTGCGTCTACAAATTCACGGAAGAACAAGGGGATGGGGAGGGTATGTAAACATTCAAGACTTCCTTATGTCCATTTTTTATGGTACCGTCAAGGTGTTAGATAATTAAAGCAAAATAAATTTTTTTAATATCATTACAGCATTAAGTGTGAAATCCTTAATGGCGCAAAAAAGATCGCACGGGAATTAAAACATTCTATAAGAGATTCAATTTAAATATTTCGCGCGAACTCCGGAATCAAAATCACACCACACGCTATTTTTCTTGGTATCAAATATTTAAATCAAATAAAATAAATATTTAAAACCATTTTTATGTTATTAATCAAGATGAAATTTGCGCATTCATGAATAGTACTAGAAACTTTCCCTAAAGCATCAAAACCCTCTATAATCAAATCAACTCCTTAGGCGCTCTCCGGAAACAAAGCGACACTGCAAGCTACAAGTAGTGAAGCCTACTTTTTGCCACTTCGAACCCCAAGAATGAAAAAGCTGGCCGATAATTAATGAATGCTTCGATAATTAACAGCACCAAGGTCATTAATTCGCTTCTGCTGCGTGGAAAAAGTCGGCTCTCCCCACACATTGACGGGGACAAGCCGAAAAAGCTAGTGGCTATGCGCCTGGAGGGGAAACACGAGAACGAAGTTCTTCGCACTAATTAGGCGGCCCCATCCCATCTGGGGATGTATTTATTTTGAAATTGTCCATAAAAGTAGATTCGGCTTCCCGGCAAAAGTCGACTTCAGTAGCGTGAAATATCTTTAGATCGGCGCTCCAAGTAACTAAAAGGCTTCCATAGCGCTGGATTGATGGAATTGCAAAAATGCGCTTTTAGCGTGAATAATGGTCTGGGTCGGGGTTTCTTGGCAAATAGGAAAGAACCGCCGGGTGCTATAACTTTGCAGCGAATGTAAAGGATCGGGACTTCCGGTGGAGTTTTGGTGAAATTGGAGCTGGGCGGGTAGGAGATGGGACCAAACTCTTGCTTTAATTAAAAGGGTTTTTAAGAGAAATTGTGCATTTGGCTGTACGTCATTAGTATCAGTCCAAATGTGAACTCCGGCTTCAGCAACCACGATGGGTAAAAATGAAAAGACGGTAGAACGCCGTTACTTTCTGGGCTTTCCGCGCCAACTGGTCATGAAAAATGACCTCAAACCGAGCAGCACACAAATATTTTTCCGTGCGTAATATTTATGTCTAAGCCGCAGCACTGTCCGGTGGAACGGCATCAAATCCGGAAAACAGGGGTGCACCTGTCCCGTAATGGGCGACCAAGTGGTTTGTTCGGTGGAACAATGAAGGGATCAGACTGTTTTGGGGCGAAGACCTCAAATTCAACACCAAGATGCCTCTAAAATAGATTTGTAGGGACGGGAACGGCGAGGGGGGTTGAATTTGTTCCGCGATGGAGGAAGTGGTAGCGGGGGACAGGATTGTGGAACGGGTGAATATTCGAAGGTTTCTTGTAAATTATTCGCGGTATTGGTTTCGTCACGGGACGCGAGAAATAACGTGTTAATTTGTAAAAACCGTAGCGTAAATCAAGGCCTCCGAAAGCCGGGTGGGGCTTTGGATTTTTGGGAGAAGCGGCCCAGGTCATAAAATCGCGCCGCACCTTCCTAAACTGACCAATTAGCGGGTTAGAATTGACCCAGCGAAACGGCATTGATTTTCCATAACCTCAATTTTATGTTTGAACCTTTATACTTTTAAGACCAAAATACGATTAACCGACGGACACCCCAAAAACAATGGGAATAATCCGCGGGGGCGTCCTTACGCAGTAAACCAGAAAGCAACTGGCTAAACGGAGCTTCAAGGGAGGGCCCGAAATTGGATGATAGCCCCCCTCCCCGTCGGGACGGGCGGGGAATAACATGGCGAAGAGGTTCCTGATCGAATTCCGAATTTTCAGCCGTTTTGAGGTCGCACGGGGGGGCGTTGACCTAACCAGTCAGCATCTATAAAGGTTTGAAGAGAATGATTAATCGTTTAAACGGTTGGCCAGGTTCAGACAGCTAGCTTCAAATCGTACTGTATAAAAAAACAGCATTTGTGCTTAGCTTTTGCATGAACACCTCATTAAGTATGTTGCTCGCCTGGCTAGCGAAAGCTTTGTAGGTCATGTTCGATGCGATTTCAAGCTCCATATCCATCTATGGGATTTTTCAAAAATCAACTATTTTTATATTAACGATCTGTTCTTGTTAAAAAATCAGTCACTTCAACGATTTGCATTGCCGGAAGTGAATAAAGCTTGTAAGCAGGAGAAAAGCGGTCATTTCGCTTTAGAAAACAAGACAAGAATGGCCTGAAAAATTTTGGAGCCCCCACCTCACCCGGCTTGGGCCCCTACTGACCCTTAATCCACGTCAAAACTTGAGGTGCAAAAAAGTGGGGGGCATGCGCATTCAAGTGTAACTCCTACCAAAACAGTTCCAAAATTCCGATTTAGTAATTGTCGCGTAAGGACACCCGGATTTTACTAGCCTAGAGCAAATCAGATGTGAAAATCCCGGCCGTAGATACTTTCTACCCCCAATTGGTGACCTGGTGTTGCAGTAGTTTTGCACCCTCTGAATGAACGATGAGCATGAGGGAGCAATTGATGGAGAATGGACAATTTGCTGGATGGGGGGGGGGGTGCGAGAGGAAGTGTGGTTGGCACGAAGGGCCGTTCGTTGATTGTGATGGATTACTCGAAAGGGTGGGCCACGAGGAGCACGACCAACGGAAGGAGGAGGAATAAGGAGGACGTGGAGAAGGGGTCGAAGAATTTTTGGAAACGAGAGGACTAAGGATTCAAACATACCGTATAAAAGAATGCACAAATCTGCCTAGGCGACGATTGAGGAATTCCGCCTTGCGTAAAAAAAGCGAAATATAGAGTAAAAAATATACTAGGAATAGAGCTTTATTCAGATTAAATCCACCCGCAAATCCGAGGAATTGATTTGGCTTCAGAGCTTAATCAAGCCTCTCAAAATTTTGTATGCAAAACATCAAAATACGCCCGTTGCTTCTGTGCTAAAAACGCTTTTGGGCCAATTTGGCATGCCTGTAAAGATTTGGAGATTTGAATCAGAACCGCAGGCATGCCTCAGATCCAAGGGTCTATTTTATTTCAAAGTAGAAGCTCTACTTTAAGTCGACAAATATCTACCCAACAGCGCGATTCACACTTCGTCACCTCACTCAGGATCAAGTACCAAAAAACAACGAAAACACCCGGAATGACCAGAAGTCTCTGTTTTCGTTTTCGTTCCCCATCTAACCCATGCCCCTGAAAATTTTTCCTCTCTAAAACCAAAAAAGCGGAGCGTATGTCTGAAGGTGGCACCACAGTCTCCATATGTTTGGGTGAAATGATGTGGAAAAAGAAGCATGCGCATATTGAATTTCCGGTGACCAGAAGGGGGTGGTGGTGGGCCTCCCCGAATGGATTCAAAGTGGGTTGGTGGTGTGGCCCAGGGCCTGAGCCAGGACCCAGGGGCGTCAAGGTGGAAAGAAAGGTAGGGGGAATGAGGAAGTTTTTGGTGGGGTTTCTGAAGTGCTACCCCCGCGTGCCGTCGAATAATATCTTTTTTGGGCGTCAGGAAATGGTGATGAAGGAGTGGATAGTAGGGGGTAGAGACAATACATCCGGGCATTACCTCCCCGGGTAAAGTGCGTATGTATTAGTATTAAATGTACTTCTGGAACGGTTGCCCCGCAGTCGATGGCAATTCTCAATTTTCGAGAAATGCCGAAAAGGGCAGAGGCCTAGAGACCATATATGCAAAGTGTGAAAAATGTGGTTTATCGATTTGGATATTTTAGAGCTCAATAATGAGATAAAAAGTGGAGAAACACCAGGTCAAAACCAAATTCTAAGTTGCAGAAACTCATTAGATTTGTTTGAAAGTTAAAGAAAATGCATTTTTGCTGATCAAACGCGATTTTATGACTAAAAAACTAGTATAAACTTTAAGGTACAGTGGTAAATATGAAAAAATATCAAGCGCAATGAGGATTTCTATACTAACAACTTGTACACCTTTCTACCAATGGTCAGCTCGACCAAAATGTTATATACAATTCGGGTAGCCCGGCAACATTGACGGGTCTGCCCGGCGCATCGTAAAATTGACGGCCCGCTTTGGGCTTATTTTAGCCTATTTTAAAAATCGGGAATATGTATATTTTCATCTTTCGATCTGCTCTATAGGAGTTTTGAATCCTATATTTAGAGCTGCCTTCCGAAAACTTACTGCTAACAATTGAACCGGAGCACCAGCACGGAAACGTTGTCCAAACTTCCTCTTGATAATGCGGCGTTGACGAGTCGTTGGGCCACTTGATGCCAAGTGCCACGACGTGAACCCCTGAAATATAAAATTTTTATGCAAAAACCATAGCCACACCTTTTTAAACTCTGATTTTGAGTTTTCCAGCTCTCAAGTAAATCCGAAATTTATGGTCCGGGGGCGGATCGTAATATTTTGCAGTGTTGAGCAGATTGGTCCTGATCGGGGGAGCAAAGCACGAACCTCAGATACGTTGAAGCTTGCTTTACAGCCTCTTCATTCGAGAAAACGTCCCAGAAACCGTCCGTGGCAACGATGATGTAGCTGAAAAGTCATATCACTTATATTGCAAGCTCAGAAGTACCGTAATTTCTTTTCTTTCAGATCGATGCGAATTGTGCTTGGAAGTGCGGTGAGGACGCCGAGTTGTTTCAGGTAGGTATCACCAAATGACCTAAATTTACCCAAAATTTTCTTTTATTAAATTCCCTCGATTACCCAAATAAGTCCGCAAAAAATATATTCAAATCAGGTTTAAACCCCGCCAAAATTTCTAATGGGTATCATTCCCACAAATCTTGTTTGACGGGACATCAATGCGAAAAGCATGGGTTCAGAATCTAGCCAAAAAGGCATAAAAAGTAGAGCATTCCCCAGAGAGTGCCGACCACCTTCTGAAGGTGCACCTCCTCTCTTGCCCTCTTACGCCTCTCCCATTCTTCCACCTCACCCATCACTGCCCATAATTTTATTCAAAAATATTTCGGCCGGCCAGGGGGTGGATATTATCTGGCGACGCGCGGGTGAACGGCTGAAAAGCAGCCCTTTCGTGAAAAAGCCTTGGCTTTCAGCGACTGGAAGACATTGGGCATGGGTCAAACTTCTAATGGCATTGCATTTCGACGTACATTGAATTCCATCTGCCGGGCAAAAAAAAGAGGAACTGCGGGGAGGTGGTAAGTAATTTTGAGAAAGGCCCAAGGGATCAACGGGATAGGAGGGCATTAGATGACTTCCTCGGGAAGGTTATCTTCTTTTTTGAAGGAAAGGGATGAACGAAAGGGGTAAAAGGGAAGTATTGAATTTAGAACGGGCGGGATCGCTACGTAAAAAGGGATAGTCTGTAGGCAACGGATTGTGAGACGGATTCTAATGATATGAAGTCAGACCGTGTGATAAAACTCTGACCTTTTTGTATCATCGGAAGCCCAAAAAATAAACCATAGTTAAACCATATCTAAGCTACTTATTAGTCAGTTTTCTAGAGTCATAATGTATTGAAATATCTAAAACCCTGCTCGAATCAAGCAAAAAAAAGACAAAAATCTTTTGCTACCTGATTTTTCTATTGCTCGCCAGCTAGAAAATCCTGAAAAACTTTTTAAAATCACGATAAATAACAAAAAAATAGTATAACCCATACTTATAACAATTTAACACAGAGCGTGCTGAAAAGTGAGGCCTAAATGGTAGACGTAACTCAACTAATACCGGAAATCCGGATTAACAAAAAATCCTAAGCTGCACAGCCACTTCCATATTTTGCAATTGTCTGGACTACATATCCGCCTAATAAATGTCGTAACAGGAATACTGGTTCTATGTTTATCAATATCCTACCCACCCAACACGGTTATATAACAACAGCCCAACATAAAAAAGCCGGAAGAATGTCCTCGTTCACGGAACCAAATAAAGGATTAGCCCCCATCAGCATTTGGGCCAAGCGATGGGCATAAGCCGAACAATCTGGGGTTAGGAGGGACGGGAGGTGAAGCCTTTTTTACCTGGACACAGCCAAGATTCCCTGCACTCGCTCGACGTCTTCCGGGGTACACGACACGAACCCGCCGGCACCCTCGATAAATCGGCGCTCGCTTGGCTGAAAATAATGTTTACGCATTTTTTTGCTGGGTTGGTTGGTTGGGCGGCGGGGTACGATAATTGAATTAGCACCAACGTGGGGGGGTGGCGACGCCGACCGGAATAAGGAACAATTCGTACCCGGAAATGCCGACGGCAATATATCGAAATGTGCGGGGATGGATGGCGTGTCGCGTTTCGGGTAATTGGAATAAGAGGTTTGTGGGGCAAGAGTCTTGGAAGGAATCAAGTTAGAATTCCAACCATCTTGGTGGAATGGAGGGGGAAAGGGGTTAACATGATTTTGGGGGGCCTACAATCAAGTGGTAGACATGGAGGGCCCAGTCAGCTGCTGCTCTTTTTACGCGGTGAGCCTTTAAATATATTGTTTACTGCATACTATTCTGAAGTAGCTAGCAAAAAGTGCAGCTCTCGGGCCGCCAAAATTGAAATTAGGGTTATCGTGACCGTGCCAAGTGCCAAGGCGTCGAGGAGGAGAAAATGCCCGGAAGCCGTTCCATCCATCTGCATCAATTGGCCCATTATTTGGCCCTTGTGCCCACGCGGCTGGTCACTATTTGTTTCCGAGGTGCCCCCAAAAATGGGAATGGGCTCGAAAAGGAGCGTGAAATAGATTCTGAAGCGTTCGGTCGCGCTTCTTTTTTTGGGTGGTGGTCGACGTGGTGGTGTTGCATGGGAACGGGTTGGGGTTGTTGGTCTTTTCGTTTTGAATTACATTTGGGCGAAAGGTTAGGTAGCAATTGTAGAGTCTAGGAGGATTGTACTTCTATCTTCTTGAAATACTACAGTACCTCTTTTCCTAATCAAGGAAATATCTCGGAAAGGGGTATTTTAGCCGATAGACCCAAACCCCCAGCATTTTCGATATTTCTGAGGGTTTTTTTGCGCACCATTTAATGATAGTATGGCAATCGCATAGTGGTGGCACTATGTACTGTGAATAGCCACACACAGTTAAAAAATTCTAATTAAGTAAGAGCAGACAACAATGATGAGCTCAAAAGGTTGAAGGGACCTCTTGTTAAGCCTGCCCTCCAACAACAAATTCCCAATATCCACGCGCCCTTACGTGCAAAAAGACCAGAACACAACAAGGGACCCATGAAATTAAAAGAATGCGCGCCCCCAAAAAAATTAAAGCACGTTGGCGGGGTAAGGGGGAAGGGGTGAGGCAGCGTCGGGGTTGAGGGCCTTAGGCCGAGGGGGGACAAAATTGAATCGCGGACAAATGGGACGATTGAGGGGGGCTCTCGGGTTGAGTGGACGATTCTGGAGGAGATACGGGACGACGGGGAGAAGAATTCGCACGTGGCATCCAAGGGCATCGGGGGCGGACGATTGAGCACGAGAATAGAAGTAGTCAAATGGAGATGGAGAGAAGGGGGGACGGTACTTGAAATTTTTCGGTGCTGAAATTTTTCGGTAAATGGACGTCATCCCGAAAAGACATTAATTGACTCCAAAAGGTCAGAATTTTACTCGGTTGAACTAGTCGAACTTTTGCTCGTCCAGACTCTGAATTAGAATACCCTGTTTTCACGTAAGGATGTAAAAAGAAAGAATAAGACATAATTTCAGAAGCATAAACTCACATCAATCGGCTTATGGTCTCGACTTAACGCCCATGCCTTCCCCTCGGCCGTACAAGCCACAGCCCTCGAATCCCCCACCGAAACCACAGTGACGTAGCGTTTCTCTTCCACTATAGCCGAAATCAGCGTCGACCCTAAATCGACCCCATAATCACCGTTTTACCACTTCAAGTCCAAACTTACCGCACATAGACGTAAATTGCGGGTCTAGCCCTGAAATCGCGTCGTCAATCTTTAGCACTTCCGTGATTATAGCCTAGATTTGAAAAAGAAGAGGCTAGCCTCTATTTTCATTCTAATTACCTCTTCCACCGGATCTTTTGCGCCGGGGGCTTGCCAAATGCTGAGTCGACGTTTGCTTGCAAATTTTTGAAGTCGCTCGCGGATGCTTTTTGCGAAATTGGCTTCCAGGTAGTCACTGACGAACTGAAAAAGATACTAATCCTTCCTAATTCGGTTACCTGTCCTCCATGCCCATCAAAAATCGCAAATATTGATAGGTTTTCCATACTTGGGTCATGTAGATAATGCATTCGATCTTCCATATATTTACAGGCACCTTGTGCAGCACAATACGCAAAAATCTTGTGTTTAAAATGCCAGTAGTTATCTGAAAATTGCGATCAGTTTTTTAATGGATATTACTTTTAATTTCCAAATCGTTGAAGCCAATTTCCATAAATTTCGGTCTTTCGAATTCGATTGTGTGCATGATGTCTTTTTCGGCTAGATTATTTACAAGTGGGCTGACGCTCAAGGAGGCGTATTTCGTATAGTAGTAAAATGCGACAGCTAGGAATATAAAATAGCAGGTTTCGATTCGTAGGAAGATATATCGCAGGGTGATGCTCTAAATAAAAATGCCATCACGGTAATAGCAAAACATACCTTAATTACGCTACATACAAATATCATAAGTACTAGAATGAGTAAGGCAATTTTTGCATTCGAGCTTGGTGCGGGAGGTTCTTGGGTCGATAGGTTTTGGGTGGATTTTGCTAGATTTAAGCTAGACATCCTAAAAAATTGATTTAGCTTTTACAAAACCAGACAAAACACAAATTTGCAATCAACCCGGAAAAGCGGCGGTTAGTTAATAAATAAGTTGTAGGTGTTGTAATGGGTTTGCTCGGGGCGGATGAGGAACAGAACAGCTGACGCGCCCCCACAAGACCCCCTACCACCCGAAAAACATAGACATAAGACCCCCTCTCTCTTTACTTTCGCTCCAGACCCACAATAAATTTATGGTCTTTTCTCGACAAGAACAATTGGAGCTCACCTTGTTGTTGCCAAAAACACACTAAGAACTGCTTGCCATCTACCGTTCTTGAATTGTAGACGAATCAATGACCATGAGCTTTATTTTTTCACAAAATATCAATGACAGTAAAAATGTGGTCAACATACATAAATTAAACGATTTCCAAAAAAAAGCAAATTCGTATCGATATCAGAGGATGGTGCAAGTCGGAGATCTGAGATGATGGTTGATGACATGCTCGCCGGGCCCATTGTCATGGTGTGACTAGAAAGCTCAAAAATATTCACTGGTATCGGGTACCTTGTCCTTCTTTGAATGCTTTTCAATGCCATTTTCTTGTATGATTGGGTTGACATTCTCATCATCATAGACCCCTTGATCGTGAAGTTCCATGTAACCATCAATCGTCTGATCACCAGCTAAAAGACTCAGAATGATCTAGAAATTTTAAAATTCGAACTTCTCGGCCTTGAACACAGTTCCCAAACACTTCGGCGATCGTTCCGTTCCAGGAAATAGGTATACATAATCCCTTTTCCTTTGATTTCTGTGTTTCCGCGATCCGAAAAGACAAAGGTCGGGTTTGAAGCCAGCCCATTGCGCTTTCCAGTTTCACTAACATGGATCTAAAAGGCGTGCCTGGATACATCATATAATCCCAATACCTTAGCAGGTACCCCGCATGCTTCCATCTTATTTGCTACGGTTACACTGTCTCCAAACAAGCAATATCTACAAGAAATTAATACGATTGAGTACGTGCGATACCTCGGCATTTTCATTCCAACAACTCCAGCCACCACTGGCCCACAATGAACTCCGATGCGAATTTTGATCGGCTTTTTGGTGATCGGCGATAAGCAGAGCTTCGATTCCATTAGCATCCCTGAACCAGTTATAATTTTTTTTATATTTTCTACCGATCGACGCGTTCAACACCCTTTCTGCATGATTCTCACATGGTTCTGGGACACCCCCAACCACTACGTAGGCATCACCGATCGTCTCCACTTTGTAGACCTCGTGCTAATGATATTCAGTATAAATTTGTACTTTTTTCAGACTTACCAATCCGACAAGGCGATCGAACCTTAAATAAAGGTCGTTGAGAAGCGTGACGACGTCGTATGGAGTACACAACGCACAGATATTCGTAAACGTGACAATGTCGGTGAACAGCAATGTACAATCCCCAAATTCGGCTTAATAGAAATTTCGAGGATAAATGAATTTTAGAACCTGCTTCCACCACTTTGCCCTGTCTCAACTTGTCTGCTACCGTCGCCGGCATCAACTCGCACAACAATTCATCGGTTTTCGTCTTCTCGTACTCCAGCTCCGAAGCCATTTTCTTCAGACTTTTCGTTGTTTCCTCGAGCTTACGGCTAAATATTAGATTGCAAAGAATTTGTAACGGGACTGACTTGAGTTCGACTTGACTCATACGACTTTGGTTCAACATGACAAGATCGCGAATGCCGTCATGACGCTGCATATCGCTCAGGTGCAGATTCCGTTCGATAAGTTCTCGAACGCTCGTCACATTCACCGAAGCCACATAGAGAATATATTTTCCATCATCAAGAACCACCATAGCGCCTGGAAAATTTAGATAAGAATATCTAGAGTTTCAAAATATACCTTTTAGCGTAATCGGCTTAATGTCATTCTTTGTATGCACCATATCTCCAGGCTGTTTGAATTTGAAAATAAATAGCGAATTTTTGAAGGCCATGATTGAGTCGAAAGACAGTGGGACCTAAAATTCGCAACTCGAGCTTTTGGAGATGAAACTCACCTCCGGATGCACCAACTCCAAAATATCGGTTACCCTTGTTTCTTGCCTTTGGCACATAGGGAAAGCTTTGCGAATATAATTTCCTAAAGATGTCTTTAGTAAGGTATCTGACTCCCAACCAAAATGCTCCAAGAATAGATCACGATCAAAGCAGATATGATACGGGAAAGCTAGACAAAAATCTTCAGTGTCCATGTCATAAAAAGTCTGAAAGGATGGAATGGGTTTAGATTGATTTGGCTGTGGATTTCGGTACCTCATGAAGGGTATGTGAAGTCTCACTGGACTTGCTGGAAATACTTCTACGTTGACCTCCAGTATCAACCGTGCTGATGATGAACACGACGTGTTCGGTAACGAAGGCGTCTGGAATACCGTCAAATTCACATATTTTACTTGCTACCGTAGTGTTCTTGTTTTCGTTCCTGGACCTTCATGATGACTTCTGTGTTGTAGATACGACGTGATACCTCTCGAACGACACCTTTAGGTTAGCGAATTTTCATGGCTGGTGTCCTTTAAGATACCTTTGACAATTGGATACAGTCCGCTCCGTTTTGAGTAGTAATGGAGCAACAGTGTGCCATCTTGTTGTGGCTCACATCGAAATGATGGACCACGTAGTTTTGTCTGGTAGACGACGTGATCGATGAAGTAGTGAAGAGCATCAAGGGAATCGAGAAATCCCTATAACCTTTTAAGGTATGCTTCTATCCATACCTCCAGATCCAAAGCCATTGCTCGCAACAGCTCATCCCACCCAGTTTCCATCGTAAATTGAATTAAAAAGCCACCATATGCCTCCCAAACTTCCTCGATGGGGATACCTTACTAATATTTTAAATCAAGTTTCTGGGAAATTACCAATGATACTGGCCATCGAATTGACCAATCTCATAGTTTCGTCGTCATTGTAGTAATGATCGATTTTGCTCTCTGTCCCTTCCTCAAATCGGGACATTTCCCTGAAAAGCGGGTTCAGAAACTGGGGAGCACCTACAGGATTTTGAGCCATACTTCACGTCCATATTTTCGGTGTACGAGTTGGCGGAAGCTTTCGTGAATCCAGCCAAACTAAATCGATTGCTCAAAATTTTGCTGGACAAAGAAGTAGATATTCCCTAGTTCTTGGGTTAATGTTATTAAGCTTACGATTTATTTACTACATATCTCTAAGCTGACATCCTGAAACACAATCTGTTAAAGGTTTTAGACGGCTCAATAAACGACTAGATCTTGGTCTTGCAATATGGACAATTTTTACTTTTTAGATTAAAATATCTAAACCTTTGAATTGAGCTACTAAGACTTACCATTTCTAACCGTTATCTCTTTTTCTTTAGAAAATAAAGATATATCTAAAAATTCGGGATCGTCGGATTCGGGTCGGTTGGAAGGGAAGCGAAGTCTAGATGGTGTCCAGATGGGGAGGAAGGTGGCCTGAACCGATAAGAGAAGGCCCATTTTAGGGGGATATATAGAAACGATGACACGCGATTGCAGGCATAATTATTCATGGGGACACTCGACAGAGTCAGCCGTAGGCATGGAGAATCTTCAACAAATTTCATGCCCCAGCCACACCTGCCATCAGGGGGTCTCTTTGGAAGAGGAAGCAAGTATGTGTGTATGTAGAATTTCGATATGGAGTGTGGAAGCTGAAAGTAAAGTGCAAAAATGATAATAAAGCGAAGTATTTGTTCTAAAGCAGCTACCAGATGAGACATGTAATCTTGAATCAAAATCTGCAATTTTTTAGTAGTTTTCGGGGTTGGGAAAGATAATTATCTATCAAGGAAAAATTTCTTACAACCGCCAGTAAATAGCGAATAAGAGTTATGGCCGTTTTTCTATGTGGTTTTGCCATTTTAGTCAATTGTATTGTTGCGTAGCAAACTCGATGAGCATAGTTTACCAAAAACTGTAATACCATAATATAAAAACACTTGAACACCAGAGCAAAAACTTGCTACTCCATATTTATCTTAATCCCTTTCACACCTATTAACGTATCGCCCATACCTTAAAATTTTTCCGCGATGCGAAACGTCGGGGATACATTGGCGGAAACCGTATGCAAATGCACACTGACGTCGATTCTATATTTGCAGGATTTATCGAAATCAACCACCAGGACGATAAACAAGTATGACTCGACGGTCATCCAATTCTGACTGTTTTTTTACACCCCAGACGATGTCTAGCATAGGATGTTTATCGTTCCGGAGGCGTTTCACTGACCGTCTGCGCCTCTCAACCTCCTCAACACTGTATATCAATTCTAGCTGGGCCCCCCTCTCTCCCACTATCGCCCAGATCTACATACAGTTCATTTGCCATTCCTCCCTTTCGGAGCCATCCTCGCTTTTGTTCGACGCCTTTCCTTCCAGCTTACGAAATTATGAGTAGCCATATTCTTTGCATCCTCCTTCTTCTTCTTCCTCACATTCTTTTCTGCTATTACCTTCACATCCACCGTTCTCTTGGCCCCCGTGGCAATCGTGGTATTTTGGGTATTTTGTTTACAACCTTTTCCTTACCTTAATCCTAATTTCTGCTGCTTAGTTAGTCGGTCGGCTTACTCTCCTAGTATTTTTTTGCATCGGGTATAGAGTAATATTGCTTTGATAGCAATTTTGTTCGCCTTGAGGTTTAACAATCATCATCTCTGATAACTCAACGTTTGTACAAGTGCAAATTTTCTAAACCACGGCGCTTAGGAATTCAAAGGAGCCATGAATCAAAACGCGGTTATGGGAGCCCAGCAGGTATGTATTTAGTATTGACTCCAAAATTCCAAATTTCAGGGAAACCCCGTGGAGAACGCGCCTGGTGATGAGGGTTGGTTTGACGAAATGAAGAATCTCGTCAAAGAGTTGACCGACGCATGGGATGCCCCCGAAAGGCAAGCCTCATAAAAAATTCTGTCATACGATACCTTTCTTATCAGACACGTTTAATTCAGAATCGATTTCGTGGAGCTGTCTACCAAGACGTATGAGTGCTTTGTCGAGGTGCACCAGCATTTTCAAGCAGCTGATGCTCAGCGCTCAAGAAATCTGGCCAAGACGGTGAAGTTCGAGGAATCGAAGGCAAACGCGAAAAAGGCGAGGGAGATGGCGCTGGTGATTCGTCATGTCCAAATTGCGATGGTATCCATGACACATTTTTCAACAAAGAATTTTAGCTCGACGATTGGATCAGTGCGATCGACCTCGATCTGGCCCGGCTGAACGATGAGTACTTGGTAAAATTTCTACAAAATCGTTTCTCATAAAAAATTTAAGGGCCTGCAAGAGAATTGTGTGAAGCATTACTACTTGTTCGAAGCCATTCGCTTGCTGCTGGCGAATCTGATTGGGTATAGGACCGATGATCCCGAGCAGGTTAACATTAAGGTAAGTTCTACAGCTTCATATACAACTTCTACATGGGATCTTTTAATTTTATAGTTGGAGCTCTTCAAGTGTTCTGTGCTTGGCATCCAGATCACCGAGCAGGCAAGGAACACTCCCATCGAACATTTGGATACGTCTGATTAAGCCTCGAATATATTCATTTACGCCCTCGCTATCAAACCTTGTCAAAATTTCCAAGTAGATGATCACAACTGATGTTTAATTTTGCTCATAACCACATTTTCCTCGCTACCTGGTTTTCACTGTGACTCATATCGGTATTTGCCATAGCTACAAGGTTTTCAACATGACTCATCTCAGCACTTTCACTTTCCACTTTTCCACCGGTATAATTGTCCACACAACATTCATCCTACCTTATATTTAATGTGTTTATAATAAACCTGTTGATGTATTACTTTATGAACAGCTGCAAAATTCCATTTTTCGAATTTCAAGGGTCGGGTAGGTCAAAATTCGCGTAAGCGGCGTCGAACCTCGCGACAAATAACGAACGACAAATAACACAACGAAATAGTTACTGCGGGGTGCTGTAATAGCAAGAGGAAAATTCAGTTTGTTGAGAAAAAAAACGTTGAATATTGGAGAAACCCGTCGGGTTTTCGGGCCGGAATCGCCTTATGAGTTTTGGGTTCGGTAGGTAAACCAATTCTGTAATTACCTGCCCAATTTGAATAATTAAACCCGCACTAAGGTTTACATTTGCGTGAGAATCTTATAATTTGCCTCAGAATTGAGAAATTCACGCGTTTCAAGTCCAAATAGAGTTAGAAGAAATTTGTCGCGGACGTGCCGGGGACGGGCCGGGGACATTGGCCGCAATGCCACCAGCATCCGCATGAGATGGTGGCCTAGTGGATAGTGCAGGCGCCTATCGAACTTTTGCAAAAATTATGCTCGCGGGTTCGGAACTTTTTTTGATTAGCTGTTTTGCTTTTTGGTTTTTAACGCTATTGATGCCATATTTTGCATCACAGAGCAAAAAGCAAAAGAGTTTCACTAGCTAGGATTCGAACCCGAAGGCAAAAAAAAGATAAAACTTGTGAAGCAAATGCACTACCAATATGCCAAGCGATCATGGTGGTTCAAGGGTCTGAAGGGGGCTATCTTCACGCGCACCCCCCGAGCCAAACCTGCGGATCAGCTGAGAAATGATGGCGAAATTAATGATTTCAAATTGATTTTTATCGAATACAATACACGGTTAGCAGATTTGGAAAACGACATCTTGCTCAGAATTTTTTTCTCTATCGAACTAGCTAGGTCTCGCTCAAAAACTCCAATATCACCTAAAAACGACTCCTTGTTAGTCAATAAAACCTTGCACCCCAAAAGGAAAATCTTACACTTTTTCCAAAAACCTCTCCCGTCTTGTTATCAGCTTCTCGCCTCATCACCGTCTGGCGGCGGTCCGGGGATGACCGGGATTGTTATTGTTTTCTTCCGGTCGCCAATTTCATGTTATTAGTATGATTAATCTTGTGACAAGAATGGCGTCTAGTGGGTTGTAAAGTGTGTGGGAAGGGCATGAACCTTGTTTATGAGTCTTGTGCGTTGGGGCGTGGGCTGGCTGAATACCCGTCTCGGCCGCTTCGGCCCTGATTTGGCATCCGTGATTTGATTGCTGCCCACGGGCGCCCTCCTGACCTCCTCAAATTTGCTTCCCAAATCTCGGATGGGTGACTTCGCCTCGCTATTCGTATTTATTATAGTATTTCCGCTAGTACTGAGTAGTTTCTTGAAATATCAGCCTGGGGCATGTGTGGATGGCGTGCATAATTTGTTGCGGATAGATTCTACAGAAGATGGTAAAACTTTTTTCGTCTAATTAATACCGCAAAAAGTTATGTAAAGTATGCAAATTCACTTTTTCAGTAACACTACCAATCCAACTTCGCGATGTACAAATCCTTTTCTACGATATTTACAACAAAACCTCCTGCCATGAAGGCCGACCAAACCTAAAAATGCCTGGCTATGTAAAATTTATCGCAGGTAGCGAGAAATTTTCCCAGATGTATTTTATGCCATTGTTAAGGCGAAATGCACGTTTTTCGCCACATTGAAAATTTCGATCAAATCGACGTACAACCAACGATCTCATTCATGCATCTATTTTTATGCCGAGGCGGCATCAGCCCGGTGCCAATGTTCCCGAATCGATTTTGGTTTGTTGTTCTAATCTATTTAAATAAGTATTTTCAGCAACTTTAAATTGTCAAAGTACATCCCTGAGCATTATACGGATATATTGCGAAATCAAGGGGTGCATACAATTGGTGAAATGATGACAAAGGTATGGATTTTGGCGATTTTTCATGCCGACTTTTTCAGTCAAATTTCACTGAAGTTCTGGAACTGCCACCAAGCGTTTCATTCTTTGGGGTGACGTTATTACGGATGATTAGGGTAAGAAAATATAAGATATATCCAGTTTAATATTAAAATTTTCAGGATCGATACCATTCTGAAGTGCGTATGGCAATCGAAGAGAAGCCAATTCTCCACATCAAAATCCCATCCGATGGAGGCTATTTCTACGTCGGCTATTGATCTCACAGCGTGCCCGCTGTTTTTAATATGAATAATAATAAATCTTTCATCACCCTTCTATCTCGTTGAAGAACACCAGATGCCGTTAGTTTGGTAGTCCGACCACATCTAGCCACCCCGATACGCATGCACACATGGCTTATTATATAAATTAGGCAGCTAGGGTGGGAAGGGAATTTGGAGTTATTTGATGCGCTAGCCCAAGGGGGTCCGAGGGCCTCGTTTTGCCAGGACGACCAGGAATATCTTTCACATTTCTGCCTTTTCCCCCCATCCATTGCTATGAAACGAAAAATCTATCAAAAGACATTTTAAATCGTTCAAACATGTTTAAAAACCCTTTCTTGGCGGAAGTATTGCCAATTATGTTGCTTTTGTGTGAGACCTTGCGAAGTGTCATTGGAAACTTTCATGAGTAATAGTTATAATGTTTTGTCTCTTGCACGTACGGGAGTAGAAAAGCTTTCATTTCATTTTCTCACTTCAGGATGCCTAACCACGATCGTTCGGCACTTCGGGCTTCGGTGGTGCAAAGCTTGATGGGGCAGCTAGATTTAATGAGGAGATTATCCATTGGGTATGTCATGTATTTTGTTTTGTTCGCTTGCTTTTACATACTTGATTTTTTTAAAGTTCCGCCTTCTGATTTTCCAAAACGTTGCAAATTCTCAGATGGTAGCAACCGAAAATCCCACTTGTTCCCACGACCCCTATATTGCAAGCCTATCCCCCGTGAAAATTCATTCACAGATTCTTCAATGCCAAAAAGAGGTTCAATCAGATATCTTATTGAGATAAAATGTAGACACGTGCACCTACAAACGTAGATAATCCCGTCGGGGCTCTTGGACTAAAAGGTCACTGGAAAAAAATAGCTTTTCGCAGCAAAACTCAAAATACACTTTAGGAATATGGTTAATTTTCTGTATTGCTTCGCCTGTTTTGACGCTGAATGAGTTTGATCATAGAAGATCAGCTGTTTTTCTTATTGCCCACTTTTTCGAGTTTTTGATTATTGGCAACCAGAAAGTTAGTAACCATTTATGGCTTATTTTTTTCTTTTTGTGGATTCCCAGAATCTTGTACTTGCAAACGGCCGTGCACTTTTTCAAATGGCACTAGCATTTTTTGGGACTGCCCTGATCCTTTCAACGATCGCAAAGAGTGCATAACGTGTCTTATATCCCTTCCGCAAATGCACAATGGCTAATCCACGATTCCACTGAGGCATCGGTATAGAAAGTCCGTGCATAATCCAAGAATGAAGGAGTCCGCCGCCGCGTCGACATCCAAAATGCCGGATCGCGAGGGATGGCATTTCTCTTCTCATGTTGTAAGCACAACGAGGGGGCTCCTCGCGGATTTTGGGGCCTCGAGGCGAGAGAGAAGGGGGATGTAATCCGTAGCCGAGCGAAATCCGGAGATGAAGAGGGGCCTCCTGGCGCAACGAGCGATTATGGGAGGAGGGCTGTAGAAGTACCGCAAGGCTTGACGGAAGGGGGAGTAAAGCCGAGAAAGTCATCTCTCCCCTTCACGGGGTGAGGAAAGGGCATCGGAGAGTCATTCTCAGTTCTATCTATGCAACAGCCGTGGCAGGTTCCGGAAATTATTCCGACACAGCTTGGTTGGTTTAAGAAAATTTTATTCCGCTCCGTTTAAAGGGATCAGGAAGACCCAGGAAAAATTAACATAAAACGTGATTGAGTTTTAAAATTAATATAAATCATCTCTGCTGGCTTCTGTCTCGCCCCACTCACTGCCCATTTTGTTGCATTAGAACTTCCGGTGCCTTCCCTATCCCTTTAAGGTCCCAAAGATATTTTCTTGCGCTATAGACGATCTCCTAACTTTTGCTCTAGGTTCATTCCAGACAATCTGAAATCAGCCCCGGAATCAGCGCAAAATTCTGTACAAAATAGAATTGATCCCCTATCCTTAGTGACTTTCCCTAAATCTATAGTTTTATAATACTTAAATTTTCGAGGTTTTAAGCTTTCAAAAACATACATTCCTGTCATAGCAAACACCCATCAAAAACCAAATTAATTTTCCTTGCTGACCAGAATTGCACAAATTTTCCCCCAACATCCGCACGTCCCATATATTTGACGGCATGGGCGAATTTAGTCTCTGGAAGTGTGTCGATTAATTTGCTGGCGGATGTGGATGGGGACTCGGTTTCGCTCCAGTCTGCGACGTCACTCCAATTGAAGCCGCGGGGCCAGTTGAACGACGGTCGGCTCAGTCCCGAGAATTTCCGGCTGATCCGGAATCATGCGAGGAAGAGCCTACAGCGAGAGTTTGGCGAGGGTGTTCTTGGGTAGGTTATTTAAATAATTTTCCAGCGAACCATTCTATTTCCAGTTGTAACGATGCTCTTTTACCTTTTACAGCTTTTATCTAGAACTGTGACAAATTGCAACAGTTGGTGGTGACAACCGAATTCGCCAAGTGCAACAAACCTTTTTCCTAATTACCCCTTCGCTCATGGTAACACTTTCCAAAAAAGGCCCAAAATTACGGCCTCCCCGGAATTATACCTTTGACTCGCAACTCCCGCGCGATATTGGTTCCATTTATTCGATAGTGCTAATATTTATATTTCAATATACTGCAAATTTTAAATGGGTTTTTGAGTTGTCACAATTAATCAATACTCTTTTGTTGAGGCCCCAGCAAAGGCACATTCAGTTCTTGGGCAGAATTGTTTGTAGTTGCAGGTGAGGGCAGCGGGTCGGAAGTCGCAAGGATATTAGCTGGTTTTGGTCTCCAATGGATATAATTTTATAAATTATTCTACCATCACGTTTGTTTACGATATTTCGTAAATATAATCGGCGATATGAGGTGTTCGCGCGCAGATTGGCGACATGAGAGACGGTAAATTTTCCGGTGTCATTTCAATTAAATGACGTAATTGGTTATTATTCTGGAGAGTATTTTATGAAAAAATCAGGGTTAAAAATCCGCTTCGCGGCTTTGCGATTCGGGTTAATTTCTCCAGGTCAGTACGCTCCTAATGACATAGCAAATATGCTCGAAAGTTTTCCTGTTAAGGTTATGTTTGAGTCCGACGGAAGCTACATGCAAATGCGAACACGCAAACAATTTTTTTTGCTCGGATCAGGATGAGTATTGAAGAGTCTAAGGATCAAACATTACGGGATATCCCATATGCACGCAGTTAAAAAGGCTGGGAGGCAGGCCAGCGGCTGGGTTATATAGGCAATCTTATTAAGCAGGTTTGGGTACGTGCTATGAGCTACATACCTCGAGCTCAATACGAGCTCACGAAAACGCCCGTGTTACGAACTTCAACACCTTACCCATATCGGTACTCCACCAACAAATTAGCTGCCACCCGGCCACCTCTTCTGGGTCGGGTCCCGTCGGGGCATTTAACCCGGGGGGCACTCTCTCACAAACAAAGACCCCAATTCATTTATCCGGCCCACCGCCCCTAGCTCTCCCACACACTGACTTCCCACACCACACACCCCAACCCCCTGGGTAGAAGCCCCCACACACTTTGAAAGCTTCGAAAACCGGGCACTCTGGTTAATTGATCTTTTTTGGTTGGAGTTCTTGTGGGGCTCTTCGTATTTTCTCCCGACCCTGAAATAAATTTCTTAGAACTGGTCATTAAAAATCACAATACTTAGACATCGATATTTTTTTAATCCGACCTTATAGCCAGATTTTGAGCCACAGAAAATCCACTGAAAATATTACGGTATTGGTTGCTTTTAACATTGCCTTCATTTCCATTAAAACATTAAATCCTTTCTTAACTCTGAAAATTCTATATAATTAAACACCTAAATCTCTGTACATCTAGCTCTGTACCAAATTGTTCATTTCCCAATAATTTCCCGGATAAAAAATCTACAGTAGCATTGTTTTCAACACTACCCCCAATTCAACACGTGATGGTGCGTCGCAAGCCTATGCACTCCTTCATCTTGCTTGTCTGCACCCTTAATCCTGTTTTTCGCCAATAAATAATGAGGCGCTTTTCATTTGGGTCTGTTCAAATTTAAAGCTGACAGCTCGCACTCCGAGCCCACACTGTAGTTTGAGTGATTTAACGCTTTTATTTAACCAAGCCACTTTTTCACATTTGATCTATCGCTTCCATTAATTAAGACTTTTTCTTTATTTCAAAGCGCCTCATCAATCAAGCAGATCCGAAATTTAAATTCCGTCTTTTTAATCAACATTTGATTGATTGACCTGCTGATTGCTTGACAATAATTTTAGGATGTCTTCTTCTCCGCTTTTGTTTTTCGATGTGTGACCCAGAATGGAGACGCTGAAGTAAGCCGTTTCTCATCGCCAAATTATAGAGCAGGGGATGGCTCGCTGTGGTGTGTTGTGGCGGATTAGATGCCTTCCCATGATCTGGTTGATTTTTCGACTCGTAGTTTATATTAGTAATATTTTTAAATTTTGAATCACGGCACGAGATCTATACAAATTGACATAGCATCGATGCCAAAAACGTTAATACATTTTTGAAATTTTTTGCTACTTTTGAGCTCTTAACAGGTTCATATAAATTCCCTACAGAACGAATAAGCAATGATTAAAAAGCTTTCATTTTGTACCATGTAATAGTATATTATAGCTGCTGTTTAATTTAGTGTCTTAGATTGCAAAAATTTAATTTAATTTTCAAGACCTTTTGATGATTTTGAGCTGTTAGCAAGATTATATGCATTTTCTACAGCAAGAATAAGCATGAATTAAATAGCAACCCATCTTGCGCTCCTGGACTTCATCTTGGAAATTAAACCTTCAAAACTATTCTCTCGCTGATTTTGAACTTTTTCAGCATTAGGTTCGTCGTCATTTTTCATCTAACACCTACGTACGGTTATTAGCGTGCCTCGATATGTTGCCATCCCCGATCCCTATCCCACCCTCAATTCATTAACAACTACAACCCCCTCCCCCCCCCCTCGTTACTCATCTCCGATTCCTCCAATTTTCCAGCTGAAATCCCCCCTAAAAAACAGACCTCCCCTCTCCCCCCAATAACAATTCGCGTGGTAGCGCGAAAGATGCCATCCAATCCCTCCAATGAAACGACACGAATCTCGACGCTGCTGGTGCTGAACCTAATGAGGGAGGAGGTGCTAATCCTGAGAGAGAAGAAGACGAACGGAAATGGGGGGGCCGTGCGCCCTCAAGGGGCGGGGCCAGCCCCGCACCCAGCTCTTCGTCTACCCGCTACGAGGCAAAGCCGGCGAGTTCGAACCCCACCGGGCTCAACAATGAGCCTTCAGCCGAAAGCCCCAGGGTCACCCACCCTCCTTACCGTACCCCGAGCTACGCGAAAGCATCCGAAACAACGGGTGCTGCACCACCGTGTCACTCAATTGATGTTGAACGAGCCGGAGAAGTTGATCCACAACGGGCCCGACTCGGCCGTGTTCTCGGATTGGCGGCCACGCACTAACAGGTATCCTCTGCCCTCTCTCGCCTCCTATTCAAAACTCCATATAAGATTTCCCACATGCTCTGGGGTCCAATTTATACCGGAGTGTTGTGTCCTGCTTCGCCTCCTCCCTACTAAGTTTCACTAATCCCACCTACTCTCGAGATTCTGAAGGCATACACCACAACTGTTACACTCGGGTCTCCCACTGGCGTATCATTTTTCGCGATTCTTTAGATTTCTGCGCCGCATAATCATTTTGTAATTACTTCGCTCACACTCAGTCGTAAGGCGAATAACAGCCGATAATTGCGCAGATTTCAACCTAGAGGATTTTCGCGGTATCATTCCATCTTTATCCTGCGCTTTTCGGAAACTGGCATCTTTTGTTGCCCTTTTCCTATTTCCCCGTGACACCCATGTCCGTCTTATCAATTATTTAAAAACTGGGACTTTGAGATTTTGCCATGCACGACTCCTTTTTTTTGTTTATGGGGCGTGCGGTTCCTTTGGGAATATATAACCGTAACAAAAATGCCTTGTGAAAAGTGGAATTTTGAAGAGGTCGACTATGGATTTATGGCTTTCTTATTATCCTTGCTGAATATTGAAGAGAAAGTGGGCCGCTAAAAAATGCCCGCCTCCACGACACAACAAAATCGCCTTCATAAATTTTATCAGATCGTCAAAATTTATGGAATTCGCCGGGGCATATATTCGCATGGGAAATGTAAGATGGATAGGACGGAAAGGCCATCACGTCTTTGCGATCCAAGTTCTTTCGAAGCTATCGCATGTCCCCTGGTTACAAGCCATTTGCTAATGGACTGGCTAGGTCTTTTGTTCGCAAATCGAGCTCCCCTTCCAACTTTTGCCGTGGCCAGCCACCAAAACAGAGTAGAGACAAAATTTTCTGGCAAAAATGAATTTGTTAGAGAGCGGTGGTTGTTGTGTGGGAGCCAGTTTTTCCGGTTTTATTATCCTATTTTGTAGCTGCCCGGTTCAGGGAAATTCAAATCGACTCCAGCTCATTTCTCAGGTCACAGGTCCCCTGATTGTATAATTGGGTTGTCGAGGAGATGGAGTTTATTCAAAAGGGGCAAAGACATTTCGTCAAAAAGAGGTAAGGCAACAGCCCTCGAGGCCGAGTTGCAGAATGGGTGTTGAATAAGTAATCGAGGAGGGGGTAAGGATTCGCCACGGCTTCTTCCATCCGTGATTCAGCGAGAATCAGTAGAAATCCAAAAAATTGCCCTTCTCCCGACAAAGGCAACCAAAAAAATCTTGATGAATTTTCCGGAGGAGTTGGAGTGTCCTTGAAGATGAAATAATTTTAGTTCTCCGTCCGAGATGAGAGAGCGTAGGCTGAGGTCTTCGGTGAGAAGAGAACAATATTATGGCTCCGTGGAATTGGTGGTATCTGGTAAGGCTCAGTATAATCACTAGCGTCTACTTATTGTTAAGTTGATCCTCGCGGGCGTATCCGAAATATTGGACGTTTTCGACTTGAACCATCGTCAGATTATCATGCCGGGGCGGTGGGTTTTAATAGCTTTTGTAGCAACACTTCTCAAGTTGTCCTTTTTCAAAAATCGTTTTAAGGAAGGCCAGTTCCCCACGTCAAGCACAATTATCGTCGAAAACCCCCAAGAAGAAACGCGCTGGTATTGGAAATATTTCCTTGGAAACGGTAATTCTTTTCATAGCTGCCTTTCATATCCCAAAAAAAACCTCCAGACCGGGACACTTAATCCGTATTAATCTCAGCACGTGCGCCCGAGCGTGGCCAAGGCTAGAGCTTACCGATATTTTCGACGTCATCAGATGAATAGAAACGGATTTAGAGCATCAGAATTTCTCCGGGATTGACCCCAGCACAAAATCGCCATTTTTCTTGTCGATCACAGTCGAGGAAGAGATTGATGATAATAGGTTGTTGCGTGCAATTCTATGGACGGCAAAGGTGAAAGGAATTCAAGAAAAAGGTGAAAGTCGGGATTTAGGGCCCTCGTCGTTTGTGTGTTCCAGTACCTCCATCAGGAAAGCCGCTGACTGCCAAAGCAATTTTGCAGTAAGAACATGGTCCATTTTTGCCACGGTATTACAGGCGGTTCCCCGACTTCTCTGACCACAATCGTGGCTTGAAAGAAATCCTCAACGCCAAAGTACAGAAAGAGCTCGTCGTGCTTGAAGACCAGGAGGGGAGCGTCAATTGCAAATTTGGTGTTATATTCTCGAAAAGCGAGCAATCAACCGATTCTCAGATGCTTAGCAATGGTAACCTTTCCCTGATACTCATTACATGTGTATATCATTGCTTAGAATTCGGCGACGAAGGTTTTGAAAAACTGCTGAGGATTCTTGGGCAGCGTATCGAGCTGCAGAATTGGGGCAGCTACCGTGGAGGGTTAGATATCACAAGTCTGTCCCAAGGCCCAAATTACGGTTGACCGAATATTTACAGCCAATTCCACGGGCCGTGAATCAGTCTACGCGGTGTTTGCCGGCCATGAAATAATGTTCCACGTCTCCACATTATTGCCCTACAGCCGCGAAAATGAGCAACAGGTTGATGGATTTATTGGGGTAGTACCAAGGTTTATTTAGGTGGAACGAAAACGCCATGTGGGCAACGACATTGTAAATATTGTTTTTGAGACTGGTGGCGATCCAGTGAGGCCAAATTTTAGCCCAACGATGATGAAATCGCATTTTACACGTTCGGGATAGCTCAAATTTTTGTCAATTGAGTTTTTAGATGTGTTTGCGGTTGTCACCTACGAAGAAAAAGGAGGCATCTGGCGGCTTTGGGTATTCTCGGAAGAAAGTGTGCCCGCCTTCGGCCCGTCAATCCCATATCCTAATACGTTCACAGATACGGCTGAATTCCGAGAATTCCTATTGACAAAATGTTCGATTATCTTATTTTTAACAACTTAACATTTAGTGATCAATGCCGAAAAAGCTGCTTACCAAGCAAAAGTGTTTGTCGAGAAACGACACCGTACAAACGATACATTGCTCAAAGACATGTATATGGAGTATTTGAAGGAATGCCAAAGGGTAATCGAATCTATTTTCGGGAGCCCGTCAATCTATTTTTAGGGATTTAACAAGGTGACCGACTCGGTAATCCGTCATATCCGGTCCCCAGTCAGGAAAGAGGCGCCGCGAGAGAGCGTGGATTTTTGCAAACTGGGCGAGCTAATCAAGGTGACCTAACGCGCAATTGGTTTCAAAATAACTTTGATCAGCTGGAGAAAACGTTGAGTGGGGATGTGAACGAAACGGTGCGGATGACGTCGATATGTCGGAAGCAGCCATGGGATAAAGAAGTCATTATTCGGGACATTATTTCATTCGAAGACGTCAGTGTTGATGCCTGGGGACATGCGGCGGTTGGTTTTTTCACTTGTAGTGATAGACGAAAATAAATTGCACTTTGAATGTCTCATTACATTCGTAACGTTGCGTATAATGCCCTAATCCATATTTCGCAACCACCTATTTATTGTTTTTGTTAAGGTGGTTACTGTGACGAAAGATGGTGCCGTGCAATTGATCGCCGAAGGAAAAACCTCCATATTAATCGAACCAGGGGCTTCTGTTCAGCAAATCGCCATCGTTGAGCATTTTGGGCTGTTTATCGCGAGAATGGATAAAGGTAGTGCTTCAAATTGGGCCCGTCAAAAAACGGTGGCTTCCATTCAGGGCGTGACGGATATTTGGGGGTATTTTCACTATCCGAAATGCGACACGCTATCCAAACCGGTCAACCGATCAACAAAAAAACGGCGCAATCACATAAGATCCCAAGCACCAAGGGTTTGTGGCTGTTTGTTGCGCTTGGTGATTAAATGCCGTTCAGGCTGTCATCTTTTTGCGCGATCCGAGGGCACCGGGCTTCGCTTGAATATTGTGGCTTGCATTGGCAAGAAAATGCTGCTGCTTCGATGGGCCCTAGGTCCGCTTGGAAGATATACCGAAACTACGCATATTATCAATAACTTCACACTACTAACCGTATCTTATTCTTTTGTAATTTGAGGCCATTTTCCTAGGTTTATACGCTGCCGGACGAGCCTTCATCCTGTTGCGTGTATGAGATGAAGAATTTTCAGAGTCATGTCAAAGTTATTGCTTTGGCGAATAAGCATATCCATATGGTGGATTTGACGTAAGGATATCCAGCAAAAAGTGCAAAATTTCTGATAGGGAAGAATCTTCTGAGAGCATCCCGGTTCCACATTTCAAAGGCAACGTCGAAATACGATCTGCTAGCGATGGAGATAGTGATGAATTTGTGTTGATGACAAATAGTAACCCTAGACAACTCCTTTCTGATAATACATGTTTAGGTTCAACTCTATTATTTGACAAAATCGATCAGCGCTGGACCCACGAACAAACTTTTTGGTCTACTACCCTCCACAACTTCGGTACGCTCCCCCAAAAAAACATCACTTTTCTCCAGTTTTCCGTTTTCCTTTCATTATTGGCTTTGGGGAGGATTTGATAGAAATTCGGTTGGCTGTAAATGGAAATCTGCTTGCAACGATGTATATGCCGAATGTACGATTAATCACTAGCAAGGTAATGAATATCTAATTACCGCTCAAGGGTTGTTTAGACTGATATTATCTTTTCTGTCGAACGGGCGTTTTCTGGTGGTTGTATTCCGGGGATGAGTAAGAAGGAAGAAAATGGTAAAGAGAATGGGGCACCAACGAAGGATGGCAAGGATCACGAGCATTCACATCGCGGCTCTGTGAGGAGAAATCATCCGGAAAGTCAGCAAAAGCGGTAAAAAATCTGATAATTCCTAAAATACGGTATTCATAGATGGGATGTATACCGGTTTAAAGGAATCGAGTTAGAGATGGTGACAAAGGATCGGGAACCACATCAGGTGAAGTAGTTTTGTCTTTCCAATTTCCATTTTAGATGGGTGGATTGACACCGCAACCACCAAGAAGATCAGAACGAGAGGCAAGTGAAAAGGAAAAGGCATCGCGAAACACTTCTACAAATAGTGATCAAGGCTACATCACTTTCTCTAGGTTTGACAGCTTCTGGAATCTTGAATCAAATTTAGAACCCGGTGTTTCCCGTGAAGAATCAACTGTCATATCAGAATTGTGATCCATTTATGCATTGCCCGTTTCTTGCTGTTCTTTCTCTCTTTATAGTTAGTGCTCATGAGAATATTTGTATTAGTAAGTCTGACATCACTGTGCATTGAACATTTGAATAAATTCTGGTATATCAATTCAGGCAGTTTATGCCGATCACGCACAGCGCGCGAAACACTGTCATTTCAATGACCGGTTACTCATAACGCATCATTATTCCCGGATTAGAGCTTGGTCCGGCGGCTCACATGGTTCGAGAGTATAACGCCATTTTCATAAATGCGTAAAATTCTGCTCCTATTTTTCTGGCTTGTAACTTGCACGGCACAATCGACCTGTATTTTTACTACTTGGACAGAATGGGGAGGCTGTCAGGCAGATTGTCTTCAGAATCGTAGCAGAACGCTACAAATTGTAAGATGTCGAGAATGGCATTTAATCATTATGATAGGGCACTCTTTCAACGTGCGAGACCGAATACGGACCATTAGTAAATCAACAGGTGTGTGAGGATGGGCTATGTGGTAAGGGAGGTGGTTTTTTTCAAATCTTGCATCAGGAGCGACGCTTACAACGATAAAACAAGCGGCCGAGGTTACCGTGACCACGACAACTACCACAGGTTTGTTAGGATCGACTTTAATCATAATGCCTATGACTCAATTAGAATAGTTTTGAAGGTTCCGTGGGAACTAGAATTTTGTCAGCCTTGGTGTTTTTCCGCGCCAAAAGGCTCTGATCAGCGTCTTGGCACACTAATGGTGCGAAAGAAGAGCGAGACGTCAAGCCGCGTAACCTCGGGTCTTTTGGCGCGAAAGTCCACCATTGGCTTCGCGAGAGGCCGTATGTAAATTTCATATTATTAAAACATTCCGCCTAGTATACATTACATCGGTCGAAACCACTTCTAGCGTCATCCTCCCCAGCTGAAGGTTGCCAAATCCAAGGCGTAGACCCCGGCACAAAACCCTCATCCAATGGCTTCAAAGCCGTTGGCGCCCAGGGAGACTGCAATCAAAGATGTCAAGTGGAGACCGCGTTTGCATGTCAAGCTTTCATCACAACCGGTACCTCCTTGTCGAATATTTTAATTTTATCTTGCCTTAGGACCGAACGGGCCCTGCATGCTATTCGGAACTCTGGATCGAAACATTTCATTGTTGCACTATAGCAAATATTACCTGCAGGATTTGAAATGCGCAACTCAAAAAGGTCTGCATATTGATCTCCTGCCATTTCATTCTACAATCCTTAGACTCTATCGCCACCTGCGAGTATAAGAAGTCTGGCAATATCCCTATACCGAGTGAGGAGAATTCAACGATCTTTAAGGTCGGTCATTGGCTTATTCTAATGCTTGTTTCTTAGGGCATCGGCTTTGCAATTAACTGGGAACAATGTCAACACCTTTGCCAAATGAATTTTCCTATGTTCGAGAAGAATCCCTGTACCACATTCGCATATGACCCTAAGCAAGGTATGCTATTGGCCGTACTCTCGGCTAAAATAAGTTTTCAGGCTTTGAGTCCGGAAAGGATAACTGTTATTTCTTTGATTCTGATTATCCGACAAATGCTACCAGCGGTGAACTTGATTTCTACCAATTAGTTTGCGGATAAAACATTATTTTATTCACGATGTTATTGCACGAATTTCAGACACGTTGGAGTAGACCCGTTGACAGAGATCACAGAATTGGGTACAGTAAATGCGCTAGACTGGCGTATCAAATGCTTCTTTTTCGTCGCTGTAGATCATTGTTGAGGTCGGCTTTCGTTTGGCCGCACCTTTGCATGAAGAAGTGAATAGACGTATCGTTTCTTTTCTAAAGGCAGCCGATTGTAAAATTATGATGTGAATTCAGATTGGTTAAGCTCATCTAACTTGAAAATACTCGCCTATATTGTTTAATCACCCCTATCGTGATTAATGCATCAAATAAGGGACTCGCAGCTAACCAAAGCTGTGTCAGAACAATCACTTCTGAAGTAGTGACCGGCTCGACATGAAGAAGTGAAGATGATAGGGTCAGAAACGCTGGCACCTGAAATTTACTGGTTCGTGGGCCTTACTTTCAAGCGCGCCTGTCGATTTTCAAAACCCACTTTCTTGCCCACAACCAACCTGACAAACTAACGGCACCAACGCTTGTGCAAGGGTGGCTATGGCGATTTGTCGAGTTTCGAGAAGCCGCGAGGCATCGCGAAGTGATTGCACCACCCGTATGTGTCGAGCTAGACTTAACGGTTTCGGGATAAACTCCTTACATACCAACTATCCGGAAGACCATTGTATTAGAAATGAAAGCAATTAAATAAGCAGCGACCGTGACAATCGCATAGCAAAAGAACAACCATCTCGCAAGCTGAAAATATGCTTGTAAGAATTTCTAGCAAACGATTCGTCGCTTTATTCCCCCGAAAATATATGCGGCGGTTCTCAAAATTCTCATTTCCTGCTTCGATATATGCAATTTTTGGGAAGAATGAGGCGCGATGTTATTTTCGGGAGCCGTTGGTAAATAATGGAAGGAACTCACCTGCTGATTAGCGAAACACATGACGACGAGGAGGGAAACGGGAGCCAGGTCGCTCAAAATGCAAATAAGCATTGCCTTTGGTCCAGCAAATAGCTAAAAAGGTGTATTAATGCCACCAGAAGTTACAAAATTCAATATTTCAAATATTTAAATTTTTGAACCGACTAGTAAGTAATATAATTTGGGAATTTTTACTGATTTGGCTTGTTTCCTTCATCTTTAGCTTCCTAATTTGGTTTTTATTATTCTTCGTGCGCCTTGCTTTCTCGCAAGCTATTAGGGCAGATTGCTGCGGTTAGATACGCAGAGCATAGGCCAACGCTCGGTCGCGAGCATTACAACATGTTTTCTTTTCCGCGGCAGGCGCGCTATTTGGCCTTTCGAATTTTTGGTCTTGTGATTTAATTACTTTGCGTTTCCACCGATATTTAATATTGTTTTTAGTTGTTATTATTAAATCTATGATTACTTATATCTAGAAATGCTGGAGTCCGATGAATCATCCACCGTTCGTGGACTGCTCGACGAACTTCTTGCAACTGTCGAGGCATGACCCTTTTTAAAATATATAACCTCTTTCTCAGGAAAGTGGCTCGGCAACGACTTCGGCTGTTGAACCTGCTGTAACGTTGATCAGAGATCCAAAGGTATTATACTTGATTGCAAATACTTGTTTAGGACGTCGAAATCATCACTCTGAGCAGTGACAGCGAGTCGTCCGTCATTTACGATACGGTCTGTTTTTGATTCTTTTGCGTTACTTTCACCAATATGTTAGCGCATTATTTTATAATTTATTTTTTTAGATCTCAATCAATTCTGAGGACGATGAGGAGATAGAAGTTATTACGTCAGATGAGGTGTGTTTTCTTTTCGAAAGCAATTTCTCGAATTCAAGGGTTGGAAAATGATCTGGGGTTATTTTTCTCTTAACAAAAGTAGGCTAAATTTCATATTTCCGTTTTAGGAGGAGATTGTCGAAGTGAGCGGCTCTGATGATCAGTTTGATGAGGGTGACGTGGGTATCCCAGTGAAAAAGCGCAAACTCGATAAGGTACGCATCAAACATTTTTACGCAAGGTTTTCGTACAGTTTGTGGAGATCAACGATTTCCAGGAATAACAACAACGAAGGCGAGGACTTCACCTTTGTTCACAGATGATAATCAGTTAACTGGACGTTATATTTCTGTTGGTTATTTGCTATTTCGCTTCTGTTTTTCCTATTGGCAGATTTTTTTGTTTTGTTGAGATGATTCTACGGGTGGTTATTCTTTGCCTTGACGTTTTTTGCGGGTAGTAAAGCCTTTTGAGTATGACCAACCTTTTCATAGACTGCCGGGCAGCTGGCTGCCAGGATTCTGGATAGCGAGATCGGTGTTAACGCGCATACCATCACGCCAAACGAACCATAGAAGGCGAGGGCACAGAACGTTAGGAGTTCCATGCTAAAACAATTAATAATCTTCAAATATTAGCTTTCGATTTTTAGCTAGACATTTTATGGTTGTTTTTCTTTGACTAAATTTTCGAACGTCTTACGCCAGCCCGGATTTGTGATTTTTGTCATGAAAGACGCCACGACGGGGCTAATTTGAAGAGTATGTTGAGGGTTGGATGTCAGCCTCTCAAGCTCATATTTCTTTCGTGGCTATTTCGTGGCGATTCCTAATGCCGCCCCGCAAGATTGTTGCGTGTATAAGGAGATCTTCAATTCAAACCTGAATAACCGGCCGTTCTTCTCCACGTTGACGAAACCCATAAAAGCAAATAAAAACCCGCAAATGATATCCACTGGAATGTCGATCAATTTTTATATTGTCAACCGAAATTTTACCTAGTGCTAGATTGGCTACATAATGTCGAAAATCCCCTTGAACTTTCTGCATGCTGAGGGCAAGGACGAAAAAGTTTGCGATGATGCCTGAATAGATACATTAAATTAGTAGTTTTAGAAATGCTTACCGAGTATTGCCGCTGTCATTACCGAAATGCCAATAATTGTTCGGAAATCGTGCTGATCATCGCGATTGGTGTATCTTAAGCGATTTGGATTAGATACGAATTGATGGCCTACTCAGCAAAGTCGATTTCGCTGAAGTTACCATCCCAAAGTATGCCCAGGGTGCCGGGATCGGATCCAAGATAATCTTCTTCTTCCCGATTGTAATTATTTTTCATTGACTAAAAAGACTGATTGAAGCAATTGTAGGAGTGCTCAGAATGCTTAAATCGCCGAATCAAAAGCAAAAAAAAATTGGTTAAAGGTAGATTGTTACGCATCCCGACGCGACGTCGGGATAACATGCAAATTATGATGGAAAGTACAAAATAAGCTCAACAAAACGATTTTTTGCGCTTTGCATACTAATTTGCATGTTATCCCGACGTCGCGTCGGGATGCGTAACATCTCTAGTTAAAGGAAAGTATGGAACAGAAACTAATTTATTAAAATGTTTAATATAAATCGATGTGTTTTGTCATCTTGTAAAAATATGGCGGAGAAGTGGGCAGAGAAACGCATCGATGTTACCTTGGAATCGAGCTATGAACTCTCCGAATTTTGATAGACTCTGTTTCCGGCGCGGCCATTTGGAAGCTACCGTAATATGTCTCTTTCGCTCAATTTCGTTTTAATTCTTCCTGGTTCAACATGGAGATGGAATTCCTGGAAAGAATGGAGGGTGAACGGAGGGATGCCGTTTGATCGCCCAAAAAATAGAATGTGGCCCCCGGGGCGCTTTGGAAGGCAATTGTGTCCATTTTTGGCGGCACCCAATTTACCGCCTACTTGAGAGCGTCGTGGACGAAAGGGCCAAGAAAAAAGGGGGGATGCAATGGTGGAAGAAAAGCTCATGCAAGCGCATTCGGAGGGCACCTCTTCATTTAGGACCGCCCCACGTTCCCGGTTCAGTTTCTGGAAACATTCGCATTGCAAATTAAGAAAAAAATACATGGGCACACGCTTCTAATTTAATAATCATTAGGTCGAGTACGGGCTCTCCCACCCGCAGCCCACACAAAATGGCAAATGATGGAGAGCAGGACAATAATAGCGAATTGGGTGCCAGACACGGAAAGATGGACATATCCTGGTCAATAAAAGCTCTCCCTCGGTTTCGGATGCTAATGCAAAACGAAGCTGAAAGAAGACGACAATCAACTCCAACACCTAGCTTATTTCCTAATGGAAAGGACACCACTATTTTCGAGGTGATTTAAGATGCCATGTTTAGACCAGCTGCTGTTGAAGCATTCCCAGCCAATGCACTCGAAAATCAGCCGGGCTCACAGCTCGGGTTTCGAGATCAGAGCTTTGGTGGCAATGCCGAAAGGTGAATGAAAGAATCGAAGGGCTTGAGCGTTCGGTGTTGTTTCACGCCTATAGACGCTCCAGACACCATTCGGTTAATATTTCAACAGCCTAACCTCATTAGCGCCTTCCTGAACCTCGCAACTGGACCCCCCGGCCAACATACAAAGGGCACGCAGCCACCCCAGCGTCCAAATGGGTCATAGCCTCTGGATTCTAGTTGACGTATGCAGTTGCTTATTTTTGGCGTAGGGACCGGGCTTGATATCGATGAGAAATTGGCGAGGCCAAAAAGACGGCCAAAAGAAGATTCGCTGCCGGCGGAGGATATCCCCGAGATCCCTCGAGCGGTTTCAGGTTTCGGCTTGGGTTCCATGGGCCATTTGCCCGGCCCATGGCCATAAAAAAAGACTTTTGCAGCGTGGACTATCAAGTATTCATAACTGCATTTCTGGTAGCGCAAAGACCAGCATATTAAAACTAGAAGAAACTACGCGCGGTTGTTCTAGTGCTCCGGCGCTCAAAATATCGATAAAATTATCTGGGCTCTTAGGGAATTAAATAAATGCCAGACAGGCACCATCATTTTCACTTAACGAGCTCGTTCCAATGAGTCGACGCGCGTGAAAAGCCCATAGATTTTTTAATGCGTCGAAATATGGTTAACCCTAGCCTTAAAAATAGATATTAAAGTCGGAGATTACTATTCGGGGGACCTCAAAGAAAAGTGCGGGCTAGGAGCCAGAACCAAGCTCGACTTATGAATTATTATTCAGCTCAATTTAATTATTATGGGCGGAAGTCGCTAACCCTAAACAATTGGCAGTTCCGCCCTCACGAGATATTTTTTGGCCCTCAAATAAGCCATGATGCACCCGAGCAGAACTTTGCTCATCCTAGTTCTGTAATGGGATCCACGAGCGCTTTGAGTTGTGTCGGCTTTTAGAGGCATTTTTGGGAGCTGTCATCAACATGCAGCCCAATTTCCGTCGCCTCTAACCCACGAGTAACAGCTGCGAGCCGCGAGGACACCAACCTATCGAGAGCGCTCTCTTTCATTCGAGGGAAATTGGCAAAAGGTTCCTAAAGACCACGCATACGTGAAAAAAGGTCGAAATAGACGCGATGTTTCCAGTCGGCTCGCCCTTCCGGGTTACTGTTTAGGGTTTTTAGGGGTACACTGGAGGCCCTTCAGTCAATGAATGCCTAAAATTTAGGAGGATAACCTTATCGAATCCATTCAATTCTGGGGATTCAGACCACGCATCCAATTACTCGGAATCCAACAAGACCTGTTCCAACGCCCTCCCCATAATTTACTTCATTAATCTCAGTCACATGGCAACAAACAGCAGCAGCACGTTGCCACGTTGCGCAACATCATATTATTTCTTATTAGCAATTAGAAGCTGTGGTTTGGCATCCAGCCGTCATTGAAAGTACATGGGAGCCGCGCTATCCAAAATTGTTCCGCGAATAGCAATACAATCGCGGGCTGAGCGTTTCCAGCCAGTTGCGTTGGCATGTTCATTGAAGGGAAAATATTGGTTGTGGTCGGTCTAGGGGCCCTTGAAGTCAGACATAGCCAACCACGAGCCGTTCGGAAGGGTTCACAGAGTAAGCGAGCGAAACGTGGGGGCTCTATTCGGTTGGCCGGCCGGGATTTATGGGTGGATTGCTTGAGGGTATGTTCAGAGAGTCTGGACGGGGGAGGGGCGAATAGATGAATGGAGTCCCCAGAGGGTGCTTAGAATCTAAAAATGTTTCCCTTTTAAGACCAACGTTAAGTCAGGCTCTGCCCCCCACGGATGATCAAAGAAAAGGAAAGGGGGAAATCGTGGCGTTCCGGAGGTAAAGAGAAAGGAGGCTAGCTGAGAGTTCTGGCATCATTCATGTTTTAGCACCGAAATGTCAACAACATAAGCCAATAGCCGCCATTGCAACTCTTTGGGCTTATTGCGTTGTGGCGAGGCGCAACCCAAAAACTTTTAGTTGTAGAAACGGGGGGAGTGAGTGAGTTTGAGAGGGCAATAAAGGGGATCGGTGGGAGGGCTGTGGTGAAGGAAAAGGATGGTATGTCGAAAAGGTAGAGGGGAGGGGGCGAAGGACTGTAGAGGGGATCAAGTTTCAACTCTATTCAAAGCAGCCCCCCAGCCACTGCCAGAATCTACCATCGACCACTCGGACCCATAAGACTCACAAAAACGTCGTCTTAACCGGGGGTTAGCGCCGAGAGATGCTTTCTTAATCGATAATTAAGAAGTGAGACCATAAAATTTGCGTAACTTAAAAAATATCAATGCATTACTTTATATACTCCGCCTCACTTCCGATTTATTCTAATAGTCTCCTAACTGACAGGGGTGAATGATTTGCACAAGATCTCAAAATTAATATCGGAAATTGCTGATTTTTTGGAGCCGAATTGTGTTCAGTCATCTTGAGGCCATTACGCACCTACCCATAACCAAAATTAACCTTACTTCTCCTCCGTCTAGCTACTACGGGAATGCGGCAACGCAAGTTATATTCCAAGTGTCTCAAACATAAAAACACCATATCTTTATGCATAACGTGCATGGGTAAAATTCTAAAAACATTTGCCTAAGATTAAAATCCTCAACCTCCTTCAGACAACCCGACCATAATACAAAGCAAGAAGCTCGTCAAGAAGCACCAATCTCGGAAGACCCACACTGTCCCTCCATCCTTAAATCCAAATGCTTTGGGGCAGTCCCGCGCAAAAACGTGTGAAGCCCCAGAACGAAATGAACTGCGCTCGAACCCGGTGTTTTGCCATAGCCGGCTCGTTGCGGGCGGCAATAAAATTTCGTGGCGATCCCGGCGCCGAGAAGCTGAACGCAAAATAAAGGCTCGTTTAAGCCAAGCCGTCAGCATTTATGGCCGGCAGAATTTTGGATGCAGGTGGTGGTATTGGGGCGGGATGAGACGAAAATGTGGAGCGATTTATTGGTGGTTGTTATGGCTGGGGGGTTGTGGTGGGTTGGGTTGGACAGACCGAAATTGTGGCCTCAGCGTCGAAAGGGTTGAGTGGAGGAGGGGGTGCGGGAAATTATTTGACTTTTTGCGCAGACGTTAAGCGGCCCCGGAAAACAAGACGAGAATTCGGGAATCGGGCTAAGAATTCAGGATTTTGGTCTGCTGACGGAATTATATCTCATCGAACTTTCATCATAGAATTTTCATAGCACTGAATTAATACATACCATGAATACTTGCTAAAATTTTTCTAGCTTCCAATAGCTTCTGAATTTTTTTGAGTGAGTTTTCAATCAGATAAAATTGGCCAAGATGGTTTTTCGGCCAGGTCTAATTTAGTGAAACTAAACTCGGCTCTAATCAAGCTGCTAACGGTAGTTTAATAGCACCTCTATGAATTTTGGCACAGGAAAGCTCTGCTTATTTAAGGAAATGTCAACATCAAGAAAATCGTTTTAGCGCCCTGAGATGCTAATCTAAAGTGGATAAAAAATTTTCCGGCTCCGGCGGAAAAAATAGAATCCAGCGGAATGCCAGAGTGAATGATGGACTCTCCGAGTTTCTCATAAAAAACGCAGGCATCAATTGGTATTCAAGGCCGAGATTGGGATGAAGAGCCTGTGTGGTGCATCGGTGTGGAGATGCGGTGTTTGTGGTGATTCTCAAACCAAGATGTATCACCGGTCGGTCCGGGGGTAAGTCAAACAAGAAAAACGGGGGGCACAGATCCCGAAGGGCTCTCCAACATTATCCGCTTCCCCCCATACACACAAACCGACACCACCACCTGAATTTGCTTTCGAAAAAAGGGGGTGGGCCACACAACGGCTGACCTCAGCCATCATATTTGCCGTCTGCCCGTTTCGAGTCCAAATTATTGAGGAAAAAGGGATGGGCAGTCGGGGGTGGGACTTCTAATCCGCGAAGCCTCCGAAACAACGTGGAGCCGAGGGGAGGATTCGGTGCGTAGTTCAAATTAAAGTAGCGGGTGACACAGCAATCACGGGGTAAATTTTTCGTGGAACAAAAGAGCGAGCTCATGGAGATTATGATTTGTCTGCAGCAAAAAAAAGAGTAAAACAAATCTTAGCAACCCGTTTCACGCCAACTTTCAAGTTTTAGGGCATGTAGAAAATAGTCGATGTCTTACTCTCATATCTTCACCTTGACTTTTCATTTTATTGGGTACGCGAATGTAGAGCCAAAAATGGGGAAAGTGTTTGTGTATGTGAGTTTTAAGCATATTCAGATAAAAATTTTATTCCTGACTTGGATCCAATGCGTGAAGACGATGTAAGAAAACTGAGATCAATTTGATCTGCCAATAAAAACGAAATAATAATTTCCTGGTCCAACTGTGCACTGGGTGGGCCCGGTGATGAGATTAATGAGTGGAAGGTATAAATGCGTAACGAGATGCGGGGTGCACCGGGGGGAACGACTAGAACAATTGGTACAATAAACAGTGCACAGCCCATTTTCGAAAATTAACAGATTTTGATGTAGAGCTGCACCGGGCGGGGGCCTCCTTTGAAATGCTATTGCGATACGAACCTCTAAAGGCGACAACGGATAAACACTGTGAGCGAGGTGGGGAGAGAGAAATCACATATACCGGGCTATGAATCTGCTATACTAAAAACATCTAATGGGTCGAGTCTGGAAATGGCCTGATAAAATGGCACGCTAATAGGTTGTGGATTCGCCGGATGAGTCGCCTTCCTATAATTTTGCAATTAATATCTTAAACGATTATCCTACCTCATCGTCATTATCGGTGGCATTATTTTCGGGCTCCTCGGGCTCGAGCTCGTGCTCGGGGATCTGCCACACGTCGCCGCGATAAATTTGCATATTTTGCGTTAGGACGTCCACAGCCTAAACCCAATTTCCAAAAAATAACTGCATTTCATACCCTTTCCATCGACTGAAGGTAACCGGCCAGCGGTTCTCTGATGAAGTCGACGTGGGCCTCCATTTTGGCGCGAAGACGTTGTGCGATTTCGAAAGTACCCTAAAATGATGGTAAAGAATTATTTCCGGGTTTGAAATACTACTAAGAAAGTCGCTGCAACTATCTTACCTTTTCTTCCGGAGCATCAGCAAAAGTTAAATCATGAACACGCGGTCCGGCTGCTCGAGGCTTTCTAGCAAAACTCCTTACATGAACAGGTGTTGGTGGGGAACTAAAAAATTGTCAAAAAGAGTTTTAAAGCTTACCTGTTGAGATTTTCCGACGGTTTTTCATCTTCGACTGATAGGACCTCAGTCATAGAAACTTCCATCGGTGGTGGCGTCAATAGATCATTGCCGTTAGACTCGTCTGGGACCTCGCTCTTGATCTCACTAAATAGCAAGAATGAGTGACGCATAAATTGAACAAACCTTTCATTGAGCTGCATCTCTTCCTCGTCAGACAAATCACTTTCGACGACTTCGGCGCCAGTGTCGTCATCTCCATTCAGACCATAGGTACCACGGTAACGTTCGCTAAATTACTTTTTATAAATTTGAAGAAGCAAATACCCTTTGCGGTTGAAGACTCGCTTTCGACGGGAAATTCCGAGATATGGCTTATGCTCCAGCTCCTTGGGCTTGCGGAAACTTGTCTCTACCTCGGTTAGACTAAAGAAAACTATTGTAAAATCGAAAGATTGCTTACGGTTTGTCAAAGGTGCCCTCCCAGAAATCATGTGACGAGTATTCATCGAGCCAGATGTTCACGTCCAGCTCCAACTCTGCCACGAGGCTGAGTCCCATGCGAAGCCGATATGTATCGTACATATTCAGGGGTTTGATATCATCGGCTAAGACAGGCACCGGCCATCGCAGTGGTCTTAAAGTGTGTTTGAACCATATTATGTCAAAGCTCACTTCCAATCCCTGTCTTTCTCGACTCCTGCGGGGTTATCAGAGTTTGGACCGGCCAATGCTCGGAACGGTGCTGTCGACTGAAAATATAAAATCGTTCTGCCCATTTTGGAATTTACTTACCGCCATTGTTTCCGTAATATGGTGTCGAGCCGGCATCTCCAACACCTGGTCATTGTAGATCACTGGCTTTTCCGGCAGCAAATATGGATATCCGCAGATGAACGTCTCAATCCTTCGGACCTTTTTCCATTCAGCAATTTCGCTTAGGTCGGTTGGGGCTAAAATAACTTTTAAAAATAGCTATAATATTTTTACCAATATCCATTTTCTGCTCGAGCGTCATCCTTCGATACCAGTCGGGCTTGAACTGCTTTAGCATCTCGGCGTAGTTCAGCACAATGGCTTTAGAGCCCCGAGCGAAATTGAGCAAGCAATCTTCTTTTAGCTGCCAAAAGACCCGATAACTACAAAGCAGCTATATATTTTTGAAGGGAGACTTACTCATAGTTGGAGACATCTACAGGCTTGACTTTCCCATCCTTCGAGTTGTAATTCGTGGATCGAGTCACCAATGGCTTGCAGGCTTCGCATTTTAGCATATTTTTGGGCAGAGGATCCAACAGATCACACGAACAGACCATTTCTCCCTATAAATTAGAAAATTAAGGTTTGGGCGGCCGTCTCTCACTTTATTCGGCTTGTATGAAATATCTGCTTCCTCATCATAGTCCGGAAGTGCACTCAGGACGTATGCAAGGCGCTTTGTACAATCTTTTCCTTTCCGTTTAAAAGGTTTTCGGGAATCCTCTTGGGATAGTGCATGCATCATACAATCCACGACCTCTCGGACGGCGTTCCCAATCTAATTATTATGAATGGAAACTATTTTACGCAAACCTGTGTGCTCATTCCTTCCTTTTCCTCTAATTTGTGGCCAGCTATTCCTACAGGCAGTAACAGCTAAAATAAATCATATAAGGCATTCAAGTAAGCTCAAACCGGTTCGGATTCTATATCATCGGCGGGATCATCTTCGACGAAGATCAACTCTTCTTGCCTTGATGATGGTCGGGGTTTAGGGATGGTCAAGGCATTGTATGAGGTTGCAAAATCCCGCTGTAATTAAGTGTCAAAATAATTTAAAATACTATTTAAAAGGTACTCGGGTGCTATATAAAATACTTACCTCAGCAACCCGTAATTGACGCATCGGCTTTTTGAATGGGTCGTGCGCCTTGAATCTTCCTAACGCACCTGTTTTCGAAGGTCTCCAAGCCTAAACAATCAAATAAAGTCTGAACGATGTTATTGACGAACCTTCGGCATCTTCTCAGACCCAGACAACTGATCATATGTTAATGCGCCTTCAAGCCCGATTTCAGCACGACTTGGCTGCTTCCAAAACGGTTCTTGAGCTGCCCTGACATTTCGGATCTTCTTCTTATCACTTTCAGAGGCTGTGTTGAACACCTAAAATATCTATTTGAAAGATGCTTCATTGAATCCTACCTCGTCCGCCATCAATTGCTCACGTAGCAAATCTTCAAAGCGAATCGTATTAGTGTCGAACTCCCGAAATGGTGTCAAGGGACCGATCTTGCCAAGCTGTAACGTTTTATTAGAAGCAGAACGAGATATTTACCTCGGAGTTGGTTTTGAACTTCATCCTCGACATTTCTAGCCTAGCTTCCCGCAGCTTCTCACGTTTTGGTAAGCATTCCTCGAAGGGACCACTGAAATTATTTAATATGTTATTAATTTATTCGAATTAAGCCGTTTCAGCCACCATCTATGAATATATTGAAATTACCTGAACGCTAGCAGTGTCTTCACCGCTGTTTCCCGGTTGTATAATTTTTGCGCTTTCTCTTCACGAATGTTTACTAACGCCATTACAGCATCCGCTTCATCCTTCTCCAAAAACGAGAGATCTGGGATGAGGGGCTAAATATTGGCGTCATTAGATGCAAATTAGTGGTACCTTTGTTGATTTTGGGGACTCAGGTTGCTCGGGAGGAAGAGATTTTGAGGAGCACGGCTGGTCGACAATCACTCGTGTGGTTTCGATGACTAGCGGTCCTTGCAGTGGGACCTGAATAGATTTGATAGTCCTATTTCTTTCTTATTTAAATTTATTGTGGTGATTGATTCAGTTAAATGAAGCTGGAGCTAGTTAGCGTGTACCCACCTTCGGAATGCCGGTGTCTTGCTTCATCTGCGCTATGCGATACCGTTCCAGCTCAGCCTGGGCGAGGAGCTTGGCCTCAGTTTCGGATCTTGGTGGCCGGCCGCGGCGTTTGGGCTGCGGGGCTTTCGGGGTGGCTAGGTGCTGGTACAGCTTGAGCTCATTTGTTTCGGTATCGAAGGTTTGCTTCCGATTCCTTTTTTTCGGGGATTCGCCATTATCATCCTAAAATGATATATTTTGATGTGTTTGTTGTTTCTTACGTATGGTGATTCTCGATTGTCATCTGGGAATTGAAGAGCACGATGGGGTGCTTTCATACTAAAAATTGACAGTTTAGTAATAAAATATACATAGATATTCGTAACTCTTCAGACCGGAAATTTTGCAAAAAAATTCTTACTCTGGAGGAGTGGCTATCCCATTTCCAGACGTAGGTCGCGAATCATCTAACCGCCGCTTCAAACTAGGACTTGGACCTAAAGCAATCATTTGTAATTTTAGGTAAAGTTTTATCGCACCTGCGTCACCTCTACGTCTCAAAATAGATGGCTGAGGCCTGGGACTCGACGTAGTATTTTGTATGATATGATGTGGAGGGGTGGCATGGGGGATCCTCGGCGGGGAGAACAGGGTCTCCTGTGATGATGAGGGCATCGCCTGCAACTTTTAATTGTCACAGCATGCCCATTCTAATGCGATTTGTGCTCTGATTCATTTTTCCCAGGACAAAACCATTTGAAAAATTCAATTTTCAATGCGATCCAAACGTAACGGGCCCTGTATTGGAGGCTACAGACTACAATGCCGGGCATATGGTGTTGTTATCGATTGTGGAGCTATATACTTTGAATAAAATTAGTCGATATAAGTTTTGAGCTATATCGTTTGTTATTTGGAGTTAGAATTATTATTTCGGGGTTTTTTAGATTGGGTGTGGCAGTGAAAACGTAAAAAATCAAAAGATGAAAGAAAATTTTGTCTATCTGTGCTCAAATATTTTCCAGAAAAAAATCTTACCTGCTGCTGATAGATACTTGTTGGCTGACCAAGACCAGCTTGGTGCAGTTGTTGCGCGGTTTGGCTAAGAGCATGCGACGCCGTCATGTTGCTCAAATCCACATGGTTACCGCCCATTCTCGCGAAGAGCTAAAAGACGTGGTGATATTTAGAAAATCGCAGCACTTAGAAAAGGTCAATGGAAAAGGTACAGTATTGTCAAATTTTCCGACCTGCGAGGTGATTTGTGATTGTTGATAGGTCTGCTGCGGTGGTGGGCGTTGTTGAATTTGCGGTTGAGGCTGGGGGGATGGTGTCATTTCCTGCCCCGGTTGCTGTAGCTGATCCGTGATCCGACGGTATAGTTCTCGGGCGTGATCCAGCGTCGAATGATTTGACATACCTACAGTAAAATAATTCGTGGAACGGAAGCTCGCTCAAGTCTTATTGGCCCAATTTTAACTCTGAAAAGCTTTGTAGCCCGATGTAAATATTCGGAATAAGCGCTCGCATCACCAGAGCAGGCGTATGGCAATATATAATGATACATTGCCTTTAATCAGGTCATAAATAGAAAAAGACACACCCCACGTACCAGCCAGAAGCTCCTGAATCATAGCAGCCTGTTGGTGTTGTACGTTCGATGGTTGCGGCTGGTGCATTTGAGAAGTTGCAACAATCTATAACACATATTCAAATTTTTCTATTTTTCTTACCGGATTCCGGTGTTGCGCGGCAAGTCCATTTGCGTAATTCAAGACCTGCTGTTGGGCCAATTTCCGCTGCTGCTCTTCATATTCAGCCTTTTGTGCGGCAGCTGCTCGGGCTTCATTTATCCGCTGGAATTGGGTGTATAACTATGGAGTCACCTTCCTATAGCAAAAAAAATATAGATATTAAAAGGCAATCGTAAATAAAGCAGCGGTTTTAGGAAAAGCTTGTCAAGATGGATTGAAGCAATACAAAGCGATAGATAAAGTTAATTTCCTCACCTTCCCCAACCCATTTTCGTTTGGCTTAATTTTAGATACGAACCTGTGCTTCAAGAAATACCTGTTGTTCGGCGGCCTGCTGGGTGGCAGCCAGCAGCCGTTTATAATCGGCATGGATATGGTCATAGCGAGGGGTTGGCTAAAAATGGGCGTTTCGAAAATTTGACATAATTTGCCTGTTGCAAATTGATGACAGGAGTGCTAGGTGGAGGAGGTCGAGCTAGAGGGTGTTGCGAGCTTTGCGCAATGGCTGTAGCTGTTTTTGCAGGTGGTGGGCGTTTCCTGAAACATACATTAATTAATTAGGCGTTTTTTAAAATAAAACTTACACATTCTGCACAATCCTCGATTGCTGCACGGGTTGTGATCGATGCTGCTGTTGCAATTGGACCTGCTGAAGCTGTTGATGGACGACTTGTTGAGGCTGGGCGGCCTGGAGCAACTGTTGGTGCTGTTGATGTTGGTGCTGCTGAAGCTGCTGGTGCTGTTGATGTTGTTGGTGGTGCGTTTGCTGTCGCTGCTGCTGCTGTTGCTGTTGTTGTTGCTGGAGAATATACAATCCCGGCTGGGACTGCAGATTTTGAAGATTGGCCATTAGCCGCTCACGCTCCGCAGGCTGCATTTGACTGGAAGCTCATCGGTTTTGGATGTATAAATTCCATAATTACCTGAGGAGATGCTGCTGCAGTACTGTGTGTCCGATGGTACTCAAGTTCGGGGCGGATTGTCCCATGGAAATGATGTTTGCTAAAATCTTAGGTTTTCCGGCGCACATACTACTACGAGGCAATACGGCGGTGAATTTCGAAACCCAACGAAAGAGTCTGGGGAAAGGAATAACGCATGCTAATTTCGGAAATACGGAAATAAAGTTAAATTTGGTGCAAGATATTTATAAGCTACGGAGTCATTTTTCTATAGCATTCTTTACAGCACATACCGAGATTCGCTGGCTGGTTGAAACGGGCTACCAGATCTTGCTGCACAGCTGGCGACGCCATACTGGCTTGTGCGATCAGCTGATGAGGAATCTGTAAATATATGGAACCAGTGGAAAAAGACCGCTTCGCGGCCCTTTTCCACTGGACCCCGTCCAGGAACCATGAATTTGAACACCTTCCTTTTTTTAGCCTGCGGCGCAAGTACGTTGGTCAAGGAGCCATCCTTTGGCCTGCGGCGCGAGAGCCTGGATCAAGGACCCTTTCTTTGGCCTGCGGCGCTAGAGCCAGAGCCAGGCCTAAACCTCGCATGCGATAGCATAGAACGATGTTTTGCTTGCTAAACTACCAAAAAGCAAAAAGCCAACTAGGCCCAGGATCCGAACCTATGTCCTTCCGCGTGGTAGCCGGGAGCTAACCCCATACACCAAGAGGCACAGGGGACAGGGGGCGGCAAAGGCCTCTTCCGTTCTGGGGAGGGGCGGGAGGCAAACAGAGGGCCGACAAATGCCCCGGGCGGGAGGCCTTCTGGCCACTTTACAAAATTCCATTTTTGAGTCACAATCCGCTGAAAAATTGTAAAGATAATAAGATGCGCATGATCCCCACTTTTGATTGCCTAAATGGTCTAAATTTCAGCCCGGAATTCCATCAGGGCTTCGAGTTATGCCCCGGACACCACGGCTCTTGGCCCATTTTGTTAAGGACCTTTTGGAAAATGCTCATAAAAATTTTAGATTACAAAATCTGCCAAAACCCAGAATTATATCACAGGAGAATGTAATTTTCAATCTGCCCTCCAAAAATTAGCGCCTAATTCCATTTGGCTCGAGAGATATCCTCTGAACAAACCTTTTTTCGGCCAAGTTGTTAAGGATTTTGCACTATTTTGCTTGTAAAATCGTTAAATGAAGGAATTTCGAAAAACAAAAAAATGCGTCACTGACAAATGTGTTTCTCCACCTCCATGCCAAAAATCAGCCGGAAATTCGGCGTGACGGCCGAGAAATCGGCTGTACAGAAAACACACATACTTTTCTCGCTTATAGGATAGGATAGTTGGGAATTCTGGGGTCCCATGGCCATGGACTAGCTCCGGGTCCAATCCGCAAAACAAGTGCTCCGGGCGGGGGTCGAACCCGCATCCTACGGCTTTCGAGTCCGATGCTCTCCCTATTGAGCTACCGAAGCACGCGGAATGCCTCTCTCGGGGCAGCTATCCATGCCGGCCCCTCACATCCAACCGAATTCTTAGTAAAGAGAATATCGCTGATTTGAAAATCTGGATAGAATATTTTTCATAAGCGTCACAGTGTCGAACGCAGCGATATTTTTAGAAAAGTTGCTTTTTCTAGAATATAAAAAAAATCTCGGGATATTCTTGAAAAAAAAGCGCGGACCTTGAATAATCACGAATTTTTTATTATATTCTCCCTAAGGATGCCGTTGGCACCAATTTAGCATTCCGGTATCCATAATATTTTGTAGTAAAAATAATCAAGCTAGGCTGTTTTTTTACGAATTGATAGCGGTGAAGGTAAAATCCATCTGAACCAACCTGTAAGGGTCCTTGTTGGGGCATCTGTGACGCAGCAGCTCGGGCGGCTGGATGCTGATTATGCGCCATATTTTGAACGATTGCCTGCAAAATTGCAAATAGAAAAACGCAACAAAAATTCTGAATGGAAATGATCTTTGCCTGAATATTCTAATCGAGTCGTTACAGACAAACATAAATTATGAATTCGTTTAGCTGGAAATCACGGCGCATTATTTTTGGAAATGGCTGATTAATAAAAATAATAAATATTTAGAAAAAATACCCTGGCAGAACTGTCCTCGACATTCAATGTTTCTTTACAAGATAAATCTAAAAACAAATTATTGCTTGGAAAATAAATTTGGACAAACCGTTTGACATATCAATGAATATTGTATTGCCTAAACGATAAATCCGGTTTCATCAGCACAAATGCTCCGAGGGCGGAAGGCTGAAATTACGAGATTTTGCGGTGAATTCGAACACGAACGGCGCATGAGTTCAAAAAATGTCGTAAAAACAATGAGTAATAAATAAATGCGGGATGGAAAAGAAGAGGGGGGAAGGGGTGATGGGGGCTATGAGAGAGTGCAGGCAGACGGGGCAACAATGGGCAACGGCAAACGGGTAGAGGGGAGAGACATAGACGACGAACTACACCGGAATCAATATCCACAAGCAAATGCCTATGAAGGCAACAACCATATGTTGCAAACAAACAAACAGTAAACAACGACTATTAAAAGCGGAAAGCGGATGAGAATAAGGATAAAATAATATGAAATGGTTTTAAGGGTGGGGAAGCCATATATTTCCAGTTGAGAGTTGATAAATTCATGATGCAGATATCTTGTATCTAGCAAGTCCCCGTAATAGTTTTAAGGTATTTCGAGGCTGTGTTAGAATAAAGATATCCTAAAAAAACGATAATGCAAAATCCTACTTTCAGTGGCAGCTTCACGGCTTATTATGGTCAAAGAATTATAAAATGTTCGGAGTACCATCGTAAAAACCCTGAATTTCTAAACGAGCCAGGCGATAATCGAAGCCCAACGTGAGGTTAGGGAAAAATGCAAGCCGCCTTTTGGCTAATCACAAGCACACCTGCGAACAGCCTTCAAAATGTCAAAATCCCGGCAAAGATGCCAAAATTTTAATCAAAATAGTTTTTATTTCATTCTAAACACCTTTATATGCTACTTTTACAATTATATATTTACTAATAAAAACGAATACGAAAACATAAAGGTGGATTTTGAATTTAGTCGGCTGGCGGGGGAAAGGGCTTGGGGGTGTGAGAAGAGAAGGGGGCAGAGACGCAGACAGAGCCCAGACAGTCTCGGCAAACAGTCTACTCCCGTACCCGACGCCCTTCTCCCCGCATCTACACACGGAGGACCTTCCCCCTTCCACCCCCCTCGGGGGCTACCAACCCAATAGCAGACAGTTCGTGGGCTAAGGGCATTCGATTCGATACCTTGGCTCGAAATCGGCGTGCGGCGCGCGTTTTTGCCCGCCAAAAATAGCTACTTGGGGGATTTTCTTGCGGAAGAAGACACATTGTTGACTTATCTCCAGACTTTGATTACTTAATTTGGCATTTGCGACTGTAATGTAACAATTATTTTTGATTAGTGCATCATCATATCAACCCTTTTCATTAGTGCCAGAAAGCCATACGCCGGAGCTTTGACCTGAATTCGCTTCCGACTTTCCGAAGACTGGTTCTCAGTTTTTGGCTAGGCTAGAAGGGCTTTTAATTCAAGATAAGCATGCTGATCGCCTTCAATTTGCCGTGTAGTTGATTTTTAAGCGTCTACTGTAAATTTCCACTATTATATAGTTCTCTTGTCAGTTTTTTCCATTCCAATACTCCTCACTAGTTCCAATAATTTATCGTCAAAAGCACGGGAAAACTTGAAGCATTTTTCGAGTTCACATTCTGGTATATGGCACCGGGGCGAAAGACGGTGTGCGGGAAAGGCGAATGATACGGATGAATGAATGCTGTGGAGGTGGCTGGGGGGTAAAGGGGGGAGGGGGCGTCACGGACGCAACGACAAGTGTAGCTCAGTACACGGGTACATCACAGAAGTACAAAAGGATCACAATGGACGGAAATATAGTATCGGGGAGATTTGGATCACAAAGAATGCTTGCGATTTTGGTCACAGAGCAAGGGACGTGGAAAGGCTTTGAGGCAGATCTGGGGTTTTTTAGGGATTTTGGGTAGGCTAGCAATGACCACAGCTTGCGGGGCAATTCTTGCGCATGTAGCTAGCGAAGATACCCTCGCAAAAACCGGCTCCCTGAAAACAGAAATTTTTATTTTAGTGTCTTTACTTAAAATATTTAAATTTGCATAAATACTGAATTTTCCAAAAAAAAAACCCTTTAGCAATTATACCATTCGATGCTAGATGGCAATCGAATGGTAAGGTACCATATGGTTTTAGTCGTTGAGACAAGTAAATAAAACGAACGAAAATAAAATAATTCAGAAAATGGCGATTTTCACGCAAAGTGAGAGCTTTCGCTAGATACCTAAACCAGGGCAATCGAACATTTATGCGCGCAGCGGCTGTTGAGTTTTTTGGGACTCCCTTTAAACCTCCTTAAATTCTTATCCCTTACCTTCCAATGAGCACAAAAATGCTTCTTATCCTCACAAGGGTGAGGCGTGGGTGGCTGCACTACACCTGTGTTTGTCGTTGGCCCCGGGGCTGGAGGCGCAGTCCTGAAAAAAAGAACATATTTGAGTGCCCACTTCCCCAAAAAAAAAACATCGTGACGGGGGATAGATACAGTCCTTTTGCATGTCCATGCAAAAACCCGACCACCAGAACAGATTTCATAAAACAAGTAAGCAACTGAAAGTCGTGAGCCCGGGCGGGTCCCGGAAACCGAAAACTGAAAGTGGTGGGTCTTAAGGGGGATTACCGTGTGGCCGGGGAACGGGTTCTAAAAACATAATGCTGGATTTGGCGGGTTATTTCCGTTTGGATTATGGGAACTTTTCGGATAGAGATGGGTGTGGGGGAAACGCGGGCAAATTATTTGGAAATAGGAAATTTGACTATAAATTCATTCTCATTTGGGGGAGTATTTCTTAGCCAATGGGCTTGTATGGGTACCTCGGCTCCACCAGCTACCAATATGGTTGTTTCTGTAATGCATAAGGGTGGGGATTGGATATCTGGAAGCACTTACGAAGATCGCCACATCGAGATAAGGGGCTGGTTGGTGACAACTGCTGGTCCCTGAAATGGGTTACAGTTTGATGGGAATGGCCATGAAAGTGTCACCTTGACGTCTGGAACTTCGGTGGGGATTGGCTTGAAGCAGAAACCACAGGTCTTGGCGCAGTTTTGTTTCATGAAGGTTGGTGCAGTCTAAAAAGCAGTAGGTTTTCGATGAGAAAAACAGCAAATTGTTTATTAACTAGGGGGTATTTTAAAAAGAATCGCATGCTAAATATGGCTTCCGGTCCATTATCAACAGGTTTTTTATTAAGAAAATGCTGAATATGTAGCGAATGATAAATAGATTTAGACAACCGGAAGCGCTGATTTTCACGCCTTTTTGAGAGCGTTATAATGGCATAAAAGTAGTTCCGATCCGAGGTTCTCATGAGTTACCATACCTTGCAGTACCGCTGCTTCATCAAGTGATCACAGTCAACACGAAGATCATCACAATCTCCGACCGCGATCGGCTGCGGTGGTGGCAGTGTGGAAGGCTGGGGCCGTGTCATCGGCGATGGGGTTGTCGTGGTGGCTACCGGGACGACAACTGGGGCTGGTTTAGTAGCTAAAGTATAACAATATTACAACACCCTTCCATCTCCTGTCTACCTGGCTTGCACATGCCGCAGGAAATCGGGCAATGTTGCCGCATCCATCCCGGATTGCGGGTGCACCAACCTAAAAGAGAGTTGGTGCCTTTAGGTGAGCAGATTAGCATACAATCAAAATAAATGAAATTTGCTAGTGTTTTGTGCGCGTGAGCTTTAACAAAGGGAAGAAAATGCTGGAAATATGAGGGGAAACATGCCTGTAAAACCAGGCGATATGTAGGAAAAATGCTCTTAACAAGTTTTGGATATAAAGCTAGGATTATGATTGCGTTTCGAGCGTCCTCAACCTTTTCGAAAAAGCATACCTTGGGAGGCAAGATCATCACAGTCTCCGCGCAGATTGCGGCACTCAATAGTAGGTGCCGGGGGAGGGTAGGAGCGGGAGGGTAGGGGCGGAAGGTTTGTGGCTGTGGTGGGGCAGTGGTTGATCCCACGGTAACGACGGCCGGTCGGGTGGTCGTTGCCTTCGGGTCGGGTCCTGAAATATATCATATAGTTAATTGTATCTAAACCTAAATTAAGATAATCCTTTTAACGCACCAGTGCACTGATACAGCTTGTTGATTTTGTGGCTGTCAACACCAGAAAATCCGCTTCGCTGGCCGATGTTAGCGCCGGTCTTCTTCGGGACGATGGTGGGTTGACCATTCCTATGGAACAGTTGAATTAACTGATATGCAAGTTACCTTGAGAAAGCCTTGTTTCCATAGTGCATAATTGAGCTGTAATCGTAGCTAGTATCCAGGGACTGGATGGTGCCATGCCCGTACTTTTCGAACTGTCCTGACGGGAGGAGTTGTCGAATTCTAAAAAAACTACCTTGCATTCCGGGTTGGATGTTGTTCCAGAGGATCGTGATCCAGTCATCACGATCGGTGCGGGATTGCTCGTGGAAGAAACCGACGGCGTGCATCATTTCGTGGATAATGATACCCTTTTGGATGCAGCCGGATCCAAGGGATAGAGACTGCTTGCCACCTTGGAATTTGTAAATTGGAAGGGCCAAACCACATACCCATCTTTCCGACCATCGAGTAGCAGCCACGATCAGGGAAAATATGGACGTAGTTGACATCATTGGCTCCCTTTGGTACCCAGGAGATGCAAGTGTGAGTGGCATACTCATTCATAGCAGCCGCGATCATGGAACGGCGGAAACGGGAAAATTGTTTTTTGTCTATCAGCTCTAGATACCTGTAGGAGCTGTATTGGGAGGAAATGGTGTATGGGATCTTTCCGTTTGGCCACAGTTGGAGTCTGTTCTTGATGGCATTGTAGTAATTGCCTCCATTGCCCTCAACCTTGCCACCATTCACAAATAGTTCCATGGTAGATGCGTTCAGCTAAAAGATTTTGTTCTACTAGAAGCCATGCAGAATATCGTACGTTCGGGTTCGCAATGTCTCCTTCAAATTTTCCTTTGCTGTACATGGCATCAGAATCCCAGATATCACCCTCGGCATGCTGGATCGAGTCGGCCAACTGGGCAGCTAGCTCAAAGTCCGACGGGCTGAGGACGGTTTCGTATTCTGTGTTTGAGCGGTCGAATAACTAAATACAAAATATTAAATCGCCCTTGGTGTGGTACAACCTACCAAAGAGTCATCAAACATAACATTTTTACTAACAGCGACTGTTGAGCCGACTATGGCGAAGAAATATAGGAGTACCCGATCCATTACCTGAAACCAAATCCTTAAATTTTGGATGCGATACGGAACAAAGAGAGTAATAGCGAAGAACGGGGAAGCCAAGAGTACACGCGTGACGCAGAACCCCCCTCTGCGCATAGAAATGGCTGAACACAGACCATTTTCTATCAAAGCAGAGAAGACAGACACACAGAAGCACGGGAAGCGCGCCGTGTGAAAGGGTGGGAAGGGGACACGCAGGCAGGCGGGCCCTTCGCCGACACCGAACAATAGATAGGAGAAGCCCTTACGGGAATCGAGGCTTCCGGGAATCTTTTCAGGATTTCGGATCTGAGGATCATACCAAGACCGAGGCAACGTAAGGACTGAAATCCGGCGGACGGCTCGCCGTCGGATACTGTGCGCCGGGCTTTGTCCCAACGGAGGGGGTGGGGGAAAGAGGTGGGCCCCGTTCTCCTAGCTGTCCGGAGGACATTTTTGGAATCGAGAGCCCTGTCCCCGGCCATGTCCGGCTGATTGCACAAACACTGCTTTCGTTCACTCGAAAAGGGAAGGAGGTGGGCTATCATCAAGGGGAGGAACAGAGGGTGTGGGGGGCGACAAACGAATTTATCGTAGAGTCTGTTTTCTGGGGTCCAGGGTGTAGCCACCGCATCTGGAGGCGAAACTACATAGTTGATCGACAAACTTAGCAAACACTTGCATGCTGACAATTTAAAAGGGTTGTTTTAAAGGAACTTAAAATGCTCGTTCAGATCTTTCAAAGTATACCCCTTACTGATGCAGAGCGGCTGTGACAGAGAAAAACCGAGAAGTTGAGAGGTGGTCGAGTTTCCGCGTGAGTTTTAATGGGTTGTAGAACGAGCTTTAAAGAATACTAATCTAGAACCCCAAACCACGATACAAGAATAAAGTTAGCCTAACCTAAGATACATTAATCAAATTTACAAGCAAAAAAAACCTTGTAAGCGGCTATCGAAAAGCCAGCGACGAAAAAGTCTGTCTGGCCACCCGCATCAGTGCGCGGATTTTATGTGGGAGGGCTTGGGGGGCCCCACTCTTCTCCGCATGGGCCCTCTTTTCCGCGACCGGACTGTCCGGGACTGTGACTCAGAGAACGGAGGATGATCATCGCCTGTTTACCCCAACAAACATCGCTACGTCAGGTGCAGCAGCACATTCTGGAGACGCCTAGAACGGATGGCATGATCCGATCAGGCGAGATGCAAATTTTCGCGGAGGTGGTGGCCCGAGGGGGAAGATGAAATGCGATGCGTGGAAAAACAAATAGGGTGGCCGAGCCGCCGAGAAACGTGATTAGCAAGTGGGGAGTGATCATAAGGGAGCAGAAGATAGAACGAAAAGTTCAAGGAGGTGTTTTGGATTGGGAAAGGCCATCTGACAAACGGGCATTATTCGAATTCACAAATTCACAAAGAGTTGTATCTTAAGTGATCATGGAGTTTTGAAATGTGACATAACTAATTCGATAGAACGTGAAATTCTGACGAAGTCTCTTAAAATTTTTGAACTATCATGGTCCGCTAGGCAAAAGTTTTTGCTGATTCCTGTTTATTAGTCGGAAGAAAAGCTCAGCAAAAGTGGTCTTTAGAGGATATTTACGCAAATCGCGTTATCGTAACAGACTTTTTGAAAGATTGGACTTGTTCAAAATTTCAAGCTCTAGCGATATAGCTATTTAGGCATCGCTGTACTCATATTTCCGCTGAAAACGACACTTTTTCAGATATAACTATCTAGTTAACAAAAAAACCCAGTTTCAAACAAGAACTACTACTCACCCACCGCCATCCACCGGGACCACACGCACCCTCCAATAACTCCGGCCCTCTCTACCCCCACCACCCAGCCGCCGTCGTCGGGGTGTTTGGCCCGAAAAACAGAAGCCGTTGTATTTTGAGGGCGTGCGTCGACGGTGGTCGGAGCGACTCGGAAGAGACGGTAGCCGGTAGAGGAACCGGGCCGGTAAAACCACCACCGGCACCCGGACACGGTCAAAACAAACGGGACACCAAGTGGGGTTCGCCCCCAACCGCACAAGGCCCGCATAGCATTGGCCAGACGATCGGACACCGCTCATTCGCTGGACGAGCATACCTATTCAAATGCTTCCGTTACACGCCAATGAACAATTGGGAACTTTTGGTGTGGAATATTGGACGGAACGGCAATGCGGATCTCGCGATCGCTAGATGATCGTTCGAGAAAAGAACAAAAAATTATTATCGCAGTTGTTTTCGAATCCTACTATATATAAAAAATAGTGTCTGTGTGTGTTGATTTGCATGCAACTTCCGTCCCTATTTCCGGAGGATAACTCCATAAAAGATGAATTTTAGGGTACATATGATACATCATTAGGTGTGTAATGGCTTTGCGATGACTGCACACTTTTCAGAATTATCAAAATAAAATATTTTCGATACTAAAAAGACGTTTTTCTAAAATTTTGGGAGCCCTCTTTGTTAGGAAGCGTTCGTTTGTCCAAACGGGACCGAACGGGAAACCGTTAATTTCAATCCAACAAACGGTCACAAAAAGCTACGAATATCGTAAAGCATCTTCCCATCCAATAAAGGGTTTTATGCAAACGATTTTGCGATTGCTTCTGTTCGGAACGGTGAACAAAATTCCAATAAAACCCATGTCAAATATGTACTAACTCAAAATTAGCATAGAAAACCTAGAAAATAGATAAATAAATAAAATCTAGAAAATAGATGACAAAAACCACGCATCTAGAAAATAGATAAACTACAAATATCAGGTTTTAAAAGTAGCTTGTACTCACACCAATACCAATAACACCAAAAATAAGGAATCTAACTATGCCAGGCAACCTGTCCGGTTACAGCCGTCTAGGAGCGGGCCCCTGTTCGATAATTCAAACCTCGAGCCACCTTCCGCACGCACAAAAAGAACGGGTACGCACCCTTTTTCGAGTCCTTTTCAAGTCGGCGAACCCTATTCAGGGTGACGCTGTTCAAATATCAGTCGCGAGAAGGGTTGTGACTGATGTTCGTGGAGGTCTATATTGATGGGGGTATTGTGGTTTGGCCAAAGACCAAAGCTTCCCAGATGGATCGATGGATCAAAATACAGCTTTAATTTTGGAAGCTCTGGCTGGTGAATCATTCGTCGAGCGCAGTAGTGCAGTCAAAATATACTTAAGGTATCTGCAACCCAGCAGTAAGTGAAGCACTACAGCTAGAAGAACGAAGTAGCAGAAACACTGCAAGATGCAGGAATGTGAATACCTTGAGGGAGACTGTCTGGACAGGGAGGTATGTTCCGCTCTAAAAAGTGCCCTTTTCGGGAAGCGAAAGGGGGAACCCGTTGATCCGCCTAACATAAGCCTGTGGACACACATACTTGGAAGTCGGGGGCCCTCCGGTCGGGGCCATTGTTTTTGGCTGCTGGGCCCTAAATAGGCGTTGGGTAGATTGGGCGGGTCTTCCGGATAGGCAGAGGTCGTGTTTGACCTTTGGAATGGGGGGGTTAGGAGGCTGGTGTGACTCGGTTTTGGAAATGCGGAAATGGGTGGGATTCCGGAATTGAAAGCTGGTTAGTGAAGGGTTTTGAAATCATGGGGGAGTTGTGGGCTAGAAAATCATCATTTTCCGATAATAAAACAATTTTATCGGAAAAATCAAAGCGTATAACCATTCTGATCAGAAGCATGGATCAGAACAGTTATGCCGCTTACGGTTACTGTGGTTTTCAAAATTTGCTAATCTGGAATGACGAATTTCTTGGCCAAATGTTAAGAGTCTAGGGACACTAAAAGCTTTAAATGGATAAAGAAGGTCGGGTTGATCAGGGCTCATAATTGGCAACCGGAAATGCTAATGCAAAAGTTGGGCAAAGAGTCGGAGGCAGGAGGGAGCAGAGAAGATTATGCTCCATTTTAGAATTATAATCCTTTTTATTCTAATTCGCCGACTAACTAAAAATTGGAAACCTTCCAATACCAACTTCCCAAGCACCCAACCAATGGTCTTCAAAGGGTACAATGACCTCTGGAAAACGGACGCAAATAAACAACTCGATACTCAACCCCCTCCCTGTTCACCAATCACTTGTAGGGTCAAAATACAGCAAATAGCTGAGAGGGGCTTCCCGAAAAACGGTCTCCAGCTGGCCTCCTTACAGGTCGAGGTTGGTTCAGCACCGGCGTCGTCGCCGTGGAGGGTGGGGGTATATCCGGCGGGGTTGTGGCCCCTGGTGGGGCTCTTGAGAGGTGGCCGTTCCTTCCCTGTCGGCCAGGCCGCCTCCCGCTCAAGAGCCTTTGGTCATGTACGGAACGGAGAGGGAGGAGTGGACGGACAGGGATCATATCAACCACAATCCCCCTCCATTTCTCTTTTCAAATCGTGTGTCGTGTCGCCGGAGGCTCGACACCAATCCACTCCGGAAATCCTCTAGGTGGCTACAGCAGCTTTCCTTGTTCTTTTTTTGTTATGTTGACCTTTTAGGGGCTCCGTGGAAGCGGGAGACTTTGGTTCTGACTTGGAACGTAGAAGGGATATGAGATCATTTTTGAAATGTCGCTTTTTCGATGAAACTGATGATGGTGCCTGAAAAGTGCGGATGAAGCCAAAATCCTTTCAAAGTTTTATTTTCTTTTCATAAGGTGACCCGAAATCCAGGTACAACGGCGGTTTCCCTTGATTAGTTTTGTTACGTTGGAATCTTGCAAGGTTGATCTTAGAAAAAATTGTTGATGCTATTTTTGAAACAACGTTTTATCAACAAATTCATCTTTATTAAATTAATAACAGACCCATTCGACAGAAGGCAGTAAACTCCGTATTATGATTTCCCACGAATTATGGTTTCTAAAAAATGACACACAGCGGTAGTACAGAGGCAGGCTATATAGCGAAATTGGCAAAGAAGAGGGGGAGGGGTAGTAAGTCATCGTGCGCTCCGGCTCCTAGAAAACTTCTCAGCTAAATAAATAGGCAAGAAGAATTCTGGGAGCCCGCTGGTTTGGGGGATATATCTCAATGGTGAGAAAGCTTTCCATAAATAAATAATTTAGTATATTGAAATATCACAGTCAAGAGAGAACTGACGAGATTCGGGTTTGGTACTGTGCATAAGGCATTTAGGGTAAGCGAATTCAGGAAGTGATGACGTTGTGGTGATTAATAAAAACGCTTGTGCTGAGTTTGGTTCTTGTTTTTAATGGACATGACGCCGAAGAGCACGATGCCGATGACTACAGCAATGGCAACGATCAGAAGCAGTGCCGTGCCAAACCATCCAAGACGAGATGGCTTTGGATCGACGACATGGTCCCTAAAAGTTTTGATCATAGCCTGAAGCCAAGCATACTTATATTATGAGCGCTACGATTGAGAATTTCAGATTTCAAGAGGGTTGGCTACATGGCTGAGTGGCGAATTTGCTCGCGAAATATTCTTTTAAGCCTCCCACCCGGCATGCCTACCCCAACTGTTCAAATAAAACGTGGTCTCAAACGAAACGACGCGTAAACAGGAAACCGCGTCCGGTCGTTTCGGCTTAGCAGAATGGGCAAAATACAAACCTTGGTGCACTAACGGAATCAGCATGCGGGACAATTTTCTCGGGTTGTAGGTCGTCCCTCGACTCGACGCGGTCCACGTCGATTTGGAAGGTCTTGAAGGAGATGAGATCATGAATATCTGAAAAGAGGAGTATAGGTGTAAAGTATCGACAATTACCATAGAGCTCCCCTGTTGCTGCCGAGACTCCGAGATAATACCCGGTCGGAAGTTTGACATTGTCGACACTCAAGCAGGATCTCCAAGTACCTAGAAGGATTAAACTAGGGTTTTGCGCCTTTGGCTACCTTCTCCGTCAGTATCAACAAAAATCGAAAGCGTGTCTGCGACATATCGGATCAGGACTTGTGTCTCAAAGTCTTGGTTTCTAGAACATTTGTTTCAAGGGGATGTGCTTCTAAACCTGAATTTCGCTTCACATCCTGCTTCTTCTCCGCCCAGTTGAGTATGCGTTCCATCACGGTCGTGATCATAGTGAAGTGTGCCATCGGAGACCATCGCAGATACCCAGGGATGTCCATGCTAAACAGTTGCTTATTTTGGCATAACAAATACTTTTCGAGTTCCCATAAACTTCCATCAATTTAAGCGCTTCTTTCCGTCTCTTAGACTTACCTGGTGGGGGCCATTATGGTTGCTGTACGTATCAAGGAAGACGGCGAGCCCACGAAAATAGTCTTTCGACCCAAAAACTGGCCCAAGAAGCCCTGGTTCCTGGGCATACCAAATGGCCATGCCATCACCGAATAATTGTCCTGAAAAATATGTTTTGAAACTTTTTTTCAAAACTACCTGACTGGCCGGTAACTTTGAAAGAAACCTGTAGCTCCCAATCTCTTGCCCATAATGCCTAAATAGTTTGTTATATTTTGTACATGAAAATCTATATTTTATACATGAATTGTAAAATTAGCATACGTGACTATTCCAGATTCCTCCTTGTTGACTTTTGGCATCGGCAGTAAGGCGGATCTAATTGAAGGTTTTGTTATTGGAAATGTTGCCACCTCATGCGTAGAAATCACGGTGTGTCCGACCAAATTCCACGGAATCTCTACCCCAGCCATATAGGGTCGGACAACGGAATGTTCTCGCTTGTAGAAACCTCGGAATTCATTCACAGAGCTTCCTTCGACAGCAATCTAAACTCTCACGCTCAAGCAAATAATTAGCATCCAACCTTTAATGCATCCGCAGCCGATTGGGTCACAACATATTTACAAAATAGCTGTATTAATAACGGGCCGAAAAGCCACATAATTCCCAGTGGTTCCCTCCAATTTTGCTACCCTAATTGCAGGTTCTTGTGGTGGCCACCCACATGGATCTTGCAAGGTTGCCGCTTTCTATTTCGCGCCCCCCAAAAACCACCGTAGTCGGGCCTGACGGGTCAGGGAGTGAGGCGTGGTATGGGGGAGGCTACCGTAAACAAACTGCAAGGGCTACATTCAAGACCGTGGGTGGTTCACCTCCTCGGCAGTCGGTCAGAGTACCCCCCCCAGATCGGATCTGCATTCCCTTTGTGCCATTCCCCAAAAAGCTTCACACCCAAATTAGGTTAATAATTATACCAAATTTTCAGGACGATGAAGGTTCTTTTGGTGTTAGCCCTGGCCGCTGCGGCCTATGCCATCGAAGACGAGGTATGTAAAACTTTATAAGCATTAGTAGAAACATATAAATTTCTTTCAAAATTATTTGTTTTGATCTTACATTTCAGCCGGTTGCTGTTGAAGGAGCCCGAATCCTCGCCCACAAAAGCCCCTTTTCGATGTATGCCGTTGAGAAGATGGATCTTGTCATTGAATATTCCGTTTTCAACGTTGGAGATAAGCCCGCATACAAGGTGGGTATTCCAAGCGAGTATCAGCTTTTTGCGTTTGATTTAGTGGTAGAAAAATTCAAAATATGTCGGCTTTCATTTTTCTTTGGTAAAGGTGCGGTAGGTCAGATCCCGATTTCTCGAAACCAAAGTGTCGATCTTTTGGGGCATCGACCTTTTGATCGCGGGCTATCAGATACCCCTAAGACACTTATAATAGAGGTCATGTTGGCTAGATTGCGCGCCATATTTGAATCTACGAGTTTTAAGGGACAAGTCTATAAAGTCTATAAAGCGGGGATTTAGGAAAATTCAGGAAGTTTTTATGAAATTATCGGCTAAATATATTTAAAATAAATTATTATAGGTGCAATTGAATGATGTCCACTCGTTCCCGACCACCGCCTTCGACCTTGCCAAGGGACAGCTGACCGCCCGATGGGAGAAGCTCGCCCCTGGAGCCAACGTCACCCACCTCGTCGTCCTCCAGCCCAGGGGACCCGGCGTCTTCAACTACACCGCCGCCCAGGTTCGTGGAGATTTAATTATAAAGAAAAACTTAATTATACCTGAACTAAATCAAATTTTATGAAAAAACAATGCCACCTTGCCTAAAATTCGACATCCCTTCTAGGTAGCTATATTAACTGGAAATTCGACCATCCCTATACGCCTATAACCCAAGCGATATCTATTTTGTGCCCTCAACCCGACCTCACCAGATAGGGAAGAGGTCAAAATTGCATGCACTACCTGAGTAGTTAGTATCCGAAGCGAAGACCTAAAAAATCTAATTCAATTATCAAATTTCATTTCTAGGTCACCTACACCACTGAAGAGAAGGCCTCCGACTACGTTATTGGATACACGAACGCTCCTGGAGAGGGATACATCTACCTGCAAAAGGAGTACGACCGGAAGGTTAGTATTTTTAGAAATAGTATTGAAGTATGCCTATTAAAAGTATAATTTATATCTTTAAGTTCGCCCCCAAGCTCTACCACTGGATCGTCTTCGTCCTCATCGCCCTTCCTTTCACCGTCGGATCTTTCCTCAAGGTTGGTGGTCAAATAATTAGCGATCATCTCTGTATCTCTGCTAAATTTAATGAGGATAATCAACGTCGAAATTTTCAGTACACCCAGTCCGCCAGCAAATTCGAGGCCTACATGAAGAAGGAGGAGAAGAAGCAAAACTAAACACCAGACGAGCAATCAGTATAATTTATTCCAACTCGAGACACTTTTCTCTTATTATTTCTCGACAAATCATTGTGATTTGCACTTCACCTCTGCGGGTCTCAACATCGCCTATACTTGTTTTTATGTTTATGCAGGTTGTTGAATTATGGCAGTTTTATAGTAAATAATTTAATTATGAAAGAAAAACTTTGATAACGGCGAGAATACACATTATACGCTAAACCAGTGGAAAAAGCCCCCGCTTCGCGGCCCTTTTCCACTGGACCCCGTCCAGGAACGATGAATTCGAATACCTTCTTTTTTTAGCCTGCAGCGCAAGAACGTGAGTCAAGCAGCCATTCTTTGGCCTGCGGCGCCAGAGCCTGGTCCTAGGACCTTTTCGTTGGCCTGCGGCGCTAGAGCGAGATCCAGGCCTAAACGCGCTAGAATCTTTTTACCTGCAGTGCTAGTTACTGGTTTTTCTCCCAGATTTGGCCTGCGGCGTAAGAGCCTAGTTCAAAAACCCATCCTTTGCCTGCGGCGCAAGACCTTGCCTGGACCAAGGACCTTTTCTTTGGCCTGCGGCGCTAGAGCGAGAGCCAGGCCTAAATCTCGCGCACCCAGAGCCTAGAAATATGTTTTGTTACTGAACTACCAAAAAGCAAAAAATTAAATTCTCCCAGGATCCGAACTCACGACCATGCGCATGGTAGACCGGGCGCAGAGCCACTACGCCATCCGACAGATACGAACAGGCGGCGGGAAAGTCCTCATCTGTCCTGGGGAGAGTGGGCGGGGAAGGCAAAGAAAAGGGCAACCCAATGATCCCCGGAGGGAGGCCTACTGGTCACTTTACAAAATTCAGTTTTCTAGTCTGAATCAGCTGAAAATTTGCAAAGATAATAAGATGCGCGTGATCCCCACCATCGAATACATAAGTGGTCCAAATTACAGGCCGAAATTCCATCTGGGCTCTGAGATATGGCCCGGACACCACGGCTCTTGGCCCACTTTATTAAGGACTTTTTATAAAAATGTTCATAAAAACTTCATTTTACAAAATCTGACAAAACGCAGAATTACATATCGGGAGAATTCAGTTCCCAATCTACCCTCCAAAAATCGGCGCCCAATTCCATTTGGATCGCGAGATATCCTCTGTACAAACCTTTTTTTTTGACCAAAATGTTAAGGGTTTTTCACTATTTCGCTTGTAAAATCGCTAAATGAAGGAATTTCGAAAAACAAAAAAATGCCTATAAAGAGGATGTGTTTCTCCACCTCCATGCCAAAAATCAGCGCAAAATTCGGCCTGACGGCCGAGAAATCGTCATTACAGAAAACAAACATACTTTTCTCGCTTATAGGATAGGATCTAAAGATCGCTGCATAATGCACTGGCATACCGCAAACGCCTATCAACTAACAAAGGCAGTACGAGCGCGCTAGCGTATTGAACCTCTTCTATTACAAATCAGGGTGACACCTGAATTGTTAAAACAAGATGATATCACGGCGCCAAAGGCACTTCTCAAAATTCTCTAAATCGTTCAAATCCAAAAACACCAGCCAAAAAACCATCCAAGAACCTTTCAAGACCCCCGATCGCGAACCCGCTATTGCCCGGTCCCACTCTGTGTGCAGTTGCGCTGTTTTGTTGCCTCATTAACATCCACCTCTATAACACGTGATTCAATGTTCTACACCAAATAAGTCACATTTTTATTCTATGTCGAACAAGTCCCAATATAAATCTCTGAAAGAAATGCGAAAACATCACTAGAAAGTATTATCTACACCACAGAGACCAAAAAGAGACAATAAGGCGCAATGACTATGCAAATAGACGAGGCGGAATCACCACAGCACTATCTGTGCTCACAAGAACAATAAAGCTTTTTTACATTCGAGCAGCTAATAAGAAGCCAGCTAGGGGGTAATAATAACAAATACTTTGCACTGTACATACATGATTAGAGGGCGGCGGCCTGCTGCGGATGGAATCGTCGCGTACATTGGAATGGCTCTTCTCCTCGGATGCATTCAGCAGTAATGTAGATCGACTCGATATCACTGCCCGGCACCACGAACTTCGCGTCCAGCAACGCATTCTCCAGGATCGACCGCAAAGCACGAGCACCAGTCTTTCTTTCGAGGGCCATTTTAGCGACTTCCCGGAGGGCCTCGTCCGAGAAATTGATTTCCACATCCTCCATGCCAAATTGAAGCTTCAACTGTGCGATCAGCGAATTTTGTGGCTCGACCAGCACTCGAATCAGCATCTCGGTGCTGAAGGAATGGAACGGGACCAGCACCGGGAACCGACCAACCAATTCCGGCACGATTCCGAAATTGATTAGATCACCTTGGTCGGCTTTTCCAAGCAGCTCGTCCCTCTTCCTGGCCGCTTCTGATTCCAAATCGTCTTTGGTGATGTGCATCCCTCCGGTTACGCTGCCAAATCCGAGCGATTTTTTGTCGAGCCTCCTTCCGACAATTCGGTCCAAATTCGAAAAGGCACCCGAGGCGACAAAGAGAATATCGGAAGTGTCCACCTGAACCGTATCCTGCTGGCCAGGTAGACCCTTCTTCCCGCTCTTCACATTCACTAACGTGCCTTCGACCAGCTTTAGTAAGGCATGCTGCACGCCTTCGCCCGAAACGTCTCGATACGCGTGAGAGGGGCTCTCGTGAGCCGAGGCAATCTTGTCAATTTCATCCAGGAACACAATACCAGTCTGTGCTTTTTGTACATCGCCGCCGGCCGCGGCTACCAGCTTTTGAATCACCGATTCGACATCGTCACCGACGTACCCGGCCTGGGTCATCGATGTGCAGTCGCAGAGAGCAATGGGCACGTCCAGAATTCGAGCTAACGTCTGGGTTGCATGCGTCTTGCCGACTCCAGAGGGCCCAATCAACAGGATGTTCGATTTTTCGAGCCGAATATTGTTATCCTTCTCTGGTAGCGCCCTGAACGTTGGCGGCCTAACAGGTACGGCTTGTGCAGGTTGTGAGAAAGGCCCGTTCTGGCTCCAAGGCTGAAGGGTGGCCATTGAACCAGTCTCTCTTCCCAACGGCGGGTCATTATTCTGGTTGATCACTCCGCGAGGCACCTTCTCCACCATGTGATTACCGATGCTCATCGAGAGAACAGACGAAGCATCGTTCTCGATGTTGTGCTCAAGCCTCCGATAATGCTGATAGACGCCGACAGAGAGAGTCTTCTTGGCCTTTTCTTGAGCAACAACGTACCGATCAAGGAATTCGGCAATCTGCGAGGGATACGGCGCTGCTTTCCTCATAGGATCCTTGACTTCTATCCTTTCTTGATTTACGTTGCTTGCCGAATTCGAGTAGATTTTCTTGCAGCCCATGCATACCAAGTACTTGCTGTTCGGCACTAGCATGGGGGCAGGATGTAGTTGGCCGCCACAATCCTTGCAGCTGCCTAGCTTTCCAGTGAGCGGATGCCGAGGAGCTTCACTGTTGAAGAATTGGTCGATCGGGCCCTCACAGAAGATGGCCGCGCTTGTGTGTAGATTTTTCACCGCCGGTAGCCTTCTCACCGCCAGGAGAAGGGCCCTCGACCCGCGCATCTCTGGTCTGAAAAAGCAAAAATTAATGCGGTGTAAATGACGAAAAAGGATGGGACATCAAAAAATGGCGAGAGTAAGGTAAAATAATTTCAGAACCGACCAAGACTAACAAAAAAGGGTTTCTGAGAAGGAATCCGATCAATTTTGCCCCCATTACACCATCCGGTACTATTCAAGTTGGGGGGGGGGCAAAATTTTTTTTGGGGTCATTTTTGGGCTAATTGGTCAGTTTTTCTCTGGCTTAGGCTTAGCTTAGCTTAGTATTGGCTTGGCTTCGGCTTTAGCTTAGGCTTAAGCTTAACTTAGGCTAGGCTTAGAACTAGTTTAACCTAGGCTTAGGCCTATGCTTAGCCTAAGCCTTAGTACCTGGTCCTTAGCTTGGCTTGGTCACAACATCACTGCTTTTGGCTGGACTTAGCTTTGTTCAAGCTCAATTTAACTGTGCTTCGGCTTAGCTTAGCTTAGGAGTTGAGTATTGCGCTGGATTAGCCACGAAAAACTGATCGAGTAGCCTAAAAATGACCTAAAAAATTTTTGCCCCCCCCAACTTGAATAGTACCCACCATCCAAACAGTTCAGAATATCGCAAAAGATCACAATAAATAGTTTTAAAGCTCGGGCAGGTGAAATAGTCGAGAAATTTGGCTTCAAAAATTCATCGACCTCTTTTCAAAGAACTTGAACGACGCTATGCGGGTAAATGACTTGCGGTATTCTGCGAAAGTGCCAAAAACTATGCCAGTGGAATGAAAAAGGGTCAAACTTTTAATAGAATTTAGAACATTGAAGTAGAGACCAGTTTTCTGATCAAGTGATTCTTTTTTTCAGACGTGTTTGCCTAGTAAAAAGCTCGGCTACGGTGAGTTTGGGGCCTTAGTGCCAAATAAGCGCGCCAAAGGTGAGGGAGCACAGCGAAAGGGGCCGTGAGAGGCCACCTGCCACCAAAATCAAACGGCAACAATCAAAGTTGTCCAAATGATAACATTTCTGACGTACTGAAATCAAAATTGAAGGGCACTTTTAGTAACAAGATACTTTGATCCTGACTGTCGGGGATAAAACTCAAGATGCAGCAGTCAAGGTCATCTTTCTCGGCTCTCGGACGTGTTTTTATCAATGGGATTACTTTCTGATCCTGACCCTGGATCTTACGAAGCTAAACAAGGTGACGTTTGATTACCCGTGCACTGGTTGCACCGAGACAACGGAAAATAGTGTTTGAAAAATAAGATGGGAATAGCTTGCAACTTTTAGGCAGCGATAAGAAATAATCAAACGCAGAAAGCGCTGTTTTGCTGGGAGACAAAGGCTGGCACACGCTAAGAAGGCGATGGAACAAGTCAGCTGTTGCTCGAACAACAACCTTGAATAGGGATGAACTTTGAGCAGGATTTCATTAAAAGATATCTAGATCCTTTATAGTGCCAACTAGCGTTAACATTAGATACATGATATGACGATGCAGGTACTCAGAAGGGTGATGGAAAGCCTTTTCTATAGTTTTTATTTTTGAATACCAGCAATTTTACAGCTTTTCCTTCCCCGGTTTTAATTTCACTAATAATTGACTCACGGAAATTCCGACGGTCACTTTTGATGGATATCGTTAAGTTCGCCAAATACACGCTTCAGAAGAAGCGGAATGTTGAGAGGAAACGCTGAGGCCGGTCCTCCAGGAGCGATTTTATCTGGGAGGGGGCAATGGGGGCAAGGCCATTGGGGACTGTTTCGCACTGCCCTCCCTACAACACACCACCCTCACTTCTCTCCTCAATCCAGACATTTCGATTTTATTTTAACCCTATTTTTACGACCGACCTAGAACGATGGCTGAGTGAGTTCAATTAACGTTTTTAAGAATTCATAGAATGTATGAAAAGGATCAGATCCTACTGTAAGCTAACAACAAAATCATAATAATAAAAAGTGCTTAATAATAAGCTATTGCAATTCGTAGCTTAAAAACCGAAATCAATTCCAGCCCAAACTCCTGCAAGTGCAATCGTTGGATGGTGAGCCTGGCGAAAACTTTCGAGCTTGACCAGGTAATTTTCGCAAAAAGTCCAAACCTGAACGCGCTTGTTTTGGCGCACGGGGAAAAATGTTCGGCATACCAACCAGCATGGGAACAGGATTGGGGATTCCCCCTCAAACTGCGTGCGCGTGTAAAATTGTGGGCTAGTAAAGTGTTTTTCACCGTACAGCGTTGCGCTCCATAGGGATATGACTGTCCAAAAAATGAATGAAACATTGTGAAGTGGATGGAAAACAAAGTGGCATCGGGCTGTTTAAGGGAGACCCCCCTTTTCACGGGTCAGCTGATAGTGTCCACGGGAAACGCCACTCTCGGGGAATCCCTTTTTGCGTGAAAAGCACTTGGGATGACGGGAGGGAGGAAAGGGTAATGGCCAAAGACAACGAGGATCATCACTAATCAATTGCAGTTCGACAATTTGTATCGCCGCGGGGTGCAGTGCATTTCGGAGGAGGAATACAGCCGAATCCCTCAACTGCGCCACAGAGAGGATGCTCTCGCTTGCCTTATCGGAAAGCTATTGTTGAGACATGCCGCCAAAAAGGTGTGTTTTGCCATTGTCTCCCACTGCCGAGGCACGCTATGAAAGATGGCCAGGCTGTGAAAAGCTCTTTTTTCAGTTCACCGGTTGCGAGTGGAAGGATATCAAATTCGAGAAAACAGAAAAGGGAAAACCGTATTTGGCATCACCAGCGGGGACTACTTTTGGCCTCAACATCACGCATCAGGTTCGACGTCTCGTAGATTACATATGTCAAAATTTCAGGGAGATTATGTGGCGTTTGCTTCGAGTTGCTCCTCGAAGGTTGGGGTCGATTTCATGAGGCTTGATACCGAGAGTAATTAAAACTTAAGTTTATATGATTTTTGTGCCAGGGAACAATCAAACTGCCGATGAGTACATCAACTCCATGGCAAGCCAGGCTTCTCCGGAAGAACTTCGAATGATGAGAAGCCAGCCGACTGAAGCGATGAAGATGACCGTCTTTTATCGCTACTGGGTAACTTCTGAATTTTTGCAAGACGCTAAACATTTTAGTGCCTGAAAGAGGCCTATCTAAAGGCTACTGGAGAAGGAATCCTGCAGGACCTCTCTCGCGTCGATTTCCGAGTCAATCCTTCCGACAGATACAAGCATGGTAATTCCTTAATGCCTTAAAATACCCTTATTTTTTAAGGATGCTTTGTGACATCAACATATGTCAACCTTGACGGTGAGAAGCAAGACGGATGGATTTTTGAAGAGACCTTCGCTGATTTGAAGCACTCCGCAGCCGTCTGCAAGGAGGTAACTACCCAAAAGTTCAACCAATTCACATCGATTTAGCGAAAGCTTCCACGCACTTGCATTTTCAAGAAGGACGAGGATGCCAAAATCTTCTTTTCGCGGGTAATACGGCAACAAAAATTTAAAATTGCAGTTAAGGTCACGCTTGAGAATCTCCTGGAAGGAGCCGAGATTATCAACTCGATGCAGAATAACGCCGAGGAGGCCATTGAAGGCTTCAGGCAAAAGCCGAAGCGCGCGTTTTAGTGAAGCTTATTAATTGTAATTTATATTAACGTTGATATTTTTTCCGGACTTCACAAATAAAAATTTATTCACACAGTTTTTTAACGACGACGCAAAAGAAAATCTCGGGAATGTGCATCCTTAGTGGTTTTGTGAGTATCTTTTTCGGCAGAGGGTTTTGACTGTTCTCCATCCTTGCTTTCTTCCTCATCATTATTATCGTCTCCATCATCAAGTTCTTCCGAGCCATCGTATTGATCCAAACTTTCTTCAGGTTGTTCCATCCAGAACCCTCCCATCATCTGTTGCTCGGGCATACTGTTGAATACATTAAGCATCTGCTGAGCTGCGATTGCTTCTTTCAGCGTCAGATTGTCAAAAATTTTGCGCGCCTAAATTTAAATTTTATATGGTTTGAATATTTCTCGCCTGTTTGTGTACTTTGGAGATGCTCAGGTCCTTAGTGGTATATAATTGGCCATATTCCTCCAAAGCGGGCTTCAGGTGTTCCAGCGCGACGAGCATTTGCTCTGTGTTATTTAGTTTAGGCTGCTTTTCCTCCTGCTTTTCCTGATGTTCAGTGGTCGTCTTAGCCTTAAAACGACAGTCGGGTCATTTCTATTCCACCTACCATCATAAAACCACCATTGCGCTGCTGGGACTCGATCATTTTACGCTCAACCTCTTGCCGTGGGATGTCTTGTAGTTCGATCATTCTCTCGATTTCCTTGCTATCTTTGGGGGATTTTTGCTAAAGAAAAATGGTGGTGTAATGTTGATGCTTACTCCGAAAAGACCCGGCATCATGAAGGGAGGTCTTTGGGGGAAGAAGCCTTGATTTTGGAACATTGGCGCGAAAGGCTGCATCGGAACGAAAGCTACAACAAAAATTACGAATACTAAATTCAAGGTCCTACCACCAAAGCCCTGGCCCTGGCCGTTCTGTTGTTCCCTGTCGTTCTGGGTCAGCATACGGTGGTGCGGCTTGAAGATATCGAGAATATAATGCAGAACCATTGAGGTCGGTTCAGAGAGAGAGTCTTCAATCTGATGGGTCTAAGAAAACAAGTTCAGATATGATGCTCCCGTGTAAGTTTGCTACCTGTTTTCTGACTTGTCGTCTGGACAGTTCTTCGTTTTCCAAAACCGCCCTAAAGGCCTTGACGGCGGGGAGGAGCTCTTCAACGAGTTTATCGAATCCCTTCGTCGCCTCCTCTTTCTCCTCTTCCATATCTTTTTCGAAACGGGCTTGTTCTTTCTGTAGATGATCATTAGATTTCAGTTAACCTAAGCTAGGACATACCGCAACACCATGCTTTTTCGCCCATTCTCTAACTTTTTCATGATATTCCTTACGCGTCATATCCTCATCGGTGATAATTTCCATAAAATCAGAGCGTGCCTCGGAGCTGACTTCCTAAATCCAAAGCTACAAAAACAGTTCGAATAGGTACCTTAAGAAACTCTGGGCGATGATGGGCTAAATGTTCTTGAAATCCATTGAATTGAGGCTCGAATCCAAAGGGAAGGGCAATGGCCCCAGTTACTAGCAGAAATATAGGAAACATGGCAGCAATCTTAGAAACTCTCAGCTGACGTTTGTCTTTTATAGTACCCATCTTCAAGGTCTTGCCGCTGAACTGCTAATTCAAAATCCGGTATTCTTCCAAACAACCCCATCCATCGGTGGGGTCCGATGCGACTGGCCCTCACGGGTACTTGCCCTTTTCGAATAGCTGTTGCTCTGTGAGAAGGAGTTGGAGAGGAGTGCTGGTTATGCGTGGTGGTCAGTGGGGTCATTCGCGTAATTCCCCTCAAGGACGAGGCTGGGATAGTTGTTGTCTGTCGAGTGTTTTGCATTTAATGTGTTTGGGTGGTTAGGGGCGAGAGAATGATGTCGAGCGGTTTATTTCAGCCACCATATTGATACAATATACGGCGAGAATGGTATAGCCACGCGGCTACTGCTGTATGGATGAGATCGTTAGATCTTGAGAGGTTGATCCTTGAAGGGGAATCCAGGGATGGCACGTCCACCGAAGCGGTGAGGTCGGTGTCCACCGCAGAACGGGCATGGTGGTGGTGGGGGGCCTGCTGGGGCACCTGGAGGCTTCGGGCCGAAGGTGAACATGATCTGGTGAGCGATCTGGGCCTCCTTGCGGTCGAGGTCATCGAAGATTTGGCGGATCTAAATTTATGAGAATTTGTAGTGAGCTCAGAGATAAATCGGAGATTTTAGCACCTTCTGCCAGATCAGTTTTTATTGGTTTAGCCAATGGTCAAACTCAGGGTCCCTTAGAGCTGGGCTTAAATTTCTGATTTTATGCAAAATGCCACCAATTCATGATGGATTTTCACTAAAAATCAACAAATCCTACTTTCTTGTGCGCCTGCTTCCTCGAAAGAGTATCGTCCTTCAGCGCCTGCTCAAGCTCGTTGAAAGCCTGGGGAAGGTGCTGGAACAGGGCACGGATCTTGGTGCTCGACTCCTCGAGCCCGGTGTCAAGCTTGTGCTCGAACTTCTTGACGGCCTCCTGCACCTCGGCTCCCTGCTTCTCGGCCCACAGTTCCAGTTCACGCTTGAAGTCGGAGCGGGGGAGGTCCTCGTTCTCGATGAGCTTGCGGAATTCGTCCTTGGCTTCATCGGAGACCTTGGCGAGGAAGGGTGGCGGGGGAGGGGGGAAGAATGGGCGAGGTCCGAATCCGATCACTGGGGCTGGGAAGCCTGGTGGTGGCGGTGGGGGAGATCCGGCTTCGGGTCCGTGGGTGTGTTCTCCACCTAAATAAATGTCATATAATACATTCGGTTTTTCTACCCTATTTTCTATGTATCTACATATCGTCACTCAAAACTAACCCTGCGCCGGCGGCGGTGGTGGCATTGGCGGGCGGGGGCGGAGCATCTTGGTGATGAGGGAAACAGCAAATCCAGTCTCGACGGACAGTTCGTCGATGATGGCGTGCTTCTAAAAATCAGTTTAATTTTTTGAAAATATCACTGACCTGCTTCCTCCTCTCCTTGCGAGTCAGGGCTTCGTTCTCATAGAGAGCCTTCAGCTGCTGAAGGGCAGGGACGATCTCGGAGACGACGCGGTCGAACTTCTGACGGCTCTCCTCCTTGGCCTTCTCCATCTTTGTGTTGAATTCCTGGACGGCTTGCTGCAACAATATTGGTATGTTGTGAAGGAAGGGTTGTCAAACCTGGGTCTTCTCTCCCTGCTTGGCGGCCCAGGCGGCGACGGCGTTGCGGAACTCGGAGCGGGAGAGGTTCTCGTTTTCGAAGAGCTTCATGAATTCATCACGGGCATCCTCATCAACATCCTAAAAGTGAAAGTTAGATTAGAAGTGATTTTGAGGTACCTTGAGAAATGGTGGCGGGGGTGGTGGGCCGCCAGGCCCGAAGGGGAATCCTCCGAATGGGGGTGGGGGGCTTCCTGGTCCGAATGGGAATCCTCCGAAGGCTGGTGGGTGTCCGGCTGGTGCTCCATGCTGGCCTGGAGGGAAGAAGGGGAAGCCGAAGTTCTGGGGTCCCTCCATTGAAGGGCGGGCCAGAGCCACTCCAACTAGGAGTGCCAAGGCAACCAATTTCATTCTGAAAGTTAATCTATGACTTGTAGGTGATATAGAAAGAGGAAGTGAAACGTCGAGGCTGGTTTTAGAGCAAGGTAAATACAAAATTCGTGGCTTAGCAACAATGTGGGCGACCGGCCCTCCAGATCCTTATATAGCTAGCTGGTCCGCTGACCATAAGAAATCCTTCGAGAGCAAATGTTCACAAAAAAGCAAACGTGCTCAAGTCTGTTTACAAATCGTGTAGCCGTCCCCTAGGCCCCAAATAAGAGACAGTGCCCTGGGGCCACCGAAGGGATTGCTGGACCGTCGGAGCAGAGCCCAAATCTGGAGAATGTGTTTGGGCCACTGGGTTTATATATCGCCCCGGTGGCGTTGTTGATCTTCTCGGGGGTGGAGACTATTCGTGGGGGCTCTATTGCCCTCGGGGCCGTCGTCTCTATTCGCCGTAGATGGGAGACCTTTTTCATTTCTTGAGCGGAGCTATTTGGAGCAAAGACCCTCGGCGCGGGGACCAGTCCCTGGAAGAACGGTAATCCACACAACACAAACACAACTGCGCCAAACCATCGCCCAGAACTATGGAGGGTCGATGTTCGTCACATAAGGAGCGCATTTTCATTCAGGAATTGGGGGGTCCAAAACGCATTCAAGGTCAGGGTGTCTTTTTTTGCGGGTTTTCGGTGACACGATGGATGTACCCAAAAAATTTTGGTGATTGGTTCCCGAGTATACAGTAAGATCAGCTAACATAACTAAAAATAGTTTTTGTATGTTTATACATCGCTGCATGCAACTTCCCTGTTCTATCGGGTTAGGGCCAAGAATTCAACGTATATATGCTACATCATCCGCATGGTATATTGAGATAGCTGCAGATGTGTCAGAATTTGGGAAAAAGCGTTACGTCCATGTTACCACCGATTTGGTTGGAAAGCGACTGAACCTTGCGGGTACGAAATATTAGCCTTTTCCGAAGGTGGGAGTGGATCGTATAAAAGGCATAAATCTCGCCATTATGTCGTCAGCAGACCTTTATAAACTTATTTAAACGTTTTAAATTCACTCAATGTTTGGAATTGAGTGAACTAGTACTAAGAAACGCCTTTTCCTAAGATCTCACAAACAAATTGGTCTCTACTTAATCTCACCAAACTAGGCGCGAGTCTCCATTCGTGAAGCTGCTCTCAAAAACCAAGGAACTCTCCTGGCTAGGGAACATTTGTTGACACAATACAACTAATCCTCCTCTCACCCCAACCACCCCAAAAACATCTCTTCATTTATGCGGAACATCAAACGGGAAAGACTTCAAAAAAATAGCACATAAGATGAGGGTGAGCAGGGAAAATGGGGGGTTACATCACAATAAGGCGTTCGGTGAGCTGGTGGTTGCCATTTCAATGTATTTTCCAGTTAAACAGGCACCGAATGGGCGTATACGGCTCGTTGCACGGTTTCTTCACGGAAATTCTCTTCGCTTGGGGAATGGTTGACACGAATAATTGGGGTTGCATGGCTTCTTCCGAAATCTAAGTATTCTGTTTGCAGTAGAAAAATAAAAACTCACCCCTCAATTCTGTTGAATAACCGGCGTCTTCTTCGTCAAGGACTCTCCGCTCTTCGATTATCCTTCAAAATAAAGTAATCTAATTTTTATTATCATTACTTTGTCGTTGTTGTGGTTCTGATATCCTTCTCTACAACGTAATCATCATCCTCATCTTCGTATTCCCGTTCCACTCGAGTTATCTAAAGCAGCGTACGTTACTTTTGCATTAAATACCCGATCGTATCCACCTTCAAGCCCGACAACCTCGTTATTTTCTCGGTAATTATAAGCAGGGTTTCTAAATCATATTATATTATAAATTATATTATATTCAAAGTCCAACCCATAACCACCGTCGATAGTAGTGGCGCGTGCATGGAAAGTTCCATCGTAAGATCTAAATAAAATTTAAATATTTTGAACGTGAATTAAGATAAAAGTAGGCTTAGTATAAAGTTTCAATTACCTTTCCCTTGGTTGTGGATACGCTCTATTTACATAGGCGGCTCCTTCACTGCTTCTGCAAACCATCAATGAAAACAACTTTCTGCTCCTCACCTCCTCACACGACTCTCGCGATTTATATAGGTGCTGGTATCAGCGCCCTCATTATAATCTCTAGAGTATGTTTCAAAGGCCCCGCCATTGGAATAAATATGTGGCGATCGAGAGCGATTTTTCCTAGCACTAGCTTTATAAAAATTATTTTCTTGTTATTACTTGTAATGGCCTTGGCTGACAGTTCCTGTATTAGCATCATAATATCCAGAACGATCATCATAGTTTCGATCACTAAACGTTGGTAAATCTACAGTATTAATACCCGTAATCCATTCTTCTTGATTGGTGATCATCCATCCCAAGAACTGCCACTCTTTCCCGTTGGACTTCCACTAAATATGTTGTTGAGTGTTAATTTCAGCACAAACTTTTCGTTTCCTCGATTTTAATTGGCTTTTGCGCATCTGTATTTGTGCCAGCTGTCTGGGTCAATGCGGGTGCAGGTATTGCCGCCATTGTTGAGGTTGAATGCATTACCTTTTTGTTTTTCTAAAACAGTGTCAACGAAGCGAATCAGGACAGTACTTTGCGACAACACAGCCACAGACAAGCTGCCAATAGGCATAGAAGAAGTAGAAGAAGTAGTAGAAGAAGAATAATCCAGAACCATATAGGCATCCCCCACCAATGACGTTCACGATCGATTATAACGCCTGATTTCGCTAGTCATGTAACTTCATAAAGTCATTACCTCCACCATAGGGATCGGCTGGAGGTAGGGGAGGCGGTGGAATGATAGGTGGCGGCGGTGGTGGTGGAATATATCCCGGAAACGGATATGCATCTTTTGTGAACCCTAAACAAGGCCTTGAACCCTCATTTTAAACCCTGGCCAAGTATAAAAATAAGCTAATAACACGTTATACCACACGGGATCCGCCCATAAGTGACTGGCTGGCAAGGATAGGCTAGAAATTTTTAATGAATTGAAAAATAGATAATTTTATTTTGTAAAATTTATACCAGTTTGTGGTGGTGGGATTGGTGCCATTGGCGGGGGAGCCGGGGGGCCAACCGGGCAATAATAGTTCAGATGGACGAGTTCTTGTACGAATGCGAAAAGCAAGGGTTTTCGAACACATGATTTCTAAAATTTGGATCTTGTACAGTATGAGCCAAATACCTCCGCGCAAGAGCAACATCTAAATACCCTCACATCACATTCGATATTCATCACGCTTGTTGGTGCAATTAAATGAACTAATTATCATTTTAAAATTGTAAATCTTCATTACCCAGCGTCCTTTTTATACTTCCAGGTTGTCCATATCCCTCTGTTTCCCAGACCTTCACAAACGTATTCGTACAATGAATACATCTGAAATTCCCCAAATTTTCTTCGTTTTTTTACACGATTTTCTCCCAACCGGCCCGGTTTACTATAACGTATCGGAGTGGCGCGTCAGGAAAAGTTCCTGAATGGGCCGCGCCCTGCGGACCGATTGCTCATTCGCGGAAAGCTAGCCATTTCGGGGCCGTCGCCCGTCAAACCAAACAAACAGCCCCATCCTCGTTTTTCTTAACCGTAGCCGGATAGGGATCGATTTCTGGAACCAGGCCTGGGGGTTGCAAATACTAGAGCAGCCTAGCATGCTTCACGCACGCTCCAAAAATTTAGCAACAAACGAAATGATCAGGCGGAAAAGATAAACTATACCCATATTGGTCGAAAAATCTCTCCTGTCCATTCAAAACGCATCGTTCAATGATATAATCGTATTGCGTGGTGTCGGTCATCACAATTTCAAAAGTATACGCCTGCCCGGGCATAATCTGAAAAAAGCAACAAAAATGATCTCGGGCGGGATCGAACCGCCGACCTTCTGTGTGTTAGACAGATGTGATAACCACTACACCACGAGACCAGGTGGTGGCGGCTCGGGGAAAGGGGGCTAAGAACTCACCGAGGGATGGGAGCGACCGGAGAGGGCATCCTGCAGGCCAATATGCCCTGGAAAAGAGCGAACGGATTTTCGTGTTGTTTTTGGGTGGAATAATCGGGGTAGATTCGAATATTTTCCTTACCTTGGTGCATATATAATTGGGGTGAATATGCTGATATGAGTGATAGATAGATAAATAGAGACAATACGCTTCTGGCGGAGTTGAGATGCCATTTTGCTCGTTTCATCTATCGCGAATCGGTTTGTAATTATAGAAATGTAGATACCAACAAATAGTCAAACCTTGTCTGTAAAACTCAAAAATTTAAATTAAAAATCGTAGAAGCCTAGATTTCGGTTCTACACTTCTACACTAGATTTCAAATGTTGCGCAACGTTAAAAAATTATCGACCAGTAAAAACCACATGTAAAACAGGAAATCTTAATTAGAATGAACCACTATACAACCGACGATGAACTTAAAAGGCGGGCCATTTCCGACAGAAGTTACGGTACAACCCCGCCAGGTTAGTCATTCGCTCTCGCGCCAAGCAGCCTATCTGACCAATACCCAAAATACCCTGCTTCCGCCTAATCACAACAGTAAAAAGGCCAAAACCAAAGCCCGGCAGAATGAATAAAAAAATGGTGGGTGTTTCAGGCGGGTATAGGATGGTTGTGTAGGGGCCTACGCCCCATCCATCACCCCCCGGCATATTCCGGCGTTCCGGGGGGCATTATGTGGCCGCACGGGCCGCCGAGCCTGACTCACGCCATCCGACCGACAGCCCTGTACGGATCCCTCCTCCGGACCGACGAGGAGCACAACCCTTCCGCCACGGAAAGGAGAATAGCCACCACATCTTCGCCCCGAATACCCAACATCGACGCTGAGTCAAGCAGCCAACGGACGGCCGCGCGCGTCCGGCATGGAGGAATTTGAGGCCTTTTTGGGCGAGGTATTATGAAAAATTGTTTGATGAATGGGGGTGTCAGGAAAATGAAAACGTGATGTAGTGTAGGTGCTATTCAGATAAGTCCTGCTTTATAAAGATAGTTTATTTCGGGTTCCGCCGGAGCTTTAAAGGGTTTTAATTAAAATCGTTACTAAATAGGAAATTTTGTCGTCCGCCGGAAATGTTGAGTTTCACATGAAATGTGACGGGGAGACAAATTCGCCAAAAGCTTTTAGATTATCATATTTACCACATATTATAATAATCGATCGATACACTGTAAGCAAATAACTACAGTACCCAAGTTGAAAATTCGGTCCTCAACCGATCACAAAAAGTAACCATGCCAATATAACTAACCAATCCCTTATTTTATTCAAAACGCACCTCTTATAACGGAATGTCTCTCGCAAAACCAGTATTTCCGTTTCCAGCAATCTCGATTCTCTATTATTCCCTCATCCCATTCGCAATCGTCGAGCCCAAAAAGAAAATGCTCGTGCCATAAAGTCGAATCGAATAGGTGGTGTAATGGTTGGCTAGCGTGGCTTTCCTAGTTCCGAATTACCAGTTGAAGCTTTTTTGAGGAGTCGCCAGAGGTGGAGAGGAGGGGCAGGGGATGACCGGTCGTGCTTTTTGCATATTTCCGCACGCATAATTGCCCACGGCTGAACAGGGGGAACCCCGGGACGGTGGTGGGACGGTTTTTAAAAAATGGGATGAGCAAATAAAGTCCAACGATGGCATGGGGTGAGGGAGGGATTGACAAATAGTAAAACGATTTACATGTTGACAAAATGAATCGTCGCTAAGGTGGGTTTTTAAAGAAGTTCTTCAAACGTTAGTCATCGCCTAGACCACATCATCTGAATCCGAAATTTCACATAGAAAATCCTTTGTGATTTGGATAATTCTATGGTTCAAAAATTAGAGATATTTATCTTGAACCCTATATGAATATAAGCTTTAAGATTTTCAGATTTTCGACCTCAGTCATAGCTTTGATTCCACCTTCAACACCCAGTTTTTATATAAAACAAACTTGTGGTGATTTTGCATAATTTCATTTTAATGAGGTTATGAGGATTATCCAGAATGATTTTTTCAAAGTCTTTTAAAGGGGTTATTCAACTTAAGTGTTGTGAGAAATCCTTAATTTGAATCCAAAATAATTTGACTTTGCATAATTTTTTTTTGTGACCTTGGCCTTTTTCCTGTGGCGTTGCAAAATTCGCCATTTGATATAGGTATCAATATTTATTTAGAATCTTATATACATATAAGTTTGAACATTTTTAGCTTATCGGCGGCGTACGCACTGGCGGCCCATTTGATAGTAATTTCCAGCACATTGGCACACTCCCTGCTGACCACAATAGGCACCGCGCGAGCATTGGGCGCTGTTGAAGCACGATTGGCCGGGGGAGACCTGAAAATTTTTGTTGGACTGATTAGCGGGTTTTTTAATATAAAACAAAAATCCACAGGACAAACACCAACCACAACATTTATCCTAAACACTTGCTCAGACTGCTGCTGGTAATTCTGGCAGCCGCCGTTGAAATAGAAGCCGTTATCGCAGTTGCAGCTGGGTTGTTGGCATCTAAGAATGATTTTTGTTGGCTTCAGAAGGTGTTTTCCGGGTTGTTTCTTAGTAAAAATCTAGATACGACCGAACGCCGGCCACTTTTTAGGGCAAGTTTGAACTTAAAAATGCATAAATGAGCAAATTCGGGCCATATTTCTTAGTTATTTTAATTATTAAAATTAATACACTCAGCGAGATCAATGAATTAGGTATTTTACAGCGCATTACAACATGTAAGTCTAGTCGTGGGATACGAAAAGTAAAATCCCCGGAACCGTGCGTTTTTTTTTGAAATATTGAAATCTAGAGTAAAACATCCTGATTTAAATTCTTTCAAACATTGATTTGATAAGCCTAGATTCTGTCCCCGCACATGAAAATTTTCACTTCGTGGCCCCTTTAATAGCTATTGACTATATTTTACCCCAACGTCCTGCCAACAGTCGTTGAAGCAGCAGTCGTGGTTGTGGTCGAGGTGCTGTCCGGAGCATCATTGAAGATAGCCTGCACAGCCGTCGTCGAAATTACGGTGGTGCTTTCTAAAACATAATATTAATGGGTTTCTTCCATAAGAATAATTTCATGCAACACACATGCTCCCGCAAACTTTTGACATGCTTCCAAACAGCGCTCAAGCACACAATTTCGGGCTGACGCCAGGGATTCTGAGCATGCTATTGCATAGGATATTGCGTATAATTCCGACTGTAAGGTCGGCCTACCGGATGTGGTCGTTGTTGTTGTTGTTGTTGTTGTAGTAGTCGTGGTAGTAGTGGTAGTAGTAGTCGTTGTAGTGGTTGTTGTGGTAGTCGTACTTGTTGTCGTAGTAGTAGTAGTTGTAGTCGTGCTGGTCGTAGTTGTAGAAGTGGTGGTCGTTGTCGTGGTGGAAGTGGTTTGTTCTTCCGTAGTGCCTGTGTGGTTTTTAGATTACGCGAATATTATAGTTATATATTATACTATTATAATATATCCAGACCTGGTCTTAATGCATTCAAAAGCAATTTTTGTGCATCTGGTTCAAAATTCGAGCAATTTAGTGCACAATCACGATTTTGAATCGAAAATTTTAGGCATACTTGGTGCAGCAATAAATGTTTGGTTGAATTTGATTAGTGGCCACACGGATGCAATGATTTCAGTGAGATATACACTGATATACACAAGTTCTCCTGGGTATCCAAAATCGCACCCCCTTCTGGCGGTTCGGAGAAAGATCGGATATGATTTTTACACCGCTCAAAAGCTCCCGAAAAGGCGAGAAACAAGCAACTAACGTTTTCCAAATTTTTTCTAATTCTCTGATTTATAATTTTTCGAAAATTCAGGACTAGGATAAACCTGCTGCTTCCATGGAACTCGGGCTCAAATTCTACAACACAGATAAAAAATTTCAAGAGCAAAAAATTGTATTTTGAAGCCGGTTGGATAGATGCTGAAATCCTAAAGCACTTCTCCGGCCCACCAGAGGGAGTGCTTTTTGGGACACCTTGTAAAGTGAGATATGTAGATATAAAGTTTCCTTCAAAAAGGCTGAATCTTCATCCCGTACCGGCTGTGGTGGACGGTACAGTGGATGGAACAGTGGTGGATGGCACTGTGGAAGTCACGCTCTGCCCGACAGTGCTCGTGGAAGGCATCAACGTGGAGGTGAGCTCCGTGCCTGCGTGAAATTTGTTCAAATGCTCAAAGGATTTGGCTGCAATTTGCGAAACACGTGAGAACTGAAAATGCCGAAAAGTCGGTGTTTACCGGTAGTGGTGGGAGCAGCCGTGGTATCTTCAGCCTAAAAAAGAATAGTTGAGTGGTTGGTTCTTACAAGGGGAACCTCAACAGCCACACAGGTACGGTTGACGATTTCTTCACCCTTGCGACAGACGCAGGTGCCCTAGGTAGTTTTTAGTTGATATATTTCATATTTAGATTTACATTTTCGCAGGTAGATCCCCCAACGCAAAGTGCGGGATTGCACTGCTCACCAGGATAGGCGATGGTGAGTCCCTGATCGCGCATCACACTAAATTGGATTGGGGAAAGCTTGTAGCGACCTACGCTTCGGTGGTCGTTTCGGATTCGGGTGCCTGAAATTGAGCTTATTAGGATTAGGGAGGACTCTACAAACCGCGGGTAAGCAACAAGGAACGGGCACGCGGACATAGGTCGTATCGTGGGTGTGGATTCGCTGGATTGGTGCCGGAGCGGCCACCACCGTGGCCACTGGGGCTGATGGGGCTACGTAGTAGTATGGAGTGGCGATGGAGACCTGAAATTTTTAGGATGTACCAGGGTTGAAAAACTGCCTTGCGGAGTTTCGGAAAAAATCATGAACCTTTCTAACCTTTCCTATACACTGCTCTTTTCCGCTCATGCTACGGGTTTTCCAACAGGTTTTCTAATTAATGTGGTGCCATACACACTTTTTCAACTCTACCACCTATCGACTTATCCTCCGGACCTTCTGACGGAAGTCGCATGCAAATAAACACCCAAACCCGTGTTTTCAATTGTTACATTAGAATAGTATGATCACCGCGTTAAAAGAGGTTCGACATTTTTGCCAACTCATAGAAACCTACGCGAGGAGGCGGAGGGGCAGCAACCGGGGCCAAAGGAGCAGCAACTGGAGCGGCAACCGGAGCGGCCATGGCCATCGGGACCGGGGCGACGGGACGCTGATATCCATTTTGGGTGTAAACCGTTCGGTAGGTGGTTTTGCTGGCTGCTGGGTAGGCGGCAACGCCTGGAGAGGATAATAAGACAAGGCTTAATGTTCTCACTCGGTAATGTTTTAGTATTAAAAATTTTTTGTAGCCAAACTTTTCGAGGTTCTAAAGAGGTTTTTTATGGCCGAAGCCCCGGTTCTGTTTCTTCGAGCCAGTTCTTTTGGTGGCATTTTGCCAGCAATTCATGGGACAGCATGGCGTCTTGATTTCTCTAATATATAGCCAAAAATTAATTTCTAAATCAAAATAATTTTTTAGACCCCTAACTCTACTCCACTCTATGCCTCGGCCCCATTTCAGGAACCACTTTCCCATGAAATGTCTCCTTTGCAACGTTCCCGGTTGCGGTTTTCCCCCGCGATGACGAAAGTGAAATGCGTATGATGTGGTGTAGCGTGCTGCCCGGAAGGACACCTACCGTATGGGCTTGGAGCTGGGGCGTAGGCAGCTGCCTGAAAATATTTGATTGTAGCTGGCCGTGTCGGGGGTCGCCCATTCAAGTGGCAAGTGAGGGGGGCCACCCATCATCAAAGGGCTGGTATTTGGCACCCTTGCCTGCTACGATGACACGATGCACGTGTCGGCCTGTCCTGGCAGAGAGTCAAAGAACATCACAAAAGCTACTAAGATGTTGCCAATTCAAGCTGGCTTATGTTGCTGTATTTTTGTTATCACTGACTTGCTCGTTAGCAGTAATGTAAAAACAGCCAAATCTTGGAAACTCTATTTTTCAAAAGATCTAACCTACAAGCTAGTTGAGCTCAAATCTAGCTACAGACCCTCTAATCGTCTCGAGGAAGCTAGGCTTAAATGGTTTTTACACCATTCTAATACTCTTAAACAAAGGTTTTGTCTGCTCAACTCTTTGACGTTTTTCAATGTTTAATGCTGCATAAAAATGGGCGTTCTGCGGCATAAAAACGCAAATGGCATGCGGATCTCGCACAAATTTACTGCCGGGATAGTGTTCGCCCGTAAAATATAATTATTAAAATTTTGAATTTAGAAGTTGAAAACGGCTGTTTTCTGACATTTTCGACAGCTTTCGATGCTACTTTTTTGTATTCATCAAAATCGGAAATTTCTCCAGAGCTCTTGCGAGAGATAATTTTTTGGAACACCGCTCGTTTTCTCTATACAAAGTTCTCAAGATATTTTAACTACTACACCCCCTTTTGAGGAAAGCCGATATTTACCACCCACCCTTCCGAAAAATGCGGATTTCCCCAGGGGCCGTAGTTCCTTTTGACCAAGGCACTACACCATCTGACTCACTAGACCTTAGTGACCTCCCGGACTTACAAATTAACTTACCGGTGCTGGTGCATAAGCTGTGTTTTCCATCAAATAAGGCCCCTGCACGCAGCTAGGTCCGGAGGGCTGGAATCCGGCCGCGCATGCACAACGCCCAGCATTACATTCGGCTGGTGGTACACATGCTACGTAGTCGTTGCACGCACCGTAGAGGGGGACTAAGAATTTGATAGAATTTAGGGTATCGGGAAGCTAAATACGGTGTTAATAGGTACCTGAATATTGCCTTCTATGCCTCGTTTGATTGAGGCAAACGCTGCAGCCGAAAAGAATAAATAAAAGGATAGCCCGTCTCGCCATTCGTCTAGTAGCCTTCTGAATTTTTAGGTGAACCGTTTTAAAAATATATATTCATCGAACGAATAAGCAAATAATTAAAAAAATAACGTGAGATGCATCTAAGTAAAAACGAGGGTTGAAAGCGAGGGGCTTTTCCTTGCAAAATGGGTTCAATAAAATGTTGTCAAATTGAAGTTAGCAGTATAAAAACAGAAATAATAAATGTAGAGATTTATAGAAAACTTCAGTTCGTCAAATTAAACAAATTCAGCAAAAATATTATAATGATGCCAGATATTCGAGCCATGACAACCATCTACGGAATGCTAGCACCATTGAATAGACAGCAATGTAAAAAAATGTGCAAAGAGGGAACAGGACTGTATGTGAGTTGGTGTCTATAGGTGTGAATCGGGAGGTGGGCCACATTGTCGATGTGGGTCCCCTCCCTTTTCCACCCGATCGGGACTACCGGGTCAGGGGAGGGCCCTCTTATAGAGATGGCGTGGCATCCGGTCCCTCCCTGAACCTGTGCCCCTCCCCACCTCCTGTAATAAGGCCAACAACGGAAAGCGGCTTCATCATTTGCCAATACGTGTTGAGGAAGAGACGGATGGAGAGGAGGAGAGAGACGGAGAGATGAAGAGAGACGGCCAACTTTAGATCTCGAGTGCGAACGGGGCATACAAGACCGTTAGCCGGACGCGTTGTCGGTCTGGCATTAGACAAAGACTAACAAGTACGTCGGGTAACTAATTTAATGTTTATATGTCTTAAATTTATTGACCGTGGCACATGATAAGAATCGGAATGTCTCAGTTTCTCGTAGCTCAGAATTTCGGAAATTAGAATTTCGAATTTTCGGAAGTAGCCGTTTTTAAAACCACGCATTTACATAGTTTCGAATCTTCAAAATATCCGCATTTCATATTCGTAAATTTTTATATTCAAAGCTTTAGATTAGTTAGAGCTTTCTTACCTAACGTTTTTAAAGTTGACTGAGGTTCTGAATTTCGATATTTTGTACTTCAAGATCCGATAAGCAGCCAATAAAATAGTTAATCAGACATATAAGATCTAAAAAAGCCGCTTCAAAGAGCTACCGCCTCCTTTCGCTGTCCAAAACTGCATATGAACACTATCAACAAAAATCCTTCTCCCCGACCTAAAAACGGAAATCCGTATAGCCATCCCTGTCTATTTCCAGGTGTCATTTTACCCGCCCGCCGCATAACACGCGAACTCCACCGACTATAGTATTAAAAAGCGATTGTTTGCCCAAACCCCGAAACTAAAGCGAACTACATGTAGATGAACCCTTCGCTTTCCATTAAGCCTTGTCTTAAGCCTCTGTTACGTAGTTGTTTTTTTCACATCCCGCTTTTTCCGAGTTCGCCCCCTATCTCGATGGAAATTGAATTAGAATTTTGGAAGGGGGTGCGGCACGGAATTAGTGGGAATGTCTGGCGGTTTTTCTGGAGATGGAAGTTTGTAGTTTGCTGGGTATACAATAGTTAATTTTGGTATTTTGGTTTTCATTTAGAGCTTTTGGTTTTGCTAATTTCAGAAGCTTGAAGCCGCTTTTTGTTTGCACCAGGTGCCAGCCGCGTTTGGCGGGGACTTGTTTGAGTATCATTTTCCAAGTATGCCGGCGGCCTGAAAGTGGCGATATTGTCTAAATACGGTTGGGTGTATGTGTTGGAATGGTGGTTGGCGGCGGGTGGGGGGGGGCCCTCGGCTTCCACTTGAAATCCGGGCTCGAGGCGCCGGGGTTTTGCCGGGCTCCATGTTGGTACATGCACCCCAACGGCGTGGTGAATTGACACATTTGGCTAGACGTTTGTTGCATGGGGGGAGTCTCACGGAACAGCTCACCAATGTTTGCCGGCTCCTTGGTGAACATCAGTTACCTGGGTGAACTTGCAGAAGAGGTTGGGGTGGGGGGTTAAAGGACAAGCGAAGGGCGCGCGGGGGGCAAAGGAGTCGAATTACTTGCCATCTACGAATCACTTACCTGCCTCCTTCCCAGACGTGTTTGCTAGTTTTTCGTTCTGGGTGACCCGCAGAGGACCAGATTGTAGCGTGTTTTGCTGGCAGAGAACGTGATCTTGCGTCAGGAATCGTTTGTGAGGGGGGGACGAACGATTTTTCTCAGGATTATTTTTGCACGGCTCCAAATCGGATTCTAGAGCCAGACCCTGAAATATTTATCGTAAGAGAGTGGAAAAACGGCTGCGCGGCTTTTCAAGCCTGGCCCAAGCTTTTAACCGACAGATTATTGCCATAAAAATCATCCGGACAAACATGGAGGACCATTCCCTCTACTGCCTACCCCACACCCAATGTATTCTAATTATTCCTAATACAGAGGCGGCTTTTTGTCAAAATTTATACAAAGTCACAATTTTAATAGCGAAACTAACAATTTTTCAACATCTAGGAACTAAATATTATGAAAATGGGCACAAGCTTTTTTGCATACCCAAAATACAGTCCCAAGCTGACGCACGAAATGTTTATCCCACCCCAAATCCGGCAAACCTATTTTTAAGAGACAATGGCCCCCTTTGGAACGTAACAGACCCCCCGGCGACTAATTTACGCCCTAGAAAACCTTTACAAGATTATCTCTTTGGTTCCGGGGCCCAATCCGGGGGGTAATCCGCCCGGCTGGAAATTGGGCTGATTTTGGGGGATGATGTTGGAGCAGAACGTGGATACGGTAAATGTCTAGGGTTAGAAGCTGGTTCCGGTGGTTTTTGATTAAGCCGATTAGGAAAGGTACACCCTGGGAAAACTGGGATTCGCCAAATTCTAGCGGGTAGGTTGTGTAGATCAGAAAACTTTAAAAACGGTGATCCTAGTGATCGCTTAAAGATATCGGGAAGGCTTGCGTCAAATTAGTATACAACCGGTTTTGCTTAGGAAATTAGCATAAATTTGCTCTTGTCGGTTTTACAGAAGTTTATTTGTTCCTTTGAAGTCCATTGATAGTCCTTCTAACGCAGTCTTTACGTTAGTGATCTATCAAGTGCCCCTAACGCCCTAACAATTGCAAGCCGAAGCTTGTGTCCCGGGTCATCGACCGTGACACTCGACCCGGACACTCCGCTGCTGGGGGGACACATTTCGCACGTCCGGCAGAATGGCGGGGTTGCACATTCCCGGCAGGACCTACATGGCGGCAAATACCAAAAGATACGTCAAGAGCAGCCGACAAGAGCACCCTTCAGAACATGAGCATCCACCCCGCGGTCTGGCTAGTTCTCGCCCCGGGCTTGACCCCAGTCATCATCATCATCGTGGATTGTGCGGTTTGGTTGGGGCCTTGAACGAATCGGTCGCTTAATTTGCATAATCACTTCGTATATGAGATTCCTAACTGCGCGAAGTCCAAAACAAGCCTAGTATCCTCGAACGCAAATTAGGCAATTTACATATGTTTTAAAACCTTTAAAATTAGATATAAAACGGTTTGGTATCCTAGACTCTAACAAGCGTAGAGTAATTATGCTAAATACCGCTATCGACTTGATTTCTAGACCCTAAAACCCTTCCGCTTCCGATATTGCTGGAAATCGATTCTATTTCTGCACAGATTGGTATGACCGTAACTATTTTTTATATATAGTAAGGTCTCTGAGACTCTATTATCTGCACTCTGAACAACCTGATTTGAATCATACTTGCTTCCGATGAGTGTGTTTTTTATCGAGCTGCCACTTCCAGACCCTTGGCTCTAACCAGAACCCTGGTCCTTTTCTTACGCAGCCTCACATCCACTAACAACTTTTATTGAAGGGCAAGCAGCGGCAAAGCAAGGCGTTGAAACAGTTTTAGAAGACAAAGATCGGGTATTCCTGGCTGTACTCCGGTGGCGCGAAGAAATTCGAATAGTAGAGCTGGCGATTTGCTTCCGCGACAGCGTTTGACGAAGGCGGGGCGGCTTTCCTGAACAAAACGCATGAGTTGAAAGAAGATGGCTTATTTATTCATTTTGTTGATCTAGGTCTGGCTGACATTTTAAAACAACGCTCTTTCTTTATTTCCCCCACCCCATTGAAATGAGTGGGAAAAAATGCTTTCCGAAATTTTTAAGGAATTTTATATAATTTGCCAAGCCAGCTGACTCGAAGTCAACCCACATAAACATGATTTTCAAACGAATTTTACGCACGACCACTAATTTCACCTGTACGCTAGCCTGGATGCAAGGTTTGACCTCATTAAAATGAATGAACCTTGGCGTCAACTAATGGGAGAAAATTTTTAGAGAAATTTAGTTAGGGAAGAGATTTCTTCATTTCCAGATAAACGCTATGAAAGACGGTCGGGGACCGCAAATAAATGATCAAAGATGACTGGGGGAAACGCGCAGCTATGCATGGCCAAAACTGGTCGCGCCCAGGGTTTTTGAGATGCTACTGGATTTACACTGTGGCAGCACTGCTTTCACGTCATTATTTTTTATGCTTTTACCGCTTCTGCTTTCTGCTTTTTCTGCTTTCAGCTTTTAGTCATGAAAATTGTAGCTACAGTAAGAAAATTGTTGGTGAGGGACACTACACTTTCGTGTAAAGGTGATGCATTAAATTAAGGTATGGGAATTTGCATTAGTGATTATCGGTGAATGCAACTCGATATTCTCATTAAATTATCGTATTAGGGATACGCAATGAAAACAAGTATTTTGTGATGAGATCCTTAGACGAAATTTGTGGGATTTTCTAGATGGTACAAGGAAAAAGAGGGTCTCTAGAAACTCCAGATTTGTATCAACCCCTTTAGAATTTATGGTGAAGCAAACCTAAAAAGCTACGATATTTTTTAGGTTTGCTTAAAACTTCAAGCAAACAAATTTAGTTTCCTCTGGGTCACCTTGGAATAATTTAATATGATACCATACTTTCGATGATCTTTTCCTCAACTGCATGATGATAAGGTATTTTCCGCCATTAAAACTTGACGAAATGGAATCTTCTGTCTCATTTTAAACAACCTACTTATCCTGAATCTGCTTGAGAAGATTTTCGAGCTCTGGTGCCTTCCTCAATGAAGTAGGGATGGATAGGGCAACGGTAGAGAAGACAAGTAGGGCGACGATCACTGGGTTTATCCGTGACATGTCCGCTACAAGAAGCCGTTCCTTTTGGGAGCGAACAGGGATAGTGGGATCCGATGGGGGATGATGGGGCGTTGAAGGAGACCCTGGGGGCCACCCCTTAACTTTGCTGGGCCCCTCACCAGAGCCACGCCTCCAGGAGCACGACGTCTCAAACGCCCCCCCCTCCGGTAGCAGGTGCTTTTGAGGGAAGCGGATCGCCTGACTGTATCAGGCTTTCTGGAAAATATAGCCCACTCGTTCTTGCAAGGTTTTGGGGTGAAAGATCTGCAGATATAGCCGAAAATTTGGAATTCACACCTGTGAAGGAAAAATGGGCATTGCGCAGTTTTCGATTAAACGGAAGTGCAGGCAGTCAGGTGATTGCTTAAAGGGGATTGTTTTGGAAAGGGCGTTGCATCAGACAAAAATACCTATCTGAAATATAAAAATTTCTGGTTTCTAGTTTGGATAGGGCGAAAAAAGTTAAATTCATGCTACTAATAGCTCAATTCTTTTTAATTTAGTGCCATGAGTTTCACAACCAACTCCTCATTTCCGCTTGCTGCCGCCATCGCTCTACAAAAAACCCTCAAAATTTCCTGTTTTCTACAAGACGATGACTTTTCTTCCATTTCAAATGGGATTGCTCAGCCATCCGGCAAGGGATTACGACCAACTAATTGCAAAATCCAGCAAAAAAATTGGGCACGGCCCATCCGGAGGCTGAGGCCAAAATGAAACAACGGCATCCGCCCATATAATAGCCGTAAAACGCCCGGGAAACGAGCGTTGCCAATTTTAGATGGATTAAAAGAATCGAAGTTCAAAGAACCGTGTCCAGTTGGTCTTGAGGGTCGTTGTTCTACTCTGCTTACGGAAGGAGAAGTTGACACCCTAGGTATTTTGTCTGGGGTCAAATGTCTGGGACGAAGAAGCCCTCCAGACGCTTCCGAGTAACAAGCTGCTTCTTCGATTTCATCGGCACGGCCAATCAAACAGGCCAAAAACGGCAATTTGCCGGCAGGGGCAAAAGCGTCGATAGGAGCCAGGTGTAGCACGCGTCAAAAAGTTTAAGCGCTTATAACTCTTTCAAACCGACTTAATATTGAAAACCTAATATCAAATATTGCAGAGTAGAATTTTACGGTTCGAATGATACCAAATACAGCAAGTTAGCCCTCCGAAATACCGCTTTTCACAAAGTCGTCAACAAAAACCGCCTTCGTTTTGATACTTTCTGAACACAGTTTTCTTAGTGCTTGGTATCATTAGAATCGCCTCGTTCCATTCTACAAAGTTGGAACAAGCTTTTTTTTTAAGATTTACTTTAGTTTTAAAGTTATAAGGCTGAGAAGCTTTGGTCCCATACATTTTTGAGTAGATAGGAGTGCCGCGTTGCTTAGGGCCTTATTGCCGCTAATTTTGGGCGTGTCGGGTTCATTCACACATGACTTTGTTGTAGGTGTTCCAGGTTTTGGAGCGGGTATTTGGCATTGAGCCAGAGCCCAGAATAGCTATATATAATTAAGATCGGTTACTCGATTGTGACGCATAGGGTAAAGCAGTAAGAAAAAACAGTCATTGGGGCAGGGAGTGGAAATAACAAATTGGCGAAAGATTGAGGGTATAGTTCAAAGAAATGCGGGGGAAGTTTTGTTGTTCAGAGGGAGTATTGTTTTGATAAATTCATGGGTTTTCTAGTAATTTGGAATCTCTGCGGAGTTTCTTTATTATGGAATCTCTTTTCCATAATAAAGCAGCAAAGTATCACATTTTAAAGGGGCCAATTCCAGTGTAGCCGATTTATGCTAATTTGAAAGACAAACCGGGTCTAGGCGAATCTAATTGGATTTTCTTTCTCCACTGAAAGTAAAGTGAAAGGAGCAAAAACCATTATTACTTTTAAAAATTCAAATCTGCCTTGAGAAGATCGAGCTTGGAAAATCAAATCCCAAAAAAAAAACCCAAAAGCTTCCCCCAATTTTTCTGGCAATCTGACAGCCGGTGGTCAAAGAATTTTTGCACTTTTTCTGGGGTGAGGGATGATCGAAGGGGAGAGTGAGGAGGAGCAAAGGAGACTGACTGACAGTCATGTCTCCTCGATGCCCTCGGGGAGTGCCAGTCTCGTGTGGCAGCCAGTCTCAGCTACATGCTTGTCACCGGCCCATTTCTCACATTGCTTTACCTAATAGTACAGGTAATTTCTTGTCACGCAAGTGTTTCAAGCCATTTCTTCACTAAAACAGGGCTTTTTGAAGATTCGACACGCTGTTCTATTTCTAAACGTTTCCATTTTAAATCAGGTTCATGCCGCGAAACAGCCAAACATCCTCCTCATCCTTGCAGACGATCTTGGCTTTAATGACGTCGACTGGAAAGACCAGAAGTACTTTTTGAGATTTTTTGCAAAGACTTAGCAAGTAGCCAGCCACACTACACCTTTTTGCAATTCTTGTGCGTCACGGGTGGCAAAAAAAAAATCAAAAACGCGTGCGGCTTACTTTAATCAAATACTGGCAGGTGGCGGCAAAAACAAATACTTGGCTCTCTGATTAGGAATTCTAATTAAAAGCTCTGGTTTTCAGGCTCCATACCCCAGTGCTACGGTCGTTGGCATTCAGTAAGCATACAGTGCAAATGGAGAACAGCTATGTAAATCAGCTATGCACACCGTAAGTTTTGGGTAAAATATATGTAGTAGAAGCGTCGGAGGGTATTTACAAGGTTAAGCTAAATTTGTTTGGATACAAATAAGTAAAGTTTGATCTATTAAAGCGCAAAACGCTACCTACGGTTTTCGAATCATCAATAACCTGGCGTACTTTCCATTTCTATCGCTCCCATTCGGAAACAGAACAATCTGTTCGCTTCCAGATGTCTGTCCACTTTCGGCGTTTCATTCCAAAAGTGACCCCCCTAGAGAGAAAGCCGTGTGCGGCGTGTGGACACAAAAGAGAACCTCAAGAAAATAAAGACACACATTTACTGGCTCTTTCCCTATCTCTCTTTCCCTCTCTCAGTCTTGCTCTCATAACACTTGAATTTCGGTTCGACATGCGAAATGTCCATTTTCACCTGACAGGCTCCGAATTGATTTGTGCCGGTCTGCAATGGCGCTTAGATGTGTGTGTGTGTGGTGCGGAGGAGGAAAGGGGAAACGAGAAGGGCTGGTGACTAATGGATGCTGAAGGGAAAATAATTCGAAGGACGGGTTCGGGGTGTCAACATCAGCTGTGTGGAGTAGTGTCCCCAGATATCCCAGTGGTCATAGCCGTGGAAAATACACGAGGGCGCTTAATCGTGTATCATCATTGAAAGAGCTGGGAAATCAGAGGCGCGATGGCGGGGGGTGATAAACAACACGTATCCGAATAGGTTACACTTTTGTGCAACGGGAAATTTGGTTATTCTTTTGGGAAGCGGAAGTGGGAAAGTACAGGCTTTTTAGGTTCATTTTGGATTGTTGGCTAGCGGGCCGAAGAACTGGGGTGATGGATATATGCAAATTACGACGGAAACAAAGTATTCTAGCCTAAAATAACTAATTTTAAAAGCACTGATTATTAGGTATAAAAGCGAGTGCACGTCTCTAGCTATGGATATCTCTTTCTCTCCCCTTATTCTCAGTCTTTCCGCGCAAATAAAATTATATGTAATATACTTCTAAAAAATATCATCCTGGGAGTATCTATAAAATGACCAGGATTTACTACACGATCAGTAATAATAACTGGTTTTCTTTCCATCCATATCATACGACTAGCTACTCCCGACTTCCCCCACCAACACCTCTATCTTTACAGTACCCGCTCGGCACTTATGACCGGTTACTACCCATTCCGTCTGGGAACACAGGTAGCGATAGTACACACGTGTAGCATTCACTTTCCCCCACTCTCCAGACTGGTGTCTTCCTACACATGGAACCAACGGGTGTTCCCCTGATGTTCCCTTTCGTTCCCGAGAACCTGAGGGCGCTCGGATACAAAACATACATGGTCGGCAAATGGCATCTGGGATATTGCCGAAAGGAGCTGTTACCGTCGATGCGCGGCTTCGACTATTTTTATGGCTATTACGGGCCGCAAACTGGGTATTTTAACCACAGCGTTGGTAAGGGGATCGAATGATGCAAAAGTCTAAATTTAAATTTAGATGCATGGCGTAAAGATTTGCATCGAGTGGTTCGAGGATTGGATTTGTTCGAGGAAAAGCACCCTGGGCGCAGTGTGCCGGATTTTAGACAAAATGGTGTCTATTCTACGGTAAATTTGAAAAACTGGAAAAATGGAGGCGCTCTTTGCTAGGATCTATGATAGGAATTCATTAGGATTAAAGAATAAGAGTCTTGAAGCCGTAGTAATCTAAAGAATGCACTTTCTAAAATCATCCGCCTCGAACCGGCCGGGTACGCCATTCCGCACAAAATCTGATTTCGCTGTCCACCGATCGCTGGTACGAAAACCGTCTGGTAGCTAGTCTGGCACGGATGTACGCGTGGAAAGACCGTCCTGGCAAGAAAGTCGCTCCATCTGTCTCTCTACCCGAGAAGACAAACATCCGTTCAGAACTTATTCACCGACCGGACGATCTCGCTATTGGATGCTCATGACCCGGCTGATCCATTCTTTCTCTATCTGTCATTCCAATCCGTGCACCCACCGCTTCAGGTTCGTTCTACCCTAGGCGAGACAGACTAAAGACTGATATTTGAGGTGCCGACCGTTTATGAGAGGAACTGTTTGGCATTTAAGAAGGGGTCGGCACGGCGCATATATTGCGGTGAGTCTGGGTGGTGGCATTTTGATTGATGAGTGGTTCGGAATTGTGAGGGGAAAGATCGGTACTCAATTCGGGGAAAGGAATCGATTAATGCGGGAAAAACCCGGTGGGTGTCTTTATTTTGTGACGCGAATATCCACACATTAATGGAGTGCCATTCCAAGGAGAGTTTTTAGTGAAAATCGAGTTTCCACACGGTACCCCTCAACCTAATTTATGCAGAATTTTGCGTAGATTCCGTCCCTTTTTAAAAATTTAAAAACGAACAGATTTAAAAAGACATTAATACATCAGTGCAAAAAAAACCAAAAATTTCGAAATTCGGGCCTTTCAGGCTATTTTCGCACTTAACCGCTTTTTGACTTTGTTAATATAATCATTTCGCAGATTTTGGACATAATTTCGGCATTAGCGCAAAATTTTGCACAAGATACGCATAAAAACAGCTCAGAAATACCCCCTTAATTAATGACCCATCCTATTTTCCTGCCGCTAACCCTATAAATTATGCGCGCCACATGCAGCAGAATTTTTCAGCCATGTTAGCCGCCATGGATGAAGCAATTGGTCGTGTCGTTACACACCTGAAACAAACTGGAATGTACGATGACACGATCATCATCTTTACAAGTGATGTGAGCCCATCCGAACCCTTTTTCGAACCCATGTTTTTGTCGATAGAACGGCGGCGGAGTGGAATTCGGAGCGTCGAACTATCCGCTGCGGGGTGAAAAGGATATGCTGTGGGAAGGCGGCACACGAACAACCACATTTTTCCACGCCCCGGCCTACATTCAGGAGTTTGCCGTGCGAAAGGAGTAAGCAAAAAAAAAATAATAGATTGAAAATGAAAAAAACTTATTTAGAATTTTTCACGTGATTGACTATCACGCAACACTGCTTGGTATAGCGGGGTTGGATTTGGTATCTTACGGTAAGAATATGCAAGGGTTACGGTAACGGTTTTTTTAGGTGATGGTATCAATCAATGGAATTATATTAGAACTGGCAAAGCGCATGTGAGGCGCTATCAATTTGTTTATAACATTGCTGATCATGGGTCGGCGATAAGGTATGCAGTTTGGTGAGTTTTACTACAAAAATTTAGGGATGGCGATTTCAAGTTAATTCTTGGAAATGTTGATAAGAAATCACAATTTCCAATGGATAAAGTGAGATTGTTTCGGATATCAGGTAATTCGAATGGTGGTTTTAAAGTATTGTGGGTTTTTTAGTTGATCCGGGTGAGAATTTTGATATAGCTCATCACCATCCGAATGTTGTGAAAAGGTATCGTCGACTACATTTAGAAGAATCTTCTCTTCAGGTTACGACAAAAACTTCTCGACCTCGGTAAATTTATGCGGCGTACAGTCCGGGTGCCAACAAACCTCTGGGGCAATCCAGAACGGATGAATGGAACTTTCGGAACCGGATGGTGTGCATGAAAAACCGACCTATTTCATTTTTTCATGATCTCGACTCTCCTCATTCCTTATAGACCTATTAAACGGGTGAATAAATCATATGACAAGCTATTTACACAATCTACACGGTTTATTCGCACTGGTTCATCACATTTGGCCACCATTGTTCGGAGGGGTTGTTGGGGGGTGGAAAGACGAAATGTTGAGGGGGTGTCTACTACCGTACGATGCACATCAAAAGGGGCCATGACTCGATGGATAAATTTAAATTAAAAACAGTGTGGCAGATCATTGGGGGGGGGGAATTATTGCCATTTGAATTGATCGAGGTAAAATAATAAATATAGGAGTACGAATACACCAGGAACCTCTAAAAGTGTAATTTAGATTTTTGGTAGGTGCACTGACGATGGTGAGCTTGGAGTAGTCTCGCCTGAAATAATTTTTTAGATTTGTTTTTGAATGTAGTTCTTTGGCTATTTGACCAAGATTCACAAATCCAATGATATTTTTGATTTTTCGTAGCCTAGATTTACACATGCAGCTTTGATTTGTGCTTAAAATTGCTCACTCATCGAATCACTATTCGAATCCACTCCAGAACTATCGTTGTGACTGCTAATTGACGGCAATTGAATGCTGCCTCGCTTCTTCTTCGAAACAACAAACGTTTTCCCGAGATCATCAGTTCTAAACGAATTTTGTTGCCCCGGAAATCCGTTTGGACTCACGTAGCTGCCGGGATCTTGGGAAGAAGTAATTGGGAATTCCACGAGGCTGGTGGCTGCACATTTTTCAACGGAACGAGCGTGTAGTGAAATTGGTTTTTCACGATGCGATATTCGTGCTCCAGTTGTTCACGGTCTTTTTCTAAACAAACTGTTCCTGCTTTTTGCCATATTCTTACCATTCAGATCTCCTTCTATCAATTTATCCGCAACACTTTCATATTTTTGTAATTTTGTCATGGAGCAGTCGGTTCGTTTTATGAGAATATTCTGTAGTGCCAGATCGCTCTCGACAGATACTTCTAAATATGGCGACATAATACTGTAGAAGAAGGAACCCTACTTTCAGCTTCTATCCGGGCCATCTTGACAGCTAATTCAATCATCTCCCTCTGCTCGGGTGTAGCTGCCAGGGCTCTCATTCTTGATTCGATGCTTTTAGCTCTGAAAGGGTTTACTTCCTGATCTACCTAGTACGTTTTTTGTTTCTTTTCAAGCCACTATCTTTAGAAAACCTACGTATCATTCCCTTTCCTTAATGCCCGTTCAATTTTTCGTCGATTATCTGTCAAACCGTTCAATCGTGCTTCCTAAAAAAACACAATCATCGGATATTAATTCCAAACCAAATCTTCGACATCCTTCTGCAGCCGATCAATGCTGTCAATGGTCGTCGGCTTTGCATTCCCTTCCTTCGCCTTTTCCCACGCGGCCAATATCGCCAACTTGGAGGTACGAGACATTTCAACATCATACGCCTCTTGATTTGCCTTCAGCAAGCGTTCCCTAAAGATGCACTCTCGTTGTTTCGAGCTTTCCCCCTACCGTAATTTATTTTGTTTATCGCTGAGCGTCAAATACTGATCTTTTAATTGGCCGAACAGCGATGAAAATTGTGGTTGACGTGGTGTCTTAAAGCCAGGTTTACAAAAAAGATATACGCTTCACCGATACATTTTTGTTCTCTGACGGTCGGCGACTGCTTAAATTAGCGTTTTGATACGTTATTCGGTTTGGGTTGACGTTGGTATTCCATCGTATTGTGGTTTTCCCTGTGTCCATTTGGGCGACTACAAATTTAATAATTATGGGGTATTCCAACGATTTTACTTTGATTCGAAGAAATGGCGTGCGTCATCCGTTGGTCCAATTCTTTCTCGATTCTTGATTTTGCGTCGTTGTAGGCTTGATCAGCGGAATGCGGGCGATTTCTTGTTATCTTCAAAAAAAGCTTTAGGGGTTTATTAATCCTTTCCTTACCCGATTACTAATATTCTTTGCCCGACTTGCATATACTAATGTGTTATAAGTTTCTTCATAATGTCCACTGGCGCTTGTCACATGTGCTAAATTAAGCCAATCCGTAGAAATCATAAAAAGTACCAATCATGCAGGTTCTCGCATTACCACCCAGCGAATCCTTTAATAACCTCGTTAATTTACTATCTCGGTAGTTAACATATTTGGGTTTATTATCTAGATTTAATGCAGGTATTCAGATTAATTCCGGGCATACTTACTGGAACTTAATGAATTAATAACATTTCCAAGTGCTAGTAACGATCTGTTAATAGCCGCTCCCTCCTTTAATCTTTGGCCACGATTCTGAAAATATTGTATATTATAATCCTTTTTAAAAATTCTATCCTTACATTTGTATGCGCAGCCCTCTCGCTCCCTGCCAGATCGATCAAAAACAATTTCCCGTGTTGCGATCCGTTTTTGACAAGGGATACCTGAACCGAATTTCAATTTAAAAGAAGACCAGGGTTGAAAAACCGCTTCGCGGCTTTTCAACCCTGGCCCCGTCCAGGACCTGTGAAAGTCCTTAATTTGCATGTTTCTTCCTGAATTCTAGCAAGAAAAAAGTGAAAACGGCTCCCCTGTCCCTTTATATAGGCTCTTCCTACTTCCGGCGCATGCTAATTTCCCCTAACAAACAGGGTTTTACAAAAACCTATTTTTAATAGCGAAAACCACAATTTTTCAAAATTTTTATGTGTGTGCAGTCGATTCCGGACCATTCTAAACCTATTGTCGTTTCTTCCCTATCCGAAAAACCCTTTCCCGAGGCTGTAGGAGCGGAACATCCTAACGGAGGTGCATGCAAATATACACACACACACACACACAAACACTATTTTTTTATATATAGTATATTTAAAAGAAGATCCTGATCACCTGTAGCAGCGCATGACTCCGTGATGACGTTTTGTTTGCGTCCGTTGCTTCCTGGGTTCTACGTTGATTGCCTTCTTGTAATATTTGCATGATCTGGAGATGATGTTGGTGTTTGATGCAATAGTCAGCAAACTAACCCTATTTACATTTGGTGCTTTGACAGTGGCGAGACCAGGTACTCGGACGTTTCCTTTTTCATCTTCCATAAGTTCCAGGATACCCGAGGCGGGGTTTAACAAATCCCGGATAACTTCATTATAAACTTCCTAAAATTCTAAACTCCATATTGTCTAAAACTCCTCACCAAATACGATAATAACACTTCGCATTCATTCAAATTAATCTTCTCATACAAACTTTTCGTGAGCAACGTCATCAACCCGGGCCGTTCTTTGGTGCCAATCATTGTGTACGTTTTCCCGGCACCTGCAACATTTTTCATGCTTCAGCATGAATAATTTGGGGCAGCGAACCTGTGGCCCCATAGGCAAAGACCGTTGCATTATATCCATCGACGACACTGTCAACAAGTGGACCTGTTGTTGCTGCATGGACATCTTCCTTAAAAACATGTTTTTAGGGTTTTAAGGAAAGGGAAGCAAAGGTGAGGCGTCGGCATAGGTTAAGGGATCGGTTTTTGGAACGCCTGGGGCAAGGTTTCAGTTTTGTTGAGCGCAGACTAGTAAGTTCCGAAACTTGCATAGTCACGGAGAGCGGAAAGTGGGGAAAGGGTTATATTTTGATGAGCGGAAGATATTGAAGGCCGTAACTTGTTTCGGAGCTCAGAGAAGCTGCTCGCAATCAGAGAAGCTGCTTAGAGAAGCTGTTCAGCCTACCTGACTTGAGTTCGGGCCAAATGCGGCGTCAAAGGAGAACTGGCGTTCGTGCTGTCGATTTTGTCGTAAGATGTTGTTCTCGTATTTTTCGGGGTCGACAAGCAGAATCCGCTGGAAGAGGATGGTTTAACGGAACCCAAATACACGGATACCCCATCGAAGGCGCGAAAATCAGAATGTCTTTTACTTTCGAGGCTTCCATAACCTTAAATTTTCCGTAGGCTCAGCCAACTTAACGGACTTCGGGGAATTGTACGGTCTAACAATTCGAAATTATGGATATTTCGAAAAGAAAATAAATTATGGAGTTTTGAAATCCTGGTTGGACCGGGACCACTTTTTCAGATTTTATATTTCTGGAACAAAGTTATGCGCTAATATCTGATACCTTTTTTGCCGAACCGGAAATTAAAAAAAATGGTCCAGTACTTCATCGCCTCATACTGCAGAACAAACCTGTTTGTCGACAGGAAAGACGCACTGGAAATGTTTCCGCTCCTTCTCTTTTTCGTTCATCGGCCGCACTCGTACCACCACCTGAGATTGGATTTTTATGGCCGCGATGAAGGGCGAGTTTTTGTCACATCCCAACCCCTATCGATTTATTTACTATCTGGTATTGTCTGGCCTTAATATTGCACAGTAAAAACCACTACCTTGTCCAAGTATTGTTAGCAAACCCGTGCCAGAGATTATCTGTCCAATCTGCTATAAGATCAATCACCATCAGTTTGCATTTTGCCGAGGTTTGTACTTGACAGATAGTTCCCATTCATCTCAATGACCCCTTCTCTGCCACCATCCCACCGGATACAGAAAAATGAAAAAGAAATGATCAGTGCCGACGCTGGTCGATTTATGAGACCCCATTCCCGTCAGCATCTTTGCACCCGTCTTTCCCAAAGCTTCATCATTACTATCCCCCTACGAAGCCTTATATTGTGCTTTCTTGCACTTTCCCAGTTCCCACTTGCACTTTCTTACGTTATACCTAAACATTGTTATCGTTGTGGTTCTGAAGAGCAAAATATTGACAGCCCCTATGTCTCCGGATACTGGATTATTGTTTGTCGGTTACGCTAATAACTTTGAGCCAGACGTTCGGAAAGAGTTAGCTGCGGCCAAAACACAGTTTTTAGCCCCCGCGGCCCCACGCGGCATCAAATTAGGCTTATTATGCTCTTGACGAGACAGACAAGGCTTCATCCCCCGAGCAAATTTTTTTGCAGCCCCATCTGAGGGGAGGTGGACCCTCATCGTGGATCGCTTTCCCGAGCCCAGGGCCCTTTTGGAATTTCCGCCCCAAGTGCCAATTGCACGCGCCACTGACGAAAATGACCTTGGGCCTTGGGGCATGAGGGGTTTTGGTATGAATTTTGAGGCTAAAGACGTTCAGTGAGACGAAAAGCTAAAAGGGTCCTAAAATGCCCTGAAGAAGTCTTGCAAAATTTAGAGGAAATACGACCAAAAAGAGTTACGGTCCCTTTTTCAACACAGCTTTTTATGAACCGAAATAATCACCTGCACTCGTAGCGGATGCAAATCTTTTTTGATCTTCATAATTCTAAACCAGCAAATAGACGGATCAGAAAAGAGAGATTCCCAAAGAAAAACTTGAGATTTGTGAGAATGCGGGCCGGTTAAAAACAGGCCCACGACAAGCGCGCGGGTCGCCTAGCTGCCCGTTTGCCCCTTCCGGGAAATATTCTGTTTTCTATTTTTTGCGCTTCGTCACAGGATTTCTGCGGTTTTCGTCAACATCGACTCACTTTGAGGCTGAGCCACAAGTCTGCTCTCCTTTGTTTTCGGCGCTTAAAAATTTATGAGCGGGCATATTCTTTGAAGGAAATGGGGGGCAGCGGCCAGATTTTGAAATTGATTTGATTTTGAAATCATAAAAATTGGATGGTGAAAAATAGTGACTACAAAGCTGAAGGCGAATTGTGTGCAAAACGGGTCGTTTTGGACTGCTCATTAGGGCAAATGGGTAGTTGCGTGCGCGGTGAAAAATTGGGGGGTAAGAAAGGGTTGTGGGGGCATGGCAATTTATAGCCAACATGAAAAAATCCTCGGGCGAACCCCCTAATTTGTTGTTTGTATTTAAGAGGTATTAAGGCAAGCGGGTGTTTTGAAGGAAGCATAAGGTATGATACAAAAACTGGTGTAGTGTTAAGAGCTTGGTGATCCGTCAGCTGCACCAGCCAACAAGAAGTACTGCTGTGTTACTGCGTTTCTTTCGGTTCCGAGTGCAATTCTAAGCGGAGGTGGCCAATTTTGAGGGGGCCCCCAAAAAAGGCAGCGGAAGCGAAGAGGGGCACAAAGGCCCCCCTTATTTTTTGGGCGCTATGAGGGTGGGGCCGCGAGTGAATTGGCGCAACTTTTTGGGGGGAAAAGTCAAGCAAGTAAGAAAGCAAATCGTATATGGCGGGGGTTATTATGGGGGCTAGACACTTTCTTTAGAAGTATTGTTAAGGTGACTTTGGTTAGAGAATGGTAGCTGTTAGAAAAATCCCAAAGGTTTTTTTTTAGTTGTAACCGCTACATTCCGCAGTTTTCTTTGGAGGCAATGATTTGCATAAAGCGGCGTTATGCTAATAGATCGTACGAAAATGACGTTGTCTGAAAGCTACTATTAAATTAATACCCCAGAGCTTCCACCCTGTCAACGGATAACTGTTAATTTCCGGTCTTCTTTGAGCAGGAAATTTTTTATTATTTAGACATGAAAAAACCTCGAAACATCTAAAAGATAAAAATAGTTTTACAAAATTTTTGGGTAACGGATTTTTTTACCTTGAAACGCTTAATTTGCTACCTTTACGAGCAGCGCCTAAAGACACAACTAAGCAATACTTTCAAACCCAACCACCTTTGCATGACTTTTAACCCCATTTTCAGTCGCCCTCCAAAGTTCCGTCTGGGGAAACCCGTCTGTCAACAACGATCTTCGATCATCCCCCTCACCCACTCACCGCAAGGTTGGCAGCGTTCACCGGCGGCGATCGGTTGCGCGCCCGCGAGACGACTGTCGTAGGCATCCTAAGAACCAAGCGCTCTTTGGCCAACAGGGCTCCGGTTGGGATTAATAATGAAAATCAGGTGTTGCCAGGACCCAGAATGAGGGCCGGGGGTGGGGATTTGTTGTGCGCGTGCGTGAAGCGCGGACTGTTCTCCCTTCTCGATTCTCAGCCTTCAGAAAAACGGCTCTTTGTTGCCCAGGCACCCATATTGGGGGCGCCGGGTGGGTCCTTTGAAAGGGGCGGCGGCCAAAGTCTTACTTGGGGCGGGTTGGGTGGTCCCCTCTTTCTTTTGGGCCGCGACGCGCGGGTGCAAGCGTTGCGGTTCATGGCTGAGGGAGGGCGGATGGGACGAGGCCCAGCCCGAGGGCTATGACGTCACCTCTTTTCCAATGGGGCTGTGCTCTGCCTTATCTCGCCTACTCGGGGGCCCCCCTCCCGTTTGCCCTGTAGCATGGCCGCTCTTTGTAACTCATCTCCGGCCTCAAGCCGCCACCCTACCCGCTCTCTCTTTTAGCCCTAAAGGCACATATCCGCCACCCTCTCTTTCTCCCTCTCTCGCCACCCGATACACACCATCAATTCGGGCCTCGAAACGTCTGAATTACATGTCGTAAAGCTGTCGCGGGTAACTGTTGGCTAGTGCGGGCCGGATATCGATTGTTTTTGCAGGTTCACGGCTATCCAGCTACTTTGCATATGTTTATCGAGTAAAGTGCATCACTTTGTGCCGTAAAATAAGTAGAATTGTTTTTGCTTGGTTTTACTTTCTTTTATTGATCCGACGTCTGTTGGAGAACTTGATAATAGCAATTAACCTATTCTAGCTTAAATTAAAATCACCGGGTTTTATTGCGTAACTCAATCCGCTACAATATCGATTTTGTGAATTTCCGCCATTTTATATCTCTCATCCAAGTCCTCCTGACAAACTGCCTGAAGTTCCTAATCCTCTTTTCTCTTGGATTGAAGTTCGTAAACGCCGACCCCCCCTGCTGCCAGCCAATCCATCCCTCGTTCCACTTCCTAAACGGAAACCTGATGTTACTGAGATTAGTTTTTCAGCATTCCACTTTCTTTTTGATTTTCCCTCTCTATCTCTCACTAAATTGAAAGGAAATTTAAAGGCGCGCGAGAGTAATTAGAATTTCACCCTGAAAATTTCCCCAGCCCATCCCGCGATTCCCGGGGTTGTTTTGCGCTCCAGAACTGCATTCTCGGGGCTGACGACTCCACCTCGTTCCACCTCTCTAAATCACCGGCTCGCCGTATGAAATTACGGGGAGACCGGGGGGAGTCGGCCAGATGGAAGGGAAGAAGATGAGGCCCAGTCCAGAGGCTTCGACAGCAAGATTTTTGCGCGAGGAATTCCCTTAAAAGCGCTAGCGGCGGCTCGGCGGAGGGGAAGAAGGATCGATGGGGCAGCGCCACTTCGCGGCGACGTCCGCCCAAGCGCTTAGAGCTGCTGGATGTGAATTGGCCAGGCCCTAGGGGGAAGGGACGAGGGGAGGAAGAGCCTGGACACGGAACTGGATTTTTGCTTGGAGTTGATAGGTTTTTTTTCTCCATTATCCTGGAGCATCCGGACGAGCTCCATGCTGTGCTTTTTCATTGATACCTGTAATTTTTGCAAATATCTCTGCCGTACAGGTTTTTTCACTTATCATTTCTCAAATAAAAGTTGTAATGATGATTGCCATGATTTTCCATGACTCTCAAATCAATAAAAACACCCTACCTATTTTTCTGAAACGGAAACACCTAAATTCCCCTCCGCCTGCTCCTCATTTCCGGCACAATATCCCATATATCATCATTTCATCCCCAAAAATCCCTCCACTTCTCACCATGATCACGCCTGGTGGGAAACCGATGATAATCGGCTTGCCGTCCCACAAGACGCCTGCACCCGCTTATCGATTTCCGGCCAAAAAACCCGGGGGTTTTCGAGTCTGGACTAGAGCGCTCACCCACCATCCGATATCCCTCTCCAGCTCACGTGAGCCCCCTCTTCTTTTCTAATTGAACATTTAATCCGGTTTGTTGCTCTCCATGTGGTTCGAAGCTCTTTTTTCATCCGAGCTTGGTATCCGAACCCTCCGACACTTGAAGTCTTTGAACTTACAACGTGAACATTTTGCCTCCCATCCGTCCCCTCCCCATTCCTCAAAAGCTCTCCCATTTTTTTTCTGCCGGCTCGTTTGCTTGGTGTTCGCGGCTGTGGAGGTTGGAAATGTAAACTTTGAAGGGGCACGAATTATCCGGGTCCCATCCCGCCCTTCAGCCCTCATATTTGCTCGACTTGCAGCAGGAGGTCGTCGTCCGGCGATTTCTGCTTTCAACCCTTGCAAGAATTATTGGCTTTTGCGAAAACATTTTTTTGGATGCGAAAGGCGGTGGAGGGGCTGGGGGAAAGGAGGGAATGTGCTGTGTTGGACACGATCTCTGCCCGGACTTTAAACTCTTCCAACTGGGCATTTGAATCGACCAAGAGGTGGACTCTCCCCCAGGCTTGGCTAGGAATAGGAATCACCTAGCACCTTTGGGAAAGGGGAACAATATCCGGTGGGAACTGGGTGTGGGGGTGATTGTTTGAGAAAGTATTTTTTGCCGGAAATGTGGTTTGCGGGACCTGGAGGGCGGTTTGGGCTATCACATATCGATTTCTCATCGGCCACACACACTTTGGGCGATCACCAAGCCTCGTTTACACTTTTGCGACTCATGTTGTGTGTCGAGCAGCCCTCTTTCTCTCCAAGTCGCGGTTAGTTCGTTCCGGAAACGGCACATCAAAAATTGGAGAGATTCGATGAAAGGCGAGACTCGCGCATTATAGAAGAGGAGCTGTGTGCTGCGTAATAGAAACTAGAGAAAACACTCTCACCCCTTTTTTTGAAACTTGGCGGTATTACCATTCACTTGAAGTTTCAGCGCGTCTGGCGACATTACCAATTAAGATCCACATTTCCATTAAGATTCAGCCATCCTAAAACACCTGCTTTCAATGAGCTCGGTCTCAATTCTTCGTTATTTTTCTTAACCACAGATTTTCTCTAAAATATTCATCTTCAATCCCCCAGCCACATTGCGTGGCTCAAATTTTTGTATCCGGGCTCCCATGACTCGTCACATTCTATGCCTTTTCACTGGTCTGGGGGAACGTTCCGGGAATATATATTATTCCCTCCCAGTTCGCGTTGAGCCCTCACCGCCGAATTTTTTCTGTTTTCGGTTCTCAGGGAGAAAATGGTCGTCTTCCGGTCATTATTCGGCCCGGCGAAGAAAAAGGCGGCGCGGCTTTTTCCGGGGCGTCGCCGCCATTATTCCAATCTGCATTCCGGGTCGTTTTTCGAAGAGATCATGTTTGTTGATGAATGTGTCTCGGGGGGTTGACACGGCCATGTGTTTCAAAAATTCTCCGGGTTTTTAGGGGGGGTCTGTGAGGCCTGGATAGGACACGAATGCGGGGACAGATGGACGGGAAGGACGGGGTTTCCGGAATTCGATTACGGCCATCAACGGGATTGTTTTGAGAAATAGGGCGCTGAGGGTTCGAGATGGAGGGGAAGAGGAGGAGGAGGAGGAGGGGGAGAGGACAGGGGTATTTTTATGCAAAGCTCTTGGGGGATTGGACCAAGGAGGTAAGGGGGGAAGAGGACTCGCGAAGGGCCAATGTCAGTTGTCCCCCTCAGCTGGGGAAGCTGATTGGGGGAGGAGGTTGCCTGTGCTTGTCTGAGATATATTAAGAACGGCTGTCCTGATTAGTTTCTAGTGATCATGCTTGCTTAGCAAAATCACGCAGGAATACTGTTTGGTTTTAGGGTTATTGGGATACACACATTAATATTACATCTCCGCTTAATTTACGATTTATTGATTTTTTCGTTCCTTTTTGATTCGCGGACTGTTTTTTTTGACTCCTGGTGGTTGATTTTTCATCCAAAACACATAGACACGGCTGGCAGCATGCCAGAAAACCAGTTCTAAATCGTTTTTCTCTCGTACTCAACACCGGATGCAAACATTTGGTCACAATTATGTACCATCACCTTTGTCATTGTTTATCCTATATCTTAATGCCCCTTTTTTCAAAATATCTTTATACCCGTCTAACACTTCTTTGAGATATCCAAAGAAACCCTTTTACATCACCTAGTCACGCGTTAGGTTTCTCCAGGAGACCCGCAAAACCATTCCCGTGCCATCCCCTCTACTAGCCTCCTTTTCGGAAAAAAAGGGACTCCCTGCCACACCGGAAATTACCCACGTTTGACAACGGAGAACAATCCACCTCCTCCCCTCGCCTTCACACACCCTGTCAGCAACCCACGAGATTAGATGCCCCTGCCACTTTCGATTTGCAATCGCTCATTTCGAAATGCCACCCCGGATTTCCTTAATCTCCGAATTGGGCGAAATTTATGGAAAAAATACATAGCGGTGATTGCAGCAGGGAAGCCGGATGCTTTGCCATTCGTCTATCCACTAATCCAAATCTACTCTCTTTTTGTTCAATGCCCAATAATGAATGGCCCACTTTAGGGGAAAAAGGCGGGGGGGGGGAATGAAGAAAAAAATGATAAAAGGCCGTTAGGGCGTAATCGGGGGATTATATCCGTATTTTTCGAACCGGTGTAAAGTTTTTTTTGCTTCTATGGGTTTAAATAAAAATTTGGGCCTTTATTGATTTTTCTAGTATTTTTGGGATTATGTTATTGAACGTGAAAAAAATATTTCAAGCAAACGTGAACGTACGTGCGTGTAGCAAACTATCTAAATCTAAAAAGAATGTTTGTACGTGTTTTATTTGCGTGCACATTTTCGTGGGGTTGTTCCGAACCTGGAGTATCAGGAAAATATGTTTTAGAACGGCAATCAACCTTATTAGCTGGTTAAACGGCCGAGACCGACTGCCCATAAATCAGACTTTTATAAAACGATTACTATATCTATTAAAATTAGACTTTCCTAAAAATCTCGGCCACGCGCGCAACTCTGTTCAACATTGGCCCAATAAAAAACCCGAATACGCTTTCCAAACCACTAAACTTTCCGTTTGTCGTTATTCACAATTATTTGCCGCCATGCTGATGACGTAGCTGTGTGGGGTTCGGGCGCGCGTGCGCGTGGTCAAACGTTTGGTGAGTGACCCGAGAAGGCCTTCGGCTTCTTCTGCTCCTCCTAGGACCCCACAACCCTTGCATACCCCGTTCTCGCTTCGTCGACCCCCCGCTCGACTGCGAATTCCGTCAAGCTGTCTGTTTTTCAACGTTTCCATCCCTTCTCCAACCCCTTCCCCGACTCCCCCCGTTGCACCGAATTTTTCTTGAATGCATCCCCCCATCCACCCCCGGGGGCCCTCCTTGCTCCGTCTCAGCCAAAAAGGCCCTCCCCGAAATTTTGTTAGGCAGCTTCTCCTCCATCCCCCTCCTCCGGCTCAACGGCGCGTTCTCCACTTGACCGCGCAAGGGAATCAACACCTTCCGCAGAGGGATTCTTTCTACATTTTTTCATCGATTTTTGAAAACCGGCTGTATATTAGTATTTTGACGCGAAAAGGGAGGAACTCCAAACCCTTATCATCACATTACGAAGCTGGCTTTTTAAGCCCTACGTCACGCCCTGTTCCGTTCCGCACCAGTGCATTTTTCATGGCGTATCGACACAATTTTACGCGATCACTTTTTATATTCTTCAAATTTGACCGTCTGCTCGTTGCATTCACTCGGCCGTTCAATAGGGGCCAATAAATCGGTCAGAGCCCGACCGGCATTTCAACGAGCCAATTTTAGGCCAGCAGTGGTGGCTAATAAAATTTGCATTTTGGTCTGGTCGCTTGGAGGAGAGGGGAGGGTCCTAAGGGGTCGCTGCAGAGGGCCAATTTCGGGTATTCCGGTTAGATCGCATAATTTTGGGGTGAATTGAAGGAAGGGCAATTGGGAAGAGCAATAAGGAGAATCATCATTTTTGAGGTATTAGCTTCGGGGGGGACCCAGAAGGACAGTAAGTGCGCTTATCCTTGATATTTGACCTTTAATACTTTTCAAAGTGTCAAAATCCACAGTTTGGACTCCATAAGTTAATTATCTTCCCCTCCAACACCTCGCGCTCGGATTTCCCCAGATTTTCACCGGCGAAATCCCAGGAAATTTTTTTTAACCCAGTGTTTCCGAGCCATTCTCGCCTCTTGGACTAGAGATAAGACGGCTTTCCCCGGATTATTGCCGGCGGCGTCACACGAAATAGCTCGGGTTCTGCTCTCCTCCCCCGGTTGGGCCATACTCTCCCCCTCATTGGGCCCCCATTTCCCATTTGCAGTCAATGCTCTCAACTCCGTCACACAGCAATTAATACCAAGCGGCGCATCCGTCTTTCTCAAAATCCCTGGGCCAATTTCCGTGGCTGCTCGCCAATTATCGCACCTGTAAATTATCTAGCAACGCCTCTAGCTCGACACTGAATTTCCGGTAATTTGAGTTGACAATCTGCTGCTCCAGTGTGAAAATCCTTTTGGAGATCCCAGCAGTCAGGAACTAATATTACTTTGAACCCGCCCATTTTCTTAGATCCCTTTATTGTTTCAATGTTTCGCAGGTTTCTTCAAAATATAATCACACCCTCTACCTCTCCTATTTTATTCCACCCCACCCCGTTCTCTGCTGCATGAATTCTAAGCCGCCAATCTTTCAGCCCGAGACAACCGGCAATTTCACCCGCCGGAAGGGTGGTCATTTTAAAAACAGAGCCGCTGGCCATTTCATTTTGCCGAGGATTTCCATTTTGATGTCTTCTTTTGCTTCCGTTCGTTGACGGTTCTTTGTAACAAAAGACATTTTCAGTTTGCCGCAAACTCCTGCTGGGATGCCGGGCGGGAACGAAGAAGCCCAACTCGCTCAGTGCCAAGCCTACGTACAGCGGCACAATATACAGCAGCTAGTCAAGGTTTGTTGGAGTGGGAGGGGGATTGTGTTTCAGTCAAAATATTCATGGTGAATGGAAGTTGAATCATTTCCGGCGGGGTAGAAGAGGTGTATCATCGTATTTTCGGGGGTGAGACCGGTTTATTGGAATTTGACGTAGTGATATGGCCATAGTATCATTGTTCTTATTTTAGCGATAGTAAACGCCTACAATTAAGGTAGACGCGTAAGATAAGGCTGTTATAAAGGAATAGAAGGATAAAAACTCGAATAAGCAGCACAACTTAACGTGAAAAAATTTCTAGCTTGTTAAAATCTTAATTTTCAGGATGCCATCGTTGCCCTCTGCATTCACAAACCGGAAAACCCAGTGCTCTTCCTCAAAGACCACTTCGACAAGCTAAACGAACAGCGCTCGCAGGTTGGTATCTTCTTTTACATTTTCGTAACCCCATATCACAATCCCTACGTCATTTTTGGCTCAACCCGAAGTACCCATCTCTAGAGACCACAAAACGACTACATTTCCGTGTGAAATGTTTGCCCAGCCCTTCGCTTCTGAATTTCCCCTCCAAAGAAACGTTTTGTCTTCTTCTTCTTCTTCTTCTTCTTGCCTTCCCCGCTGGCATTGCACTCCCCCAACAACTCGCGCTGCCCCCGCTCTAAAAGGCAGCCCCAGCAATTCCGAAACTAAACCCCGTTTCACGACCGCATCAGCCCGGGCCTGGCACACCCAGCGATTTTTCCACCCTTCCCGGCCTGCTGTTCAGATTCTGCCCATAGAAATTCAGCTGTCCCCCTCTCGGTCTGCCTAGGGGGTCGCTCCAGCGGATTCAATCGAATTACATATTCGGTCGGCCAGCGGAAAAAAACCGTGGGGAAGGATCGATCTCAAAACACGTCGTCGCGGGTTTTGCGCTGTGTCGGCTGGAAAACGGCTAATATTTTTGCGGTCCAATCATATTCGCCCGGCGCGTATTCATCCATCTTTCGAACGAGGTGGAAGAGAAGCGGACAGGCTTTTTCTGGTCTAAAATCCGTGCCCAAGGCCTGCTAGGCAGCTGATGGTGGTTATGTATCAACGGTATATAGCTGTAAGCCATTTTTTTCATTCTTTTGCCTTTTCTCTGGACATTCTGAATGTTGCAGAAGCCCTTGGCTCGCTCCTAAAGTTAAGTAGATTTGTCTTTGATAGCCCATGCGTGTAAAGGTCTGGGAATTGGATTTCCTGTGCCAGGCAAAGCAGCAGTCGTTGATTGTGTACTTATTTATAACTACTGGCGACCGAATGGTGTTATTTGGGGGAAAAAGTTAAGTGAAGGCTTTTGAAAAATGCTTTCCACATTAGAATGGTTGTTCTCTACAAATTCTTAATCGCATTATTCATTCTAAGAAGCTACTTATGAATTTACAAAGTTTTTTGGATACCTGCTGTTGTAGAAATGATAAATATTATGTTTGATCTTAAAGTTACTTTCACTCTGGCCCAGGCGACTTGAAATAGCTCCCTGTTCTTGCCTTTTATTGCGGCGAAATCCATCGCTTCACCTTCTCCCATTTTTCGGAATGACGGACGCGAACCAGCGTAGATCAACAGCTTCCCTGGTATCTTGAAGAAGCTCTTCAGGATCGTAGGAGACATTGCATCCCCTCCCCTTCCCCCCGCATCCAGAAGACGACGACGGCACACTGGGACGGGTGTTGAGGGGCTCATTAGGCGGTGTGTGTGATTGTGGCGTGGGGAGGCCGTGTGTGGGTTTCGAGAAAGCTTGGGCTTTGGAAAGAGGCTTCAGGGTTAAGGGGAGGTCCTCGGGGTGGGTCCGGCTGAGCCCCAGGGGCTGAGGCCGAGCATTTGGGCTTTAGGGAGGAGGAGGAGGATGAGGAGGAGAAGAAACAGAGGCCAGCCAGATGACGAGAAAGAATGGAAAGAGTGGTGAAATGGAGAGGGATAGGGGGTCAGCCATGGGGTGTCGATGGAGAAGGGGCGGTAGAGGGGGAGGGGCAGCCAGCGCGTGATGTATGGCCAAAGCCCTCGCTCCCCTCTATAGCCACGACCAGGCCAGGGACGACGCTTGCGACTCTGAAACCGTTCCCCCCCATCATCTAATACCATTTATTCTCATGAATTGCTCCTGATGCGAAAAAATGGGCCAACGACTTACTAGAAGACGCCAACAGCAGCAGCAGCCGGCCCCGGAACAGGGGCCCCCACCCCCTGAGCCCGCCGCTGCCCCGGCTCCTAAAAAGCCGCTCCAGGTGCGCACCTTCCCCCCATCTTCAGATTCATGCAAAAAATATTCCCTTCCCCAGCCCCCCCTCATCTCCCTCTTTAATCCCCCTTCTGTGCCCTCCATCCACCGGGTCCCTCTGCTCCTCGTTCTCCAAATTGATTCCGCTGCGCAATTCTCCACATGCTCCCGTTTCTTTGCCCGATAAGCCCTAACATTATCCGGCCTAGCAATCGCTGTTTCTACCTATGGATAGCGGTAGGTCTTGGCGGGGGTCGTGGGGTCTTATTTTTAGGCTGTATTATTTTACGAATCTCGTTTCCTGAGGCTTGCCTGGTCTTTTTGAACCTGAAAAGCTGATGCTCATTTTTTGGACCGGGCAAGCCGTTCCCCACATGCCTCTCAGGAGAAGTATTAGGTTTCACTTTCGTTTTCTCGATTGTTTGTCCAGGAAGCAAGTAATCTTTTGACTTTTCTGGTAGAACTACTATAGAAATTTCCATCGGCGTCTCGGATCAATGGCGTCGCTTCGGTAATCAATGCTTTCCAATTTCTCGCTACCGGTTTATCGCAGCTGCAATAGGCAGTGGTGCCCCTTGTTGTGTGTGTGTCTGTCTGTGTGTGTATGTTCCCCTTCCCCCTTATTTCCTCTACTCAACCTCGGTATCCGCTGCACATGTTCACCCCGACCGATTTGAACCACATGTGCACGGGGAGGGGCGAAAAAATCAATCCTTCAAAAGGCATTTCCGGAAATGCCGGTTTATCCCGCCGCGGCTTTGCTGTCCCCCCGTCGACAAGCCAATTCATCAGAATCCCCCATCTCATCAACGAGTCCCACTCTCTTTCGATCCCCGCCCAAGGCTTTTTGGCTGAATGCCTGCAAAAAATTTGCCACGACGAGCGCGTTGTGTGCCCTTTTCTACCCATCCACACACAAGAGGGGGCCACCACGTTGATGGATTGGATTGTTGGCATTCATAGGAGGGATCTAAAGAGGGTTCGCCACCCACAATTCCGTCCCATCCGAGCCCCCCATTTACACACACACATGGTCGAATCAATGTGTCGGTTGAGAGTCAGGGAAGAGCGGAGGCGCGCGCGGCGCGTGGTTCGGAATGGCTGGCCAAAATCAAAATGCGCATAAATACGGGCGGACGGGCGGGAGGGGCGGCGAGCGGCCCATCAGACCCAGGCACGGATTTGGGAACCGAGTGACTTTGTAAGGGGGCACAAAGCGTGTGAGTTGCGGCTGAACGATGGAATTTGAATAAGCGGAACCGGGCTGCGTGGGCTAGTCGATTGTCCCAGGGTATAAAGTTGATTGCGACCAGTGCAAAGGGCAGCAGCGGCGAGGGGTTGAGGGTAGGAAGGGAGCATGGGGCTGGTCTTCCAGCCGCTAAAAAGTTGGGTTGGCGCGCTCAATTTAAGGGTAATGAGGTGGAAAATGGGGGGTTTTGGAGGAGTAGCTGATGATGTATTTGGGCAGTTTTGGGTGCGGGCTGGGAGCAACAAGATGCCTGATTGTGAGGTTGATTTTAATTGCTATACTTTTTAAAGCTTTTTTTAAGTTTTGATATATCTTCAGGTAATCCCGAGGATTTAAAGGTTTGATAAAAACCTATTACCCGTTCTTAACACAACTCTAATTGATATTACAGCTCATTTTTTACTTAAGAAAGCTTTCACGGTCAAATTTTTTGCTAAGTATTTGTTTTCGCGGTGTTTTTAGCGCCATGCTATCTTAAAACATTAGGAACATCGCTTTGCCTTTCTCCCCTCCAAAAACCCATTGTGAAATCATCGACAGCCCTCCTATACCCCCCACTGACCCTAATGACCGGCACCGATCAAAGTCGACTACGTCATTGGACCTCCACTAGCCCCCTCAGGACCCCCCTAGGAAGCGTCAGTCCCACTCCTTTGCACAGCCACAAGCCATCCCAGATGTGTGACGGCAGTCGAGTCTTGCTCCACCGGGGTCATGCAACCGAAAAGCCCCCCAAACACAAGTGGCCGGTTAGGGGGGGGCCTTGCCCGGAAAAAATGCTGCAGTCGCCCGGTTCGACGACGCATTACTTTGTTTTCCTGTGGCAGCACACCTCCCAATTGACCGACGGAGGGCCCAAGGATGAACCAGCTGTCTTCCGTTCCGCCCCGATCGACTCAACCCATCGGGAACGTTTTCCCTCACCTTGTCATACTCCCACATCTACCCACTTCACTTCCTCTTCAAGGCCTCAGACGGTTTTCGTTGGGGGTTTGGATTGCTTGGATAGATGACGCCGATTGTTCCGTTGGTGGGGTTTTAGGTTGTTGGGGTGAAGCGTATTGAATGGTTGATTTAAATCGAGACTTTTTAATCTGAAACCCATTCTTACACCGAGGCAAAAGGCAGCTTGTTTGTTACAAACTAACCGCAACACTCAAACCCATTCCAAACCCACCGCCAGCGCCACCCCGTTAATCTACACCCCACACGCCGCCACAACCAAATACCCTTTCAACAAGCACCTCCTTTCCTTTCAGCATACCCAATGGACCTCTTGACAGGCGAATCATTCATTCCCACCGCCCCGTGCCCCATTCGCCCCTGCCGCAAATGTGTTTTCCCGCCCTAGCTAACCCTTTTCGAGTCCGGAGACGCGACCGGGATCGGCGGCCTGGAGCCGGAATTGATTTCCCTTAGCAAAGGCCACTTTCCTCCTCCTCTACCCACACTCTCCCCATTCTCCACAACATAAACCCCCCCCTAGTTCCGAAAAAACGCCAAACCACCCCTTGCGGGAATCGATTAAGTCAGGGGCCCGGCAATTAAACAGGAAAACGGTGCATAGCAGCGTTTACTCTTTTGTTTTTAGGAGGCTGGCAAGCAGGAGAACAATGACGAAGACGAGGTCATGGATGAGGCCCCGAAACCAGCGGCTCGTGGCAGAAGACCCGGTGTCTCTGCTGAAGTCATGCAGCCTGATCAGGAGGAAAATTATGAAAAGGTAATCGGGCTTTAAGGTTCTGTTTTCGTTCGTCAAAAGCGTTTCGTGAATTTTCGACGTTACCCAACGGATGATTCTCCCGAATCACGCGTTTCGCTTCGGCAAGCCCGAGCCAAAATATTTTGCGAGCAACGCGAAAACTCTTGAATCAGCGCCTCGGCGTGCATGCGAAAACGGTTTTAGAGGATTGTACATTCGAGAAATGTTAGAATGAAGCGAAATTTATAAAAAAGGAGCAGATTCAGATTGTGATACCGAAAGATGAAGCAACGCGCCAATCGCTCGAGTCGATCCTCAAGAAGAATTTGTTGTTCAGACATTTGGATGAGGAGGAGAGCAAGGTGGAGGGATTTATAAAGATTGATAATGTTTATTTAGACGATGTTCGATGCTATGTTCCCAGTCGAAAAGAAGGCCGGTGACACAATTATTGAGCAGGGGGAAGATGGAGATAACTTCTACGTCATCGACAAGGGAGTAAGTGGCTTTCAAATCGAAGATTTCTCCAGAAAACTATCGCTACGTCACGCCAATCTATTTTTACTATGTTCAGGAAGTTGACGTCTACGTGAACAACGAGCACGTGCTCTCGATTGGTGATGGTGGTTCATTTGGAGAATTGGCCCTTATTTATGGAACTCCCCGGGCAGCCACCGTCAAGGCGAAGGTAATTTGCGGCGTCCGAGAGTCTAAGAAAATTCTTCTTTTAGTCTGACGTCTTCCTGTGGGCCATCGACCGAATCTCGTACCGCCGAATTCTTATGGGATCGACGATCAAGAAGCGCAAGCGATATGACGAGTTCTTGTCGAAGGTTCAGATCCTTGGTTAGTTTTTCATTTTTGTTGCGGAACCAGAAACCGCAAACACTTTCTGTAACGCGTTAAATGCCCCCTTTAGCTGACTTGGACAAGTGGGAGCGCGCCAACGTTGCTGACGCCCTCGAGACGTGCAACTTCGAGCCGGGAGCGCATGTTGTTGAACAAGGGCATCCTGGAGACGAATTCTTCATTATCGCTGAGGGCGAGGCTAATGTGCTTCAAAAGCGAAGTGATGATGCGCCGTTTGAGGTTGTAGGTCATCTCGGACCTTCTGATTACTTCGGTGGGTATTTTGATAGCTACATTTACGGTCAATTAACCACCAAAATACGTCTCATTAATGCATAATTTTAGGTGAGATTGCCCTCCTGCTCGATCGGCCGCGAGCCGCCACCGTCGTCGCCAAGACGCCGCTAAAATGCGTGAAGCTAGACCGGGCGCGGTTTGAGCGGGTTATGGGACCGGTACGCGAGATCCTGAAACGGGACGTCTCCAACTACAACTCCTACGTGAAGCTGATGACATAAAATGCCCCCAACCGCATTACTTCAGCTCGGCATAGATGAGCGTCCCTCCTATATATGTGTTTATTATCCCCCGAAAGACCCTATCTATCCATAACCCCTCATTTGCTCGCTCATCTATCCAGCACCACCACAGCAGCACCCTCTAGTACCTATTCTTGCCCGTTTAGTCAACCCAACACACACACACACCCTACCCAGCGCGAGTACACTTTTTTGTTTTGTTCCTTAACGTTATCCGGCGCTCTTTGTAAGGAGGAGCTTTGCCCGGAAGACAGCAGCCGCCAAATGCCCCCCACCCTAAAATAGTCTTGAAATAAGTTATTGTGCACTCTTGTACATGCCTATTCCGACTCATACACGCTCTCCTTTAGAGTAGCTTTATAAAATTTATAAAATTCAAAACCCTCCACCGTTTTGTCCACGAAAAATGGTAGTGTATCGAATTCTTCTCATCTTGATCGCCATTGAAATTGTCTCGGATATATTTGTCTTTGTTTTGCAAAATGTCGGCCCCTACCCCCCGCGCGCTTATGCACTAGTCATATGTGGCCCATTTTACATCTAGCCAAAAAAACGGTGGTCCACCATCTCCCCCATAAATTCTATTGTTGCCCTCTCCCGTAATGGGGTACCCCGGTTCATACCCAAATTTGCAGACCCATGTAGTAACCGTCGTCTCATCACCCCCAGCAGAACTCCCCCGTATAATATTTTCCTTATAGTAATTTTCAAAGAACCGATACTCGGGCGCCAAAAACCCCCCATTGGTCTGTTTCCAGGTGTGGAATATGGATTGGTCGAGTCATCCCTCCCTCTTTTTGAAGCGATCGGCTTTTCCCCCTTCTTAGCAGATTTCTAAAGCTATTCTTACGATATATTCCCCCATTTTATCGTGTGTGAATTGCCCGTGTTAATGACCCCAGTTGCCACCCTCAGCCCCTTTATATACACCACCAGTCTCATCCCCTCTCCTACTCCCCTGCACGCCGTAAACGTTTAGCTTTATTCGGAACAAAAAAAACATTCTATATTGATATAATTCGAATAAATAAATGTTGGGAATGTGTGCGTCGGGCAATTTTATACATCACACTCATAAAGCTAGTTACCTCGTATCGTTTGGTTAGTTGGTTGCGGGAGATATAGAAATATACCGAAATGGTGATTTGTAATATGGAAATGTAAATGCAGATGGGCACGTTTAGGGGTATCTTAGATATATAAATAATATTCACACGTAGGATTCATTTCCGTAGTAGATGGCGGCGAGGATTGTATCCTTCCGCCGCACGAACAGTTTTCCTTTTGACCATGGTGGCTGAAGCCGTAAAACTGGGTGGTCTTCCTATATAAATTGCATTAATTTCAAAATTATGCAAATTCGATACCTTTAATCGTTTTTCTTTCGCCCCCACAACCGATGCAAGACAAAAATCATTCGCATCCGGCAGATCCACGTCATCAAGCCTCTTGACTTTTGCAGCCGCCTAAATGATTTAACGTCATCCATGCACGCTAGTCCCAGAATAATCATTATTTAGCACCACCTTGGCTAATTGCTCCACGACGTAGGAGACGACTTCCATGCTAGTCGTGTTTGGAGAAATTGACAATCGAACTGATGTCCCTTCCGGCAAGCCACAGTCATAGGCTGCGAAGATTTTGATGTGGCAACTTGATGGGATGTGCTAAAATAAACTACACAATAAATTTCCAAACTCATTCCACAACCTTTCTCGAGTCTAGTGAGTGAGAGCCTGGGGAGCCCGGCACTTTACAAACGGTGCTTGAGGTGACTGGCTGGATGGTTGATGGGCGATTTCGGGAAAGTTGTAGTGGTTCGATATCGAGAATTTTTGCCCCAATTCTAGGGGATCCAGCATGAGACTGTGGGCGAACACGAGCAACGGGTCGATCACAATCCGTTTTGTCGGTGCTCTATAATAATTTTCAATTTCCAACCTTGATTTGCGCCCCTAACCTGATCACTATGATACCCAACATCAGCCACATCTTCACTTGATCCAGCATGTAGAGGTGCCATCAAGCGACACAACGGCACGGCCATATGTGTACTATTCTTGTCCCTAGCCGTTGACGCGATTCGACTAATCCATCGCGCATTCTTCCACACATCCTCCAATGATTTCTAAACACTGACCTTGTCAAGGTGTCTCAAACTACATCATTTACTACAAGGTATGGCTGGGTACATTTTTTAATCGCTTTACTCTTGTGGAGAGAGAAATGGCAAATGTCGGCAAAAAGTTGGAGGTTCTATGGATGATCAGGAAATGGGATTAAGTGACTCCGAGATTTCGGGCGAACACCAACTACGGATGCTATTGGAAATGAATGAATGGTGCTCTGGCTGGAAAGGGGTTTCCTGACCTGAAACCGGCAAGGACTTCGTATTGCTTTTGGTAGACTTTTGCGTCGTTTTCAAGCATGCTTTTTCGTTGCTCATGTTGGCTGATCTAAAAGAAGAAATAGTAAATAATAAAATATAGATTGGGCCTACCATCATAAAATATTCAACAAATATCGAAAGTCGACAGTAGAGGGCCAAAAACTCGGGTTGATAAGTTCCCAAATGAGCTAAAAAAATATGTATACAAAAATTTAATAATACCAATTTCAAAAACCGGAATCGGCAGGCTGTAGCAGCCCCGTCGGGATTCGACAAATTCACCATGCCCTGGAGAGCCCGTGGGAGCAGCGCAGACTTCTTCCGGTTTTGGGAGCAACTAAAAAGAATCATGATTTTTGGTAGAGGACTCACTAAAATAATAGAGACATCAGCATGCGGCTGCAAAACTTCAGCCCGATACAATCGATGCCCGGGCACCAAATCCGGATCCACATCCAGATCTTGCAATAATGCGTTGGATGCATTGCATAATTGGCTGTGCATTGTTTTTTGGAACTCGCTTGGGTCGATGGCTTCGTTTTGATCGATTGCCTGAACAAAAAATATGATAATTTAAGAGCGGTATATACCTTTATCCAATTCCATTCTTCTTCCGTCACATGTGGATTGTCGCGTACTTTTACGAATGGTAGTACGGTAGGTAGCGAATCAGGGACGACCACTCTGGCGCAATTTATCGCCGATTGTAGTTTTAAATATCCGAGGTAAAGTCCACTACAATAATAAATCCTTAGAATGTGGTCAGCTAAACATACCGCTTCAAAGAGATTTGGCAGGCTTCAAAAAAATTCATGACGGTGACGATGTTTTTGTTTAGGGCATCGAGTGCTGTACAGGGCGTCTTCTTTCGAAGCAGCTTATCAAAAGACATCCATCGTAGAGTTAATGCCTAATATTTGAAGGAATATAGATACAAGATTCCATAGCTTACTTGGACATAAGACATATCCGTAACGAATCGGACAGTTACCAAGAATATGCAATTTTCATGCACTATTGGTTGCTGATAGAGCCGGCCGATATCTTTTAGCCCAAGCGCACTGTGCATGGATTGTGCAGCCGCAATGAGTTTGGCTCGGAAGCTAAAAAAGGGCATAACTCGGTTTTTAATGAGTTACATACTTCAACGAATTTGTGTTTGAATAGGCATTTTGGTTATAATCAAGTAAAACTGGCAGCTGATCCCAACACACCGAAAGCTTCATCAACCAATGGAAATCGTCCTAAAATTCTTCTTATTTAGTAAAGACCAAGGTGGCCTTACTCGATTCACAGTTGTGATGCTTTCATCCACTTCAATAATTGGTAAACAATCATCTACAGTGCATGCCAGTTTTCCTTCCGTATAAATAATAGTCGCCAAGTAACAACCCCTAAATTTGAGAACATTAAGTTTTACAGCTTCTGTTTACCTCTGCAAGTTTTTAGAAAATTTAGAGCTTGCTGTGAAGAGCTCTTTTAGGCCGGTTCGTCGTTTCTTGCCATTGGCATCGTTGCTCGGGAATACTGTAAACATACATTTTAGTCCCCATTTTTGGAGCTTTACCTCTTTGCCAAACCAATGAATTCCTATGTTTATCAATTTGATCGCTGATGGCTGATATTGAAGCCATGTGTTCATGACGACCGTCTTTTGGACCCTCCACATCTTCCCAACCTGCATAATTCATTCATCACCATTAATTTTTAATGGTACTTACTTGAAAGCATCACAACAGCTGGATTCGCTGAAACGGGCGGGCCATACCCAAAAATATTCCCCGCTGAGACCCGAAAACTCAATTTTGTTCCTAGACCGAATATTTATCGATGGAGCAACCAAACCTTTTTCTAAATTTCCAATCTTGACAGGCAGTTTTGTCATATTTGTCTCTTCCCAGCTGTCGATATGCCCGTCAAAGGCCGGAGAAGCGCACCATTCAACTAAAGGAGGATGTATATCGAGAAAGTTTTCATACCTTTATATTTTACAATAGCGGTCTCAAAGTTGGAGGGTGCATGGAAGTATACGGTAACTTCGTAAGGCCCGGTTACTTGCGCCTTGAGAGCTTGATTTTTATATGGAACAGGTGGGATTACCTCGACATCCTCGGCGGGTCCAGGGAGTACTTCTGCTCCGACGTGGTGTCCCATTTTATGGAGAAGCTCACAGTGGACTGTCAGGAGTTTGAGTTGCTTGTCGGTATCCTGGACCATTCAGAATTATTGTTAAAAATTGGTTTTGATTTTTGCGCTGTTTGCTTTCAAGATCTATCTCGCCTCGCGCAGCATGATTTATTGCTTGGGTTATTTTCATTTTCTTATTGGTAACTTTTTCGATTTTATTATTCAGATCATTTTAAGAAAGTGATAAATATTATAGTTTAATAAATAATAGATTGAAATGGTTCCTAAGAAAGTGATAGATATTATAGTTTAATAAATAATAGATTGAAATGGTTCCTTTTTAAAAACTGACCTTCGAAGGTGGTCCCGCCCGAAGCGCACTCATCCTGCCTTTCGTACTATCAACAGCTTCCTTTACGGCTTCACTGCGTTTGGCAAAGGAGTTCACTGAAAATCGGGGCTTCATATAAGGTTCATCTAAGACTCCAAATTTGCCACCCACCCCTCTGAAATCCAGAGGAAGCTGTTTCCAACATAAAATGTACAGCCGTTGTAACCCGACGCATCGATCGGGTCCGTACATTACGCGTCAAATGACCTGAGGAATTTCGCCGCTTATGCATTTTTAGATAGTCAAGTAGGTAGTTAGCAAAATCAAAAATTCTAGGAGAACGGGGACAGCAAAGTGTTTCAGTGACATGTGACTGGAACGCGGTTGAGTAAGGGGGCGATCGTAGCCAATACATTTGACAAAATAAATGACACGTTTGCTTACTGAGGATGTTCTCTTGGGCACCGTTAGTGATCAGCAGCTCTGCGCATTCACGATGGCCGAGCAGGAGGGCGACATCAAGGAGGGTCCATTTTGTTCTTAATATTATTCGTTCGATATTTACTACGTTTTTGTCGTTTTGATATTGTTTTGGCTGACTTTTGTCAAACAAAAATACAGGAGCGCTGGCTCCTAAATCGTTCAGTGGAAAACACGAAAAGCCAGAAGCTGTTTTTAGACTCTTTTAAGCTTTATTTGTCCTTATATTACTTTATTTCGGATTTCAAAAGCTTACTTGTACTCGGCGTAGAGGCAATTTGACAATTTTGCGTTAACATCAAAAGCATTTTTGCTGAGCACAACGCGAAGGGCATTTGCATCATTGCCTTCGACAGCAAGCAGTCCACCTAAAAATGTATTTTAATTGGGTTAAAACGGTAGAAAATCCGTGTTCCGATTACGGGTCTCAATTTCTTCATAATTTTCGTATTCTCTTGATCCCATCCCAATTTCAGGTGCTCCGCGTACAAAAAATTTCTGTGAACCAGAAACCGCAAACACTTTCTGTAACGCGTTAAATGCCCCCTTTAGCTGACTTGGACAAGTGGGAGCGCGCCAACGTTGCTGACGCCCTCGAGACGTGCAACTTCGAGCCGGGAGCGCATGTTGTTGAACAAGGGCATCCTGGAGACGAATTCTTCATTATCGCTGAGGGCGAGGCTAATGTGCTTCAAAAGCGAAGTGATGATGCGCCGTTTGAGGTTGTAGGTCATCTCGGACCTTCTGATTACTTCGGTGGGTATTTTGATAGCTACATTTACGGTCAATTAACCACCAAAATACGTCTCATTAATGCATAATTTTAGGTGAGATTGCCCTCCTGCTCGATCGGCCGCGAGCCGCCACCGTCGTCGCCAAGACGCCGCTAAAATGCGTGAAGCTAGACCGGGCGCGGTTTGAGCGGGTTATGGGACCGGTACGCGAGATCCTGAAACGGGACGTCTCCAACTACAACTCCTACGTGAAGCTGATGACATAAAATGCCCCCAACCGCATTACTTCAGCTCGGCATAGATGAGCGTCCCTCCTATATATGTGTTTATTATCCCCCGAAAGACCCTATCTATCCATAACCCCTCATTTGCTCGCTCATCTATCCAGCACCACCACAGCAGCACCCTCTAGTACCTATTCTTGCCCGTTTAGTCAACCCAACACACACACACACCCTACCCAGCGCGAGTACACTTTTTGTTTTGTTCCTTAACGTTATCCGGCGCTCTTTGTAAGGAGGAGCTTTGCCCGGAAGACAGCAGCCGCCAAATGCCCCCACCCTAAAATAGTCTTGAAATAAGTTATTGTGCACTCTTGTACATGCCTATTCCGACTCATACACGCTCTCCTTTAGAGTAGCTTTATAAAATTTATAAAATTCAAAACCCTCCACCGTTTTGTCCACGAAAAATGGTAGTGTATCGAATTCTTCTCATCTTGATCGCCATTGAAATTGTCTCGGATATATTTGTCTTTGTTTTGCAAAATGTCGGCCCCTACCCCCCGCGCGCTTATGCACTAGTCATATGTGGCCCATTTTACATCTAGCCAAAAAACGGTGGTCCACCATCTCCCCATAAATTCTATTGTTGCCCTCTCCCGTAATGGGGTACCCCGGTTCATACCCAAATTTGCAGACCCATGTAGTAACCGTCGTCTCATCACCCCCAGCAGAACTCCCCCGTATAATATTTTCCTTATAGTAATTTTCAAAGAACCGATACTCGGGCGCCAAAAACCCCCCCATTGGTCTGTTTCCAGGTGTGGAATATGGATTGGTCGAGTCATCCCTCCCTCTTTTTGAAGCGATCGGCTTTTCCCCCTTCTTAGCAGATTTCTAAAGCTATTCTTACGATATATTCCCCCATTTTATCGTGTGTGAATTGCCCGTGTTAATGACCCCAGTTGCCACCCTCAGCCCCTTTATATACACCACCAGTCTCATCCCCTCTCCTACTCCCCTGCACGCCGTAAACGTTTAGCTTTATTCGGAACAAAAAAAACATTCTATATTGATATAATTCGAATAAATAAATGTTGGGAATGTGTGCGTCGGGCAATTTTATACATCACACTCATAAAGCTAGTTACCTCGTATCGTTTGGTTAGTTGGTTGCGGGAGATATAGAAATATACCGAAATGGTGATTTGTAATATGGAAATGTAAATGCAGATGGGCACGTTTAGGGGTATCTTAGATATATAAATAATATTCACACGTAGGATTCATTTCCGTAGTAGATGGCGGCGAGGATTGTATCCTTCCGCCGCACGAACAGTTTTCCTTTTTGACCATGGTGGCTGAAGCCGTAAAACTGGGTGGTCTTCCTATATAAATTGCATTAATTTCAAAATTATGCAAATTCGATACCTTTAATCGTTTTTCTTTCGCCCCCACAACCGATGCAAGACAAAAATCATTCGCATCCGGCAGATCCACGTCATCAAGCCTCTTGACTTTTGCAGCCGCCTAAATGATTTAACGTCATCCATGCACGCTAGTCCCAGAATAATCATTATTTAGCACCACCTTGGCTAATTGCTCCACGACGTAGGAGACGACTTCCATGCTAGTCGTGTTTGGAGAAATTGACAATCGAACTGATGTCCCTTCCGGCAAGCCACAGTCATAGGCTGCGAAGATTTTGATGTGGCAACTTGATGGGATGTGCTAAAATAAACTACACAATAAATTTCCAAACTCATTCCACAACCTTTCTCGAGTCTAGTGAGTGAGAGCCTGGGGAGCCCGGCACTTTACAAACGGTGCTTGAGGTGACTGGCTGGATGGTTGATGGGCGATTTCGGGAAAGTTGTAGTGGTTCGATATCGAGAATTTTTGCCCCAATTCTAGGGGATCCAGCATGAGACTGTGGGCGAACACGAGCAACGGGTCGATCACAATCCGTTTTGTCGGTGCTCTATAATAATTTTCAATTTCCAACCTTGATTTGCGCCCCTAACCTGATCACTATGATACCCAACATCAGCCACATCTTCACTTGATCCAGCATGTAGAGGTGCCATCAAGCGACACAACGGCACGGCCATATGTGTACTATTCTTGTCCCTAGCCGTTGACGCGATTCGACTAATCCATCGCGCATTCTTCCACACATCCTCCAATGATTTCTAAACACTGACCTTGTCAAGGTGTCTCAAACTACATCATTTACTACAAGGTATGGCTGGGTACATTTTTTAATCGCTTTACTCTTGTGGAGAGAGAAATGGCAAATGTCGGCAAAAAGTTGGAGGTTCTATGGATGATCAGGAAATGGGATTAAGTGACTCCGAGATTTCGGGCGAACACCAACTACGGATGCTATTGGAAATGAATGAATGGTGCTCTGGCTGGAAAGGGGGTTTCCTGACCTGAAAACCGGCAAGGACTTCGTATTGCTTTTGGTAGACTTTAGCGTCGTTTTCAAGCATGCTTTTTCGTTGCTCATGTTGGCTGATCTAAAAGAAGAAATAGTAAATAATAAAATATAGATTGGGCCTACCATCATAAAATATTCAACAAATATCGAAAGTCGACAGTAGAGGGCCAAAAACTCGGGTTGATAAGTTCCCAAATGAGCTAAAAAAATATGTATACAAAAATTTAATAATACCAATTTCAAAAACCGGAATCGGCAGGCTGTAGCAGCCCCGTCGGGATTCGACAAATTCACCATGCCCTGGAGAGCCCGTGGGAGCAGCGCAGACTTCTTCCGGTTTTGGGAGCAACTAAAAAGAATCATGATTTTTGGTAGAGGACTCACTAAAATAATAGAGACATCAGCATGCGGCTGCAAAACTTCAGCCCGATACAATCGATGCCCGGGCACCAAATCCGGATCCACATCCAGATCTTGCAATAATGCGTTGGATGCATTGCATAATTGGCTGTGCATTGTTTTTTGGAACTCGCTTGGGTCGATGGCTTCGTTTTGATCGATTGCCTGAACAAAAAATATGATAATTTAAGAGCGGTATATACCTTTATCCAATTCCATTCTTCTTCCGTCACATGTGGATTGTCGCGTACTTTTACGAATGGTAGTACGGTAGGTAGCGAATCAGGGACGACCACTCTGGCGCAATTTATCGCCGATTGTAGTTTTAAATATCCGAGGTAAAGTCCACTACAATAATAAATCCTTAGAATGTGGTCAGCTAAACATACCGCTTCAAAGAGATTTGGCAGGCTTCAAAAAAATTCATGACGGTGACGATGTTTTTGTTTAGGGCATCGAGTGCTGTACAGGGCGTCTTCTTTCGAAGCAGCTTATCAAAAGACATCCATCGTAGAGTTAATGCCTAATATTTGAAGGAATATAGATACAAGATTCCATAGCTTACTTGGACATAAGACATATCCGTAACGAATCGGACAGTTACCAAGAATATGCAATTTTCATGCACTATTGGTTGCTGATAGAGCCGGCCGATATCTTTTAGCCCAAGCGCACTGTGCATGGATTGTGCAGCCGCAATGAGTTTGGCTCGGAAGCTAAAAAAGGGCATAACTCGGTTTTTAATGAGTTACATACTTCAACGAATTTGTGTTTGAATAGGCATTTTGGTTATAATCAAGTAAAACTGGCAGCTGATCCCAACACACCGAAAGCTTCATCAACCAATGGAAATCGTCCTAAAATTCTTCTTATTTAGTAAAGACCAAGGTGGCCTTACTCGATTCACAGTTGTGATGCTTTCATCCACTTCAATAATTGGTAAACAATCATCTACAGTGCATGCCAGTTTTCCTTCCGTATAAATAATAGTCGCCAAGTAACAACCCCTAAATTTGAGAACATTAAGTTTTACAGCTTCTGTTTACCTCTGCAAGTTTTTAGAAAATTTAGAGCTTGCTGTGAAGAGCTCTTTTAGGCCGGTTCGTCGTTTCTTGCCATTGGCATCGTTGCTCGGGAATACTGTAAACATACATTTTAGTCCCCATTTTTGGAGCTTTACCTCTTTGCCAAACCAATGAATTCCTATGTTTATCAATTTGATCGCTGATGGCTGATATTGAAGCCATGTGTTCATGACGACCGTCTTTTGGACCCTCCACATCTTCCCAACCTGCATAATTCATTCATCACCATTAATTTTTAATGGTACTTACTTGAAAGCATCACAACAGCTGGATTCGCTGAAACGGGCGGGCCATACCCAAAAATATTCCCCGCTGAGACCCGAAAACTCAATTTTGTTCCTAGACCGAATATTTATCGATGGAGCAACCAAACCTTTTTCTAAATTTCCAATCTTGACAGGCAGTTTTGTCATATTTGTCTCTTCCCAGCTGTCGATATGCCCGTCAAAGGCCGGAGAAGCGCACCATTCAACTAAAGGAGGATGTATATCGAGAAAGTTTTCATACCTTTATATTTTACAATAGCGGTCTCAAAGTTGGAGGGTGCATGGAAGTATACGGTAACTTCGTAAGGCCCGGTTACTTGCGCCTTGAGAGCTTGATTTTTATATGGAACAGGTGGGATTACCTCGACATCCTCGGCGGGTCCAGGGAGTACTTCTGCTCCGACGTGGTGTCCCATTTTATGGAGAAGCTCACAGTGGACTGTCAGGAGTTTGAGTTGCTTGTCGGTATCCTGGACCATTCAGAATTATTGTTAAAAATTGGTTTTTGATTTTTGCGCTGTTTGCTTTCAAGATCTATCTCGCCTCGCGCAGCATGATTTATTGCTTGGGTTATTTTCATTTTCTTATTGGTAACTTTTTCGATTTTATTATTCAGATCATTTTAAGAAAGTGATAAATATTATAGTTTAATAAATAATAGATTGAAATGGTTCCTAAGAAAGTGATAGATATTATAGTTTAATAAATAATAGATTGAAATGGTTCCTTTTTAAAAACTGACCTTCGAAGGTGGTCCCGCCCGAAGCGCACTCATCCTGCCTTTCGTACTATCAACAGCTTCCTTTACGGCTTCACTGCGTTTGGCAAAGGAGTTCACTGAAAATCGGGGCTTCATATAAGGTTCATCTAAGACTCCAAATTTGCCACCCACCCTCTGAAATCCAGAGGAAGCTGTTTCCAACATAAAATGTACAGCCGTTGTAACCCGACGCATCGATCGGGTCCGTACATTACGCGTCAAATGACCTGAGGAATTTCGCCGCTTATGCATTTTTAGATAGTCAAGTAGGTAGTTAGCAAAATCAAAAATTCTAGGAGAACGGGGACAGCAAAGTGTTTCAGTGACATGTGACTGGAACGCGGTTGAGTAAGGGGCGATCGTAGCCAATACATTTGACAAAATAAATGACACGTTTGCTTACTGAGGATGTTCTCTTGGGCACCGTTAGTGATCAGCAGCTCTGCGCATTCACGATGGCCGAGCAGGAGGGCGACATCAAGGAGGGTCCATTTTGTTCTTAATATTATTCGTTCGATATTTACTACGTTTTTGTCGTCTTGATATTGTTTTGGCTGACTTTTGTCAAACAAAAATACAGGAGCGCTGGCTCCTAAATCGTTCAGTGGAAAACACGAAAAGCCAGAAGCTGTTTTTAGAATCTTTTAAGCTTTATTTGTCCTTATATTACTTTATTTCGGATTTCAAAAGCTTACTTGTACTCGGCGTAGAGGCAATTTGACAATTTTGCGTTAACATCAAAAGCATTTTTGCTGAGCACAACGCGAAGGGCATTTGCATCATTGCCTTCGACAGCAAGCAGTCCACCTAAAAATGTATTTTAATTGGGTTAAAACGGTAGAAAATCCGTGTTCCGATTACGGGTCTCAATTTCTTCATAATTTTCGTATTCTCTTGATCCCATCCCAATTTCAGGTGCTCCGCGTACAAAAAATTCGCTCCTTGACCGCAAGGCCAGGAAACTCCTTCGATTCTTCGCGCCCGATTAGAACGCGTTTAGTGTGTTAATCCACTCAACGGCCAGCGGCGCGCAGCCAGGCGCCCCCATGCGCGCGGCCTTGAGGAACGAATGATTTGACTAGGCACGCCGAGCCCCAATTCGAACGGCCCGCATGCATCCTGGGAGAACCCCCTTTCAATCCTCAACCCATTCCATTCCATTCTCCCTCTTAGCTGTGGCCGGTTTTGGTATTGGAACTGAGCCGAAGGCCACCTGGCTGTCGGGATGAATTGTTTAAAAACTCAGCTGGCAGTAGGTGGGGGATGGCTAAGGACGCTTAAACTGGTCAGAGCTCCGACGGGAGAGTACAAATCCCCCAGATGGTCTATGGTGACTGTACAGAAATGGAATAGTTGTGAGGTGGGGAAACCACACAAAAACTAGTTGTTAACTTGAAAAACGCATGACAAGTCAAAGAATTATGGGACGTGCCAACACCCTTAACATGGTTCAACTGTTAATTTTCTTCCTCAGATCAAACAAAAGCCGCCTTTTTCCTTGCTTTTTGAGAGCTATCTAATTGTGTGATATCTGAATCTGCGAGTGTAGGGGTATCTTTTTCGAAGATCCAGCAAAAATACTCACCCAAATGGCTGATCATATTGTTCTTAATCTTCTTCCGATGATCACCTTCATCAGTCTTCTTCTTTTTGTCAAATCCCTCCATCGATCCTTGGCGAATAACTAAACAACAAGTTTACACATAATTCCCTAAAAACCAATTTACAAGACTTGCACCGGCGCGACCGCACGAGCCTTCGCTCGCTCCCTTTTCTGGAGAACATCGCCTAGGTGGGCATCACCGGTTCCACTAGAATACGGTAAAAAAATCCAAGGATAAGAATCAATTCGGAACTCTCGAGAGAAGATAAATTTCTGAAATTGGATTCAACTCCGCCCGCAAAAAATTCCCCGATACCGGTCGCGCGACCGTGGGAGATTTGGCTAAAGTTGTTCGATTTTGGATAACTTTTGCTCAATAGCCGGAAGTCAAAAAAAGATTATTAGTAGAGAGGAAAATGGGGGGAACGGCACAGATAGTGATCGGGCGACCTTGATGACACCGCGCGCAAGATGGGGTGCTCGAGCCAATGACGGAGGGGGAAACTTTTGGTTAACCATGCTGGAAAATTTGCGGTTTTCGATCCAGAATTTGGGGGTGATGTGTTGAATTTTGAAGGGATGGGGTGGGCTGATGTTACTGGTTCGTGGCCATTCATCGGACCGTATTGTGGCTGCAGCCGGCCTTACAGGCTTATGCGATATCAGCAAAAAAAGGGCGGAGGATGGAAACACGTTTCCGTAAGAGGGTAGGATGATGGCAAACATAGCGGAAAGCGAGGGGGAGGAGGAGAGTCAAAACTTTTTTGTGGAAGAAAGCGAAAAGAATGAACAAAAGAGGGGGTTGCGATTGTTTTCATAGTAGTTTCTTGGCCTCAAATTCGAAATTTTACTAGAGACGGGCAACTAATTGTTCGGAGTTTAGACGCGAATTTTCCTGCCGTAATACTCAAAAAAATTGTAGCTAAAAGGAGCTAAAAATGAAGTCTTTTTCCCATCCCATTAGCATACGGAATTTGGGTAATTATCATGTGTATGGTAATCCTATCCTATAAGCGAGAAAAGTATGTCTGTTTTCTGTTCAGCCGATTTCTCGGCCGCCAGGCCGAATTTCCGGCTGATTTTTGGCATGCAAGTAGAGAAACACATTTGTCAGTGACGCATTTTTTTGTTTGGCGAAATTCCTTCATTTAACGATTTTACAAGCAAAATAGTGAAAAATCCTTAACATTTTGCCCAAAAAAAGGTATGTCCGGAGGTTTTCTCGGCCGCCAAGAGGCGCTGGGCTCTGATTTTTGGAGGGTGAGTGGTAAAAGCAATTCTCCCGATACTATTTTTTGGATTTTGCCTAATTCCTTAAAATAAAGTTTTTACGAGCTTTTTACTAGACGGTCCTTAATAAAATGGCCGCAGTCCCGTGGTGTCCGGGCAATAACTCGAATCCCAAATGGAATTTTGGGCTGTAATTTGGTCTACTTATGTATTCGATAGTGGGGATCACGCGCAGCTTATTATTTTTACAAATTTTTGGCGCATTCAAACTCAAAAAGAGAATTTTGTAAAGTTATCAGAAGTCCGCTCTCCCGGGATGAGGCGCGCCCCCAGGACAGAAGAGGCCTTTCCCGCTATCAATCGCCGCGTCGCCTTGGTGTATTGGACTGGCGCCCGGTCTAACAAACGCGTGGTCACGGTTCGAATCCGCAGGGAATTTAACTTTTTGCTTTTTGGTAGTTCAACAACAAAACATATTTCTAGGCTCTCGGTGTGCGAGTTTTAGGACCGGGCCCTGGCTCTAGCGCCGCAGGCCAAGGAAAAGGTACTTGGCCCTGGCTCTGGCGCCGCAGGCCAACGATGGTTCCTTGACCCAGGCTCTCGCGCCGCAGGCCAAATACTTGAGAAAACCCAGTAACTAGCGCCGCAGGCTCAAAGATTCTGGCCCAGCGCTGGCTCTGGCGCCGCAGGCCAAAGAATGATTCCTTGAGTCAGGCTCTTGCGCCGCAGGCTTCGATAAAAGGAAAGGGAATTGATGATTCCTAGACGGGGTCCAGTGGAAAAGGGCCGCGAAGCGGTCTTTTTCCACTGGTTATGAGTTATAATAATGATAAAAGTGTTGAAAGCATCAATTTAAACGCCATTTTCTTGATTTTGGTTGGAACACATCAAAATCCTAACCAAATCAGAAAAATAAACTCGGATTTCGATATGGATTTTTTATAGACTTTCAAAATTAGATCGACCTTAGACAAGGCCAAATTTTAAGGAATCTTGCTTTTCCTGCATCTTGTAAACCTAAGATGTATTCTTTGACATTCAACACCCTAACAGACCCAAAAAGTATTGAAAGACAGAAAAAAACGGGAGGAGAAGAGGAGCAGGGCTCGAACCAAAACTGTGAGGGGGGAAGACAGTCTCCACCCCAGCGGCTCCTATTGTGGCGATCGTGCTCTCCAAGCGCGCGCAGCCTGCGGCCACAATTACCCCCTCAGCACCACGCACACGGTGCTCATGTGTCTCTCCTTCTCCCCCCCCACCTCACACCACACAACCCCTCTTTTTTTGTCATTCAGGGGTGCGGCCTTCATTAGCGCGCACACGCGCCGGGAGCCGGTGCAAGCCTTGAAGAAGTTCGAGACAACATGGACGGGTTCGACTTACCACGAGAACGCCGCGAGGAGGCTCCGTCGAATGACCTGGAACCTCAGGATTGTTTTCTGGTATCGGGAGCTTAGTAACAATAAGCCTAATTATTTCTAATCCTAGAGCCCAGCTAAAAAAGGTGTGGAAAATTCTTGGGGATCTGCATCTGCTTTTCTAGGGTGCTTATTATATTGCATACCCTCCTTACCGTATTGCTTCTAAAACGCCCCCCATACGTTGTAAATTTTATCAAATGGTAAAAATCTAGGTGGTCAAAAATTAAATCACATGTAAATTACTTCTCAGCATAACACAAGTTCAAAACGCTTCTGAAACTTCAAATTTTTTTGACCACTTCAAATTAAAATTCAAGTTTTTTAAAACCTACACCAAAAATTCACATTCCAGTCGCTATAATCCTATCGCTATATTTAATTAAAAAAATGTTACTGGATAAATTTGCGCATCCTGAATACTGCCGAACAAAGTAAGTCCACTCGATCTAGGCTCTCTGACCAAATGACCAATCCCAACTTCCAAACCACCCGATACTCATAAAATATGCAAATTAGCTTACATATACCGCAATTTCTTGACAGCTGCTAATCTCGGGTCCATAATGCTGCCAAGCCCGAATAGGCCCGAGCTAGCTTTACGTGATAGGTGCGGGACCAAGGACATTGTGGAGTACGACCGGAAAGACAGGTGGACTGTTTACGAGAATCGTGGCAGTGGACTGGGTCCCAGGAGATTTATTAATTAAGTGGTGGTGCAGGGAGTGGGTTGTGAAGCCTTAGAACTACTAAAGACCCGCCCCATACACACCTCTTCAAGATAGACTTGCGGTTAATTAGTGGAGGGGATTTGGAAAAAGGTTTTGATAATGGGGAGATGATGTGTGAGATGTCTGGGAGTCGGTGTTGTCTGATGGCTACGTGAAGTTTTGTATGAAAATGATGAATGCTAAATGATTTTTCATTTGGTCTATTTCAGTTAATGTATGCAAATTGTTTTTTATGATAGTTATCAATGTGTATACAGAATTCGACTTATAGTGTTTCGCCATATCAAGTTTTTAACAGCACCCTAGGTAAAATTAGGAAATTAGCATCCGAAAACCAGGAGCGTGACGTAATCAAAATCGGCTAGATGGAAAATAGCTACACCCAAAACGGTTGGATGAAAATCGGATTCGAATCGGCTATAAATCATCCAAACAGCTAGTCGGTTGGCTAGTAGCTGAAAATTAGAAATTAGTTTTATTAACTAAAGCATAAGGGGGAATTAGGCATTTTAAAGCATGCTGAGAAAACCAAAAACTCAACTTTCACAAATTAAAATTCCGAGCAAGAGCTTACCGATCTGACGGCTCATCAAGACTCTGCTGCCGCACAAGAAGCGCTGTTGAGGCTAATGCATGAGCAGCACCGGCGCATACACTAAAAACATATGCTTTTCTTTCTTCCTGACCGGCTACAGTATCACGCCAAGACCCATCCAAAACCCATTAGATAACGCAATGAATCACCTCAACAATGGTCGACCCCGTGACTCATCCAACCCCAGCGAATACGGTTGTGACATCCTCGAGAAGATTCCTGTAAGCAAAGACTTTAAAGGGGCGTGGAAGGCAAAATTCGAGTTTTCGGTAATTGAATCTACTTGTGAGAAAATGAAAGATTACTGTCTTAAGGGACCTACGGTTTGACTCCTTTGCGAAAAAGCCAAATATTTGAAGAAAACCGAAATGTTTTCTGCGCAAAGTACACCTTTCGGGCCTGCATGAATTCCATGTGGTAATGCGTTGTAAGGCGCAAAAGGGAATTTTGAAGATTGAAAAAGCTAGGATGATTAAAGTCGCCTGAGGATTCCAGAAATGGCATCAGAATTTTCCAATTCACACGACTTGACGTCGAAATAAGGACCGAAACATAAGATACGCGACCACGTAACGACTTTCTGTATATTTCCAAGGAATCAACGATCACGGGGATGGACCAGACTTTTGAGCGCCTTTAAGGCAAATTTCTTAGAATATAGGGAATAACCGTGGTGGTTGAAGCCAACAGCCTGCGGCCCCCAACAATTATGTTGTTGGCCCATCATCAATCCCTACCAACAACCAGCCGCTATTAACCAAAGAACCAACCAGAGAAATGCGCAAAAACTGGATAAATGCCCTCACGCGGGTTGGTTGAAAATCAAGGGCCGGGAAAATGGAAGGAGCCGGGATTTTCGGTAAATTCGCTAGGTAGCTGGCTAAAGTGGATTACCGCCGTTGTGGGGAGGAAGTGGTTGGGACGGGGTTTTTTCGTAAGCAGGTGTAACCTGAAACCAACGAAATAATGGATCAAAGCAGATGGTTGTCATTGTGATTTATGAAATAGTTATCGTTTTCTAATAAAGAGATCAATTAAACACTAGTTCTATCCTTTAATCTGCTAGCGTTGATCTAATAAATTATTTTAGAAGCATTCTAGTTTCAAAACAAAGGTTTTTTAAGAAAAAGCAAAAGCCAGAAGCAGTAAATTTAGAAAATTCGGAAAAAACTCACGCGATTACAAGAAAAATATAGAAACTATGAGTCTTACTAAAAAGGAAAATATCATAATAAAAACCGAAATTAGAAACTACCAAAAGATTCACAGATTTCGATTTAAACAACCAGCTGATGAATAATTACCCAATTGCCGAAACCCGTCGTTTCCGTGGAACTTCCTAGCCGAAAATTTAATAAGCACCGGCCGGGGAAGTCAAATATTTGGAACCCACTCATCTCCAATATAAAATTATTGGCAAAGATCGTCAAAACCCTCTATAAGGCCCCATTGTTGATATTGGCGTTCAGGGCGAAAATACGAAATATTGCTAGCCATGCCCTCTGTGTCTCTCCAGCCAGCGCGGAAGTCAAATTTGGCCTCTCACCCGCACGTTCTGCGCGCACACAACAAACAATCGGCAAGCGATCGCCAAGGAATGCGCGGGTGTATGGAACTTACTGCAAATTTGGAAAAACTTTGTGTAACTTATGACCTGTAAAGACTGTAAAATTATTGCTAAACATCAGTTCATCTCTGTTTTTAAACTAAATAAACCTGAAAACGTTTTTGAAATGGAAATAAAAACTAAATATCCAAAGAAACTGTCGTGAACACCGTAAATTCACAATTTCAATAAACGAAATATTAATTTGCGTGTTTAATGATTTCTTAAATCCGCCTGAAGAACTGGATCTATGAAAAATGAGCACCCCTCGAGTTTTTCGGAACAGCCCGCTCAATTCCGCTCAGTACTAATTCATCAAAAAAGTTGATTGCCCTCAAAAAAACGTGGCCGTGCGGAAAAAGGGCGTTGAATACTAGGTGCCTTGTGGGTCGGGAGGGCCCCCGGGTCAAAAACTCATCAGCCAATCGAGGCCAAATGAAAATGAGACAGCTGCAAAGGGGGCAGGGCCGGCGGGAACAGACAACGTCCACAATGGACCGGCGTTTTAATTTCAATTTTGGTGAAAAAGGGTATTTTGCTGTCTCATAATATTGCATAAGATATGGCGTTCGAGTTTTAAGGATAACTGTATCTCACGACTAGCGCATCATTTAAGGTCCTAGACATCCACAGAGCAACATTTTTCACACTAGCTGATGTCAGACAACCAAGATAAAATGTCGCAAATGAATTTAGCTACATCGTTCAGTCTACGACCAAGCTGTCCGGGGCGGATGGATTGGATTTGTAGACGAAATGACAGAAAAGGGGAGAAGATGATGGAGAAGACATACCGAAGTCGATCTCGCGACTGCTGTGGTGATGATGATGAGAACTGACGAGGGCCCGAAGAAGGGACGGAGAACGGAGGGGGAATCCGGATGATGGGGCTGAGAAGCGCTTCCGGGAGACGACTTTTGACGACGAACGGCGGCGCTGTCGTGTGGATTCGGCTCTAGAAAGGGAGGGGGGTCAACTACGCTTTAAATCACCATATTTATTATATAACCTTGGTTATATTTTTACAATCAAGCCATGGGGGAGCACTCGGCCAAATTGTCGGAAATAGGAGAAAATTTTTAGTAGAATACGGGAAGCTCATACTAGAAAAACAAGGCAAGTCTCTTCTCTCCTATTTTTAGGACAATCTCTTCGATTGTGTAGGCTTTATCTTATTATGTGCTCTTTATTCTGTTTCTAGTCTTGTTTCATCCGGGTTTCGTTTCCAATCCCAAAGATTGCCTCCCTCTTCAAGCTATCTCCCTTACATCTAGCCAAAATTAAGTGAAAAACCCCTCGCACTCAATCCTCCCTCAATAGCCAAAGATCCGATCTCAAAGCACATTTCTTTAGTCGTATAAGAAACGGGCTAGTCGCCTCCGTATCTGATGACCACCAAACAAAAACAGCCACTACTGATGTCGGCAAATGCTAAGGGCATAATTGGCCAAATTCTCACCTCACCAGCCGGGGCTTATGCTCTGCGCTCGTCGCATTACGACTGCTTTCCTTCCGATGTGCGGTTACGGTTTTCTGGAGGCGGAGCACAAATAAAATAGCCTTCACCACCGAGCGCCGAGACTAAGAACAAGGACATTAGATTTTCCACCGGAAGTTAGTACCTACCTTCATGGCGGTGCGGACGGCCGGACTCCGCGAAGTCTTCTTCGCTTCCTTATGGGTCTCCAGCCTGAAAAGCCCCGCACACTACTTTATTACCGAGACGAAAAAGAGGGGAGGAGGAAATCTGATCCAACCACCCCCACTCATGGCTGAGGAGCACATATACGCACCCAAACGAACGACTGACTGAGTGTAAGGAAAACATGGGAGTTATTCTTGGATATAGAAGGGGAGGATGAAGAGTTGCGATATATGGGGGGAGGGATGGGTGTCTTCAGAATTGATAGAATAGATTGGAGGTGAACGATAAAGAGTAGAAGAAGGAGAAGAAGAAGCAGGCACTCGGAAGGAAGGAATAATCAGGGGTGTCACGGGCGATTTATCTCAGGGGGTGTGGGGAGAAAAGACCAAGGGTGAACTCTATGGAGAATAGTTTTTTTAAGGATGGATACGAATTATGCATTGGATTATAAAAATTCCGATACGTGTGTAGCAACAGCGTGGAAAACTATAGGTTCTGTATGTTCCAGACCGTAGTGAGAAATCCATAGAAAAGGTAGGACAGGGTTGTTTTTTGGAAGAAATCAGTTATGTTATGGCAATGATGGATAAAACTACAGGTTTTGAAAGTTCTAACAGTCCTGAAAAGTTTCAGGGGAAAGGTGTGTTCAGGTTCAATTAAAATTACGCTTTCTATGGCGATAATGTGGAACACTATGGGTTTTAAAGGTCCCGTTTAGAGAAAAAATCCACAGAAAAGTTTGCAAGAGTAAATTAGAAAATTTATAAAGAGCGTTATAGCAACAATGATGCAAACCATAGTTTTCTAAAACCTATGAAAGTGGGGGAAAATTCCACAGAGAAAGGTGCACGAGCGCTGGCTTTTAAAAAATGCCGCTACATGGTGGCGACACGTTCGAAAACTATTACTTCCAAAAGTTTTGAAAAAGCGAAAAATCCAAGAAAAAGTTACGCCACCTCCACAACAAAAAAAATACTGCGACGACTAACGTTCTGCGATTCCGAAACCGGGCCTCCATCTTTGAATAGCCACCGAGTGGGCTCTGTGCGTGAACGAGTCAAGCGATAATATGATTCAGGCGCTTCACTCGCACGCTAGATGACGTTCTTCTCTGTCTCTTGAGGACCCTTTTAGCACCCTCGCCGACAGCCAAAACAGCTTCTCGAATATATGGACTTCCCGGGTTTATTGCCGTTTATGAGGCATTCGACGACATGACTGCCTCGACCAAAATTCCCCTCAAGATGACTTTGAACTGCGGAAGAGTGGCAAAAAAAGATTAAATAGCCGTTGGAATCCCGGCTTTAAGGGGAAGTCATCGTCGAATAGGGGCTTAAATCCGACGTAGAGGGAATCACGGGGAGGTTTGTAACCAAGTGATTTAAGAAGTTGAGTGCTTGGAATGAAATGTTAATTCAAGACAGTGGTTGGTTTTGCATAGCTCAAAGGCTTAAATTTTGATCGAATTTGCCGCGCTTCCAGGTTTCCCAGACACATATATACTTCCTCGTTGCTGTCCATTACAATACTAATGATATTGGTAGAACTTAAATCCACGCGAAATCCGCTGGATCATCGAATTTCGTGCAAGGACACAAAGCCACAATTTCCGGCACCGAGTGTGGTTTTTGGCGGGCGAAATTGGCAGTTGAGAGGATGGATGACACGGAAGAGGACCGGGAAAAACCGGACAAATAAGTTGTTTATTGGCAGGAACGGAATACAGTAAACCTGGGAGAAGGTGGAGTCAGATAATTATTTCGACATGGACGGGGATCGAAATTTATGGGGGTGAATATTGGATCTTGACCTCAGAGAGGTATCGTAGCCGGAGATAACCACAGTAATCTAAAAAATGCTATGGCGAAATCCATGAATAGAAAAAGAAGATAATGGCAAGGAAAGCCAGGGTCTGTTATTAAAACAGCAAATTCCATGCAGCTACCGTAATCAA